TACGAGTTTTCCGACGCTCATAACTTCTCCGTCCCTGATCCATCTCCGACGCTCTTGGGCTCGTTAGAACGAGCGTCCCGAGCTGTTTCTAATGCAACTTCAACCAACTGGATCTACCGTGTATTCCGATCGTTATGAAGGTTTTCCCTTTCCGCGCTAGCGGCGCATCGCCGAAGGCGCACTCATGGTCGGACGCCTTCAGAGGTCCGGGCCCTTCTTCTGACGTCTTTAGCAAAACCTCCTCCTGAGGTGTCTGCGCCGGAAGCGTAGCTTCCTTAAACGCTGGAAGCGCGTGAGTAGAGACGCCTCAGAAAAGGAGCTTTTGCCGAAGGCGCCGAAGACATTGGCGTTGGTACATCCGACTACGCGATTCTTCGTGACCTCGTGACGATCTCCTCAATCCACTCTATTTAACGTACCTTTTTCTAACTACAAACACTGCTTCGGTACTAGTTTTCTAAAATTGTTTAAATTCTGCAAAAAAAACAAAAAGTGTGTTACCACATAGATCAAGAGTGGCAATGGAGAGATGGACAAGAGAGAGCTTTTGTTGAGCTGAAGGTCAGGTTGGTGGTCGCTTCGATCTTGAGGAAATTCATTAGAGGTCGTTCATACCAGTTGCACACTCATTGGATAATGTTGGAACTTTGAGCGGTGTTGATGCAATGTGATGATGAGGACAAGAAATTTGTGGTTGCGTATGCTAGCCATTGAAGTAATGTAGCGGAGTCGAGGTATAGTTTGTACGAGATCAAGTGTTTGGCAGCAGTATGGGCTATGGCACACTTCAGATGTTACTTGTTTGGCACACAATTTATCTTTGTCACTGATCACCAGTCGTTCAAGCGGTTGATGGAGTCTAACAAGCTCACGATGGGCTTTCATCTTACACGAGTATGACTTTCATGTCGTGCATATATCTAGAGTTGCAAATCTTAATGCCGATGATTTGAGTCGGAACCCATGCACTAACCAAGAGAATGACACTTGAGCTAGATGGCATGATGAGATGGATGAAAAGATGGTGCCTGGTTGAAATATGTGTTCTTGTGTTTATTACGTGAAGACTCTAATAGGAAAGATCATTTGACATCTTACTCTTGTCAAAGAGTGGATGGTTAATCTTTAGATATTGAGATTGAAGATGGTGCTATGGATCAACGTGATATTCACGATGAGTCTTAGTATTGGAGTTCCTATGAACCAGTATAGTGCTAGCCACAATGAGTGTCAAGGAGCGAAATCGTGTTCTCCAACGGGCAAATAGATACCGATTGGAGTAAGCACATGTTCTCCGAGTGTGGGAGTACGGCAGGGTACGAGTAGTCATGCATCAAGCTCATAGAGCGCGCATCGTGCGACATGCTCATGAGGAGTTGAGACATTTTAAAGTGAAGCATACATACAGCTTACTCCTTGGTCAGTATTGATGGCATGATATGCATACTCATGTACAACAGTTGGTATCACGTTGCATGGTTTGTGATTGAATGAGGGCATCGTTCAATGCCCCAACACCAGAGTTACACCCATTGACTATCATGGGATTGGGTTACTGTTGGAGTTTTGGCTTCGTTGGACATTACCTTTAACGGTATGACATCATCGGTATGTGTTGGTGATGGCAAAGCATTTTTCCAAGTAGATTGAGTTGGTGACATTACCTGACAAGGCGAGTGAAAGAGCAGCGTATGATTTTTTTAACAGGGTGCTTAGTCACTTTGGTGCATAAACTGAGGTGTTGATTGATTATGGTACAAAGTTTCAAGGTGAGTTTTAATGTGTGTGACAAGAGGCTGATTGATTATCGAACCACGTGTCGAGATCAACCTAAGTCGGATAGTTAGGCTAAACATGTTGGGTATAGGGTGAAACGTGAGTGATATTCTGGATCCTAGTTGACTAACGATGGGGCGACACAACTGATTTGCACATCCATGAATGTGTATAGCATGTAGTTGTAGAGAGTATTACATGGGAGTCAGAGGAACCTGATCGCCAGCTAGGTGGCGAGTTGTGATACATTTGAGTGTGTACTCTCTTGTTCCCTATGTATGTGTGTATGTGAGTGGCATGCCAGCGATGTAGATTGTATGATGATACACATTTGCACGACAGTTGTCATGTGTCTTATTATTTTTTATTTTTAATATCGGCCTAAGGTTAGGGATCGAAGAGGATAGAGTCAGAGAAACTTGAAGAACATTCAATTCTTTGAGTTGAGCCTATTGTGTATAAAGTTTTCGGTTCCTGCTAACTTCAACTCTAGATCTCTGATGGAGTGAGTTGTGCTTGACTTGATATGAAGTTTTGTGTTTGCTAGTGGGGTTTGCACGTCTTCAATAAGTTGTGATACATTTGACTGTGTACGTTCTTGTTCCCTATGTATGTGTGTGTGTGTGTGAGTGGCATGATAATGATGTAGATTGTATGACGATACACATTTGCACGACATAAAAGAGATTCGCACACTTGGACTTCAGCTGGAAACAAGCATCTTCGACTACATCCATGACCAATCAAGTGTTTGAGCACTTGACGGAGAAGAAAAAATTTCCAAATGTGGAATAAGAAATACCCAAGATCACCGAGTGTTGGCCGAACACTTTTGAGGGAGAGAGAGGTGCCCTTGGATCTTTGCATACTTGGATCCCGAGCAAAGCTCCACGTATCCCTTGTCCCCATGCTACCAACTATAGTCGGAGATGGTGCCGAATGACAAGACAATAGGGCGGTACCTCCTTCCACACTATAGCCACCAACCATATAGTTACAAGAACTTTGTTTGGAACATGAGTGATGGTGGATTGTCAAGCCGTCGCGAGAGAGGTTCCAACTAATTTGAAATTTTATGGATGTTGATTGAATACTACTTACTAAATAATTTGATTTCAGATACATATACTTATAATAGTATTGAAAAATATGAAAAAGACATATTATATTGTTGTTCCATCAAATTGAACTGAAAAATCAAATCTTTGTCACATACTTCATAATTCAAAATATCAAGATGGGAAAAAAAATCTAAAACTAAAATCGATCACAATCTTTAAAGTGAATATTTTGGATTTGAAATTATGGGATTTTTGACACATGTATTTTTACAACTTATTAAAACTTTAATCAAAGCAATAAATAATTTATCCCTATATATTTGAAGACTACACAATGACTTTCGTGATGGAATTCCGGAATGCTTGATTGAAATTCTATATATACTACCATCAACGAATATATTTCAATCACATTTTTACCTAATTTCATCTCTGATGGTCATTATTATTTTCGTAAAAATTTCTTAAAGACAAATTTTTTGAACACACTGGATATTATTGAATATGATTTATAAAAGTGTTCAAAATACTTATGAAATACTTTGGAATATTTATTCAACCAACAGGGTTATTTTTCAATCTTGAAACAACACAGGAGAACTCTTTATCATTGAATTGCTGCAAACTATGAACTTTTCTGTGTGTGTGTGCTTATAACATGAGATCTCAATTTTCATATGAAACTGGTCTTCAAAAGTTTGTACAACCTTGAAACAATTACTTTGATTTTTTTTCTTTTTTCCACGTCTACCTATAGATATATTATTTACAGTCTACTTGAAAGTTACTACTTGATCACAATAGAAATATTATGATTCTATTCAATAAATGTTTGAGATATATAGTAAATTTCAAAAATGCTGAAAAATCTTTCACCCGGGATATATGATATGTTTATTTCATGAGATTGAAAATTTCCAGCATTCCTTCTTTCCTACCCTTACATGATTATGACATAGAAATCTTGACAATTTATTTTGCTTGTTTTACATTTCGTATAATCTGGTATTTTCTTTAGAAAAACTTAAATAGGTGATCATGTTTATCTTCTTTTTTTAATTTTTTATCTCTGATGAAGTGTTGAATATTATGTATGATTAGAATTCGTTTCTGATGATTTTAATTATATTTCAGTAAATTTCCTTATAAAACAATTATATTGAATATATTTTTTACTATTAATTGTGATTTATAATAGTCTTCAGACAATTTATGAAATTTTTTGGTATTTTTTTTTCAACTGACAGGGTTATAATTCAAACTTGAATTAACACAAGAGAACTCCCAATAATTCCCTGCAGATTTAATTTAGAGTCTCCCTTTATATAGTTTGTAAAATCACAGTATTTTTTTTCCTCTTATTTCAACTTTTTCATTTCAATTTTTTCAAAGATAGAATGTGATCTAAGATTGTTAAGGAACTGAAAACATTAACATGAGAGTAATTAGACCTACGAAAGATTTCAATGATTGAGATAAGTTATCACGCTCAGGAATAATTCAAACAAAATTGCTTGCAAAATACATATATAATATTTAATATTATTCACCTGTCATTTCAAATATAAAATGAATTTCCTGAAGTAAAATGAACAGACATGGCGATGATATTACATATGGCCCGGTATGACTTCCCGTTAAGAAAGGGATGAGGGTTAGAGCAAGAAAACAGCAGAGAGAAGATTGTTGTTGGCATTATAAAGTGTACAACTTCCTCATGTAAATAGAGGTAGCCAAATAAGTTGTATTTCTAGTGTTACCTAGGGAAACAGTCTCTTTCTCATCGACCCATAAGAGCTTTCGTCGCAAAGTTAGGGGCGGGCCCAACTGGGCTTCTGGTATATATTTATTCATGAAGACTGATATCTTTCCACTGAAAGAAGTCAAAATTACCATAGAAGATGATAATTTACAATTGGCGATTATCACTAACTCCGGGCAAACAAGGGTTGGCGATGTGAGATGGGTGATTAAGTTTCCCACTAATGTGAGAAGCGTTGGAAGAGACGTATTTATCCAAAGGTTTACCGAGCTTGGAGAAACTTACCCGGGCTTTTTATACGATAGGAGATTGGGTTAGCGTCCATGGTTAAAAACTAATCAAACGAAAGTCATCGTCCATATCCTAACATCCAAAACATCCATTCATGGAACGACTTCAGAACAAAGACTACAGGAGATACAGTAGATAAGAACTGCCAGGTGGGCACTTGATGTACAGAAGGAAAAGTTACAGGATTCACTGAAAGGCCCCGACTGTGAGGAGTGGCACTGCCCCGGCTAGGGAGTTGCAACATGCTCTTGCTTCTGCTCGATTGCCTTGTACCCCTCGAGGATTCGGTGGACAAGCAGCGGCAGAGTCTTTAATTCGCATGTCAGGCTGAAACGGCGCAGATTGGGCAAGATTACCCGGTAATCACCTAGAATACAAATACACAGGCTGTCTGGCAATCACCAAACTAAATTACACATGTCCACGTCCAGCAGATTAATGGACGCCGGGGCCACCACCTACGGATCATGCTCGCGGAAAAGAACAAACTGAAACGTCGAATTTCACATCAATGCGGAGGTCGTAAAAGACAGCTCTAAATAATAAATTTGGTACAACGGAGATGTCAGAGGGTGTTATGGATTCGAGGAATTGTGATGCCTCCCTGCACCAATCCGTGCACGGCCTTCGGGACTGATTCCCGCTACTGTGACGCGGAGGATCCGTCGATTCTCAGCTCCGTGTTGAGCTTGGCGGGAACGCGCTTGAGCATGGGCACTCCGAACAGGTCGTGCTTGGACTGCAGGCACTGTCCGTTTCTGGTGTTGCAGACGGGCTTCTCGGCGGGGCAGCAATGCTGGTGGTCCTTGCAGCAAGTCGCGGACTCCAGGGCGCAGCAGCCCCATGAGAAGCAGTGCCTTCCCAGGCTGAACACGCAGCAGCAGGTGCTGCCGGAATTGCACGAGTAGGAACCGTCGCACTTGACGTCGGGCTTGGGTGCGGGCGGGGGGCTGGGGTTGGACGGCTCGGGGTTGGGAGCCGTCTTGATCGGGAACGACGCTTCGATGGCAATTCCGCACTTCCCTTGCTGGGCATCGATGTTCCTCTCCAACCTGACGTAGCCTCCCTCACCCCAGTTCGGCCCCCACGAGTTCTTCACGATCCAGTAATCCTTGCCACTCTCAGTTCCATATCCCACCGCCAGCACTCCGTGGTCGAGGTTGGTGCCACACACACCCGTGAACACCCCGTTCGAGTAGAGCTGGAAGTCCCGACCGCCTGCTTCGATCGCAACGCTTACGGGCTGATGGGCGAGGGCCTTCATCAGATCGTCCTCACTGTTCTCGGGCACATCCTGGTAATCATCGATCGTCACCACGGGCGAATTCAGCTTGTCCCGGACGCATTTGCCCTGAGCTGCATGGTAGGGATACGCAGCTTCGGTGTGCAGGCCCCTGTTCTGGATGAGGAACTCGAACGCATTGTCCATGAGCCCGCCATTGCAGCCCTGGTCATACTTGGTGTCGCAATCGACGAGCTCCTGCTCCGAGAGAGACTGCAATCTGCCCGTGTAGATCTGATTGATACCCTCGACCGAACCGGCCGTAGAGAAAGCCCAGCAGCTTCCGCATTTTCCCTGGTCCTTGACCGAAGAGACGGCCCCTTTCCAGCGCCAATCGATGGCCTTGGGAACGGCAGCCACATCCGCGTACCTGAAAGCATCCGTTCTCGCCCTCTTCCTGGCGAATTTCGATCCCACATACGCGCTCTTGAACTCCTCGTGAGTCAAATCCGCGAACTTGTTCAGCCCCAGCAAGTAGCCACCGTCAGCGGCTTGTCTGTTGTGGTCGTCGATGTATCGGACGTTGTTTTTGAAGATTTGGAATCGCAGCTCCTTCTCGCTGGGGCTCGAGTGCAGTCTCTCGTGCTGCGCCGCCCATGACTCATACAAAGTTCTCAAACTCTCTTCCGATTCGAGATCGTTTGGGTTGTAACCGGTTTTGGAGAAGTCCAAAGCGGCCGCACAAGACAATCCCAGCACGAGGACGAACAGCACCGCTTTGCCCCTGGTTGCCATCGCTAAAACCCTTATACCAGCTTCGATTTCACGTGAAGACGGCCTCAAATTCTCCACCTTCTGCTCCTCTGCATACAATCTATACGACCGAACTGCAGAGACCTGCAGACGGATGGTTTGTTTTTGTGATGTTTTTGTGCCGAACTGATCTACAGCTCCACCAGCACACTACTTCCTCAGCTCTTGGATCTGAATACCAAACGAGGGCCACGGTGAGAATGTAGCACAAGAGAAATCTGAAAACATTCAGCGCTAGTTCAGCCTTTCGGGCAACTATGTAGAACACAAAGTAGCGGTACAAAATGTCAAACATAGCGAGACTAGTATTTATGTCCGGGCGTTGCACCGGATGTGAGTGGGATCTCGTTCGTAGAATAAAAATAAAAATTCGGAATTAGAATCTGCATGCAAGCAAGGCAAACATCTTCGACCTGCTCTATCGTGCCTGCGCATACTTACTTATCAGGCGGTAAGCACCCTCACCTTTCCACCTCTTCTCATGAAGAATCTCCACGATGATCGAGTCTGTGAGTTGGATAAGAGGAAGAGCCTTTTTGTACTAGTGGGTCAGGATCCGTTTGGAATGACAAAGCGAGAGCATGTACCCAGTTGTGTAGCCCCGAAGATACTGCCCCGGACCCACTCCACTCCCTTGTCTCAAGAGCCGATCTCGATGCCGGTTGACCTCCGACGTGTCAATGTGGCCAAATGCCCTCAATTATTAATCATATCGTATCAGGACCTTTTCCATTCCCCAGGTTCAGTTCACTATTGCCCGGGTGACTGAGGAGAGGAATGCGAGTAACCAGCCAGCAGTCACATGTCCTGAGTTCCTCTGTGTAAGGAATCTTGCCGAATCTTGCCGGATTCCCCACTGATGACAACAGTCACCTCATCTACCCCCGTACTTCATTGTTTACCTCATAATCACACACTCGGTGTAAATTTAGCTCAGGGAACCAGACGGACAAACAGGGCCGAAGAGGTTAGCTAAAATCGTTGGGAAGACCCCATCGAGCCATACAAGGAAGGAAACGAATAGAACGGATGGATTTTCATTTGTAATTTTCATTCAGATTTCTTTGATTTTTTGGTTTGTTGATTTTATGAATATGGAAGCTTTCGAAGCGTCAGAGACTGGCGAAGACTCTGAAGAAAATGACCACAATGTGTTTCAGAGAGGCAAGATGAATCTCGCAACCGATGGAGAGTGTGAGGTACCAGGTAACCTTTCATGTGTACGTGCCTTTGCCAACTCTCAAGCGTTTACGCTGCAATTAGATGATTAAGGTGCTAATTTTGAGGAGGACAAACGACAGTTCACATTTATGGAGAACAGCTGCCTTCGATATCCTTCCTCCGTCGGTCCAGTGGATTCGCTGCGGAGTTCATGGCTGTCCACACTGTCCAACATATGGTCACAGCCTCACCGACCTCGGTGTGGACACACAGGAAAGTCTAACGTGTTAAGCAAGAGTGAGGCCATGTTGATTGTCCAACCGGACCGTAACTTGCTTCCAGGAGACGCTCCAATTGGTTCTCTGGGAAATACTGTTAGATCGGGCTTGCACAGGTCGACTTGAGCCTGAGGAATATCTTCAAGTTGACCGGATCCATTTCAACTCTCTGTAGAGTTATAAAGGAGCTGATCGAGCCAAGTGCTGAGCAAATCAGAGCAGCTTGCAATAACAGAGACGAAACAAACAGTTGTCGGGCCTGATTCGAAATCCTTTTTTAATCCCCACACAGAGCAGTTGCTGCTGTGAGATTCAAAAATGGCGACGAAATCTCTTCTCCTAGCCTTGGTCTGCCTCTCTTCAATCACGATTCTCGCTCAGGTAGACTACTCTGCACCCGAGACCGATCTCTCAAGTACGGGCAGATGAGCTAGCTTGTGTTGAACTTCCATCAATTTGTTTGTTAGAGGTTCCCCGTGAGGATGAGATGGCTATTAGTGTACTGAATGCGGTTTGATTTCGCTAGATGCAATCCTTTATGCTTCCAAGGCTCATTCCAATTCTGATCTCTGCTCAAGTACATGCGATTTCTTGGCGTTCTTAGACAACATCATGGGTTGGCCACCTTCGAAGACCAACATTGTGAATACTGACCGAGATCGTGTGCTCTCACGGTCGCTGTGCCAGTGCAAGAGGTCCAAAGCAATTTTGCTCAAACGGTGATTGGATTTAGATTTAGATCATTCTGATTTGTATCGTTTGTTGTGCACCTTTCTCAGGGCAAATGCGTTTACACCATATTCGTCAAAACAGGATGGTACCCCAAGTCGGGCACCGATTCCTCCATCAGCGTGGAGTTCTTTGACAGCAATAGGAATTCCTACAAAATCGACAACCTCACTCAGTGGGGAGCTACTCTCTTGGACGCCGATCACCGCTACTTCGAGCGGACCCAGTTGGATGTGTTCTCCGGGTTCGGTGACTGCTTCGACAATTCCATCTGTGGCGTGAACGTGACATCCGATGGGAGTGGAACACACCACGGTTGGTACTGCGAATATGTCGAAGTCACCACTTCAGCGGCAGGTCGGAGCTGCAACAATCACCACTTCGAGATCGAGCAGTGGCTGGCCACCGATGCTTACCCTTATTCCCTGACTACCTACAGAGATGATTGTGTCTCTCCTTCCTTGACCTCTGCCAAGTCTGCTCGCCTAGAGCTCCCTCACTGAGTGAAAAGTGCCCGGCAGGGGTGCAGCGAGAATCCGTTCAAATACCAAAATTATGAGGTTGAAGAGGACCAGGCTTACACATACGTATCTATTTTCCTCCTTCCCACGGAGAGTATAATTTCTCGCGCGTGGAAGGAGACAAGGCCTATGTTGCTGGAAACGTAAAAATCTGAAAACCTGAAAACAAAAGCTTGTGCTGCCTCAAAAGCAGGACCAAAATTGCCTTGTGTACTATATTAAAAACTTTAAAGAGAAGAAAAAAAATTATACCCGACATTGCTTTCACACCGTGGGGATTGTAGTTTTATGCTTGTTTGTATCAGTCATGATTACCATACAACTTGCTCTGGATTCTGTCCATATTTTGAATCATGGTTGTTCAGGGCACGCATGCAAAATCTCACATATCTTCCTCAGGACTGACATGTTCCATGCGATCTTTCGCTGGCTTTTGAAAAAAGATGGACTCCAGAGATGGCAGGTAAGGTGATATTGAAAGCCGATATGGAATTTGAGTGTCGAGGATTCTCAAACATTCGTGCAGACATACTCTACTGTACACTTCACATATTCTTCGTGATGTGTAGATTCTTGTGAGACGTTCCGATAATCGAATCAACTGAAGATTGGCTAGATACATCGTCATCAATTCTTACTATGAAGTTTCACGTGTCAACATTTGAAAAACTTCCTAAACACTTCGTTCTTTTCCGCGCCAGATATGAGCCAGCAAGTCTAGAGGTGACATGAAGAAACATGAAGCTGAATCAAGCACACTTCTAGTGAACCAATGATGGCTCGGGATCTGGATCCGGAGCCATCACAGGCTGATTAGAGGCATTCTTGCGCCAACAATGGCTCAAACAGGGTGGCGGAGTAACTGTAGTGAGTTTTTTTATTCGAGGTGAGAATATGAAGGAACCTATGCATCACGACTCCATCAGATTACCAAAATTCAGTTGTTAAGAAGTAAAACAACGATAGTTTCAGACCGTGCAAACAACTTCATTACCGTATAGTATTCCATGTTTCAATCATAATTTTCAAAGTATCTGTTACTTTCTATTTCCTTCAGATAACCAATCGAGAGGTATTGCCTTGCAAAAAACATGAACTTTCATTTGTCGTTTGAAGACGATCTCAATCAAAATATATATCTTTGCTACGGGAATATATTCCTATCTGTTTACAACTTCCCAGGCCGGTCCAGTATGCTATCAACAACAATGTGACATACTTGTATAATCGACTCTAGATCCTTCTCAAGGCCTCAACGGAATATTCTAATAAATTACAAATGTTTGAGACGTGGGTAATGATTATTCAATTTTCTTGCGATTAGAAATGTATTAGTTTGAAAATTTGATTGAATATGTCAGAGAAGAGACAAAGACTATCACACATCACTCAATAGTATTTTACAATGTCCTAGTTACGTTAGAAGATGGTCTCATAACATAGGAAAGTTGGTTGCACATAGATTTTGGAGTTATTATAATAGAGATTGGGCTTGTAACGTTAACCCGCATCTTCTTAATCACAGTTAGTCTAACCTTAATTAGGCTTGGCTTCTAGTCGAATCTGGTATATTTAAACCAAGGATAAACTCGTTTGTGTTTCAGTCTCACATGTTCACCACAGTGGAGAGGCACTATTAAGCTTGGCTATTGATTTCTGATGTATATTTTCGTTTTAGTGAAGTTTTTATTTCGACCATGGACGTAATCTCATGTGGAATTGGATCACATACATTAGTTTGTGATTCTCGTAAAATATTTTATGTATGAGTTTGTCTTAATAATAGAATTGAGATACTACTTGGCTACGTTGCAAAGTAGTTTGATCAATCCGCGCTAGTAAATAGTTAGTTTCAACTACAAGATACTTTTAATACGGCTTGATAATAGACATAGTATCATCCTCATCTTAGTACAAGATGAGAATTATGATAATGCTACACAAGTTCTTCATGCGTTTTTTCTATGGCTAGATTTATTAGGCATTTATTTTTCTCTTTTATCTCACTTACATTCATACTTTAGTGAAGAAAATCCATGGTACATCTTAGAGTTATGACATTGAGGAGATATTATGTTTTGATATATTGCAATTTTTTTGAGTTTCTCCTTACAACTCCATGCTTATTTTTCATAGCTTGTCAAAAAATCCATGAACAACTTTAAAAGTGATAGTTATTCTAGTGATTTTACAAATTTTGTTTCAAATGATTAAATGAGTTACAGCAGGATAATTTTGTTATTAATTTGTCAAATGCTAAAAGCTAGTTGACTATTTGCACTAAACACTTTAAATGCTTAAATTGATCATCATGAAAATACATATGACATCATACATAGTTAACATAATGAACACAAGAATACATACGTACTGTCCTTCATCAACACAAACGTATCACAATGATTTTATTTTTTTTACTCTCCAAACATACACAAGATCAGGCAATTATTGCCAAAGTGTAAATGATTAGATTTTAAGATACACATATTAACTTTGTGCTTCGAAAGACTCTTGATGTTCGCACTAGCTACTCTTTACCATAGCTGCACTCTTTGAGTGTCATCGTTGAAAATAAACCTTGAGGCCTAAATTTTAACTCTACACCTTCAAGCTATGTCTTCTAATAACACTATTGGCCCGACGGCACGTCCAATTTTAACGACCCTAATTTCACAGCCGGCTCTTGTTGCTGGATCTCATATTGCACCTAATTATTTACATACTAAAGTAACCACTTCATAAGTCGTGATATCTATCGTTAATTTAATCACACGTTCACAGGTTGAAACATTTAAAGAGGGAATGGTCAGGCACAGGAGTACATAATATTGCACTGTTTGTTGTGGAAAGAAGTGCGGAGAGGTGATTCTAATTTTGATGCAGTTGCAGGCAAACTAGCAATCGATACAGCTTCATAACATGTTTCATCCAAATGTTTGGGGACCTACGCCACTCTAAATTGGAGAAGCCTAATTTAACTTTAGCGTTATGCCAAATTTACCCTAGTTTAGGTACATTCGGCAAATACCGAGATTCAATAGGCCTGTGCAAGACGCATGTAATACAATTATCTCCCAATCTACTGGAATTGGCTCTATCTATGTATGAACTTCTTTAATAAATTAATAAATACAATAGATTATACATAGGTTACTCTCACTTTTGATTTAGTTATGTTTTTGTCACAGTTCCTCCATGTATATTTAAAAAATGTAGATCAATTATGAAGATGTCTTCAATTTATCTTCATGAATTAAATATTTTAAGAAATATTGCATGCACTTGAAGAAATACTTTGATTTGATACATTCATATACACCTTCATTGTTCATTTATGAAAGTAATATCTTGAAACTGAAAACTATTCATATAAATAGTCATTGCACCATTGCACCATCGATTCTGAGGTCTGACGTGGTTTCGGCGATTCCATACGTCGTCCTAGTAGATCACTTCGGCTGGGAAAGTTCCAGCGCTTTGTCAATCAGGACACCAGAAGGCAATTTTATTTTTTGGCGCCAGGAGGTAACGAACTGTGTTGTCCAGCAACCATAAGCTCAAAGCAGCGCCATGACAACCGTGAAGTAAACTCAAACTCTATCCAGATCTCTGTGTCTGATGCGCTTGTGCAGAATATTCGAAGTCCAGAGCTTGTTACATGTACGGTGATTGCGAAAGATATTCATCCTTGCAAAGAACAACTGCAGAGCAAATGGAAGTCGTCACAAGACTCATGACTGCGTAAGGCATCTCCAGAGAATCATCGGCCGAAGAAGCATCACCTAAACCGATTGCTGTAATAAATAAATAAAAATAATAGACATAAAAATATAAAAATATATAGCAACTAGCTAGTACTCTTTATAGAGCAAAAAAATCACACACTTGCATTAGTTTATACATTAAGCAAAAAGAAGTGATGCACTTCCAATTCGTGAGTTAGGCTCTCGTGAACGTGTACTGTAAAAGTTTGCAGGGGAGATCTCAAAGCTAGAGGAAGAAATAACTGACTTCTATGTGTTCAAGGAAAAAAAACTAAGTGCTGCAAATTTCTATATTCGAAAACCTTGATTGTCACCACTCCACTTGCTAATATCTAAAAAGTTTCATGCAGACAACCACCAAATCTACAACTGTAGCTGATATTTATAAACCTTATATGTATGAACCGTAATCGAGTCAAGGTATTCCGTTGTTTCATTCACGTGAAAAAGTCATTCTCACTCATCGATTCAAATATCAAATCATTTATGGTATAATGAATAACTGCACTTTGATATTTAATGGATGGACTTCGAAGATTCTGCACAAGCGCATCAAACACAGAGATCTGGATAGAGTTTGAGTTTACTTCACGGTTGTAATGGCGCCGCTTTGAAATTATGGTTGCTGGACCACACAGTTCGTTACCTCCTGGCGCAAAGTTGCCTTCTGGTGTCCTGATTGACAAAGCGCTGGAACTTTCCCAGCTGAAGTGATCTACCAGGACGAGGAATGGAATCGCCGAAACCACGTCAGACCTCAGAATCGATGGTGCAATGGTGGTCATGGCTCGCGAGAAACGAGGTGGCCGTCAAGCGCGGACTCGTCTTGTACAACGTGGGACCAATAACATCCCTCTTCAGCGTGGCAAGACGAGGTCGTAAAGCAGCTTAGCTTCGCTTTGAAGGCTTATCAGTATATCGGTTCGAAATTCTACTAAATCAGTCGTCCCCTCCCTGATTAGCAATCCAAAATACTCTGTAACAAGCAATGGAGAATGATAATAGAAGAAGTCATGCAGGGCCTCCTGCGCTCCCTTTCGCACTGCTGCACCCGATTCCCAACGTGGGCGAATTCTGAGCCCGGGTTTCAGGGTACATTGATGTCTAAAAGATTTACTGTCAGTTATGGGCAGCACTGTGCTATGTTGCTCGCGGCTCTCTTGCATCATTTTCAGAAGATGAATCAATATGCTTGCAAATACTGCACTCTCAACAACAGGTTCTTCCGGTGGAAAAGGAATTCTGTCTAACTACTAGAACCTTGAGTTAATATCACATACGAGACTCAACGTGTTAGGTCTCTCAGCTATGACAAGTTCGTGATGTGTTTTATGATACTCGGAAAACGCACATCATGTTATTTAGCAAAACAAATGAGAGCTGTGCAAGCCCATACTTAAAAATAATGTGCTCATTGTTTACAGGTTTTCTGATACTGGGAGTGGCAGTGACAATTGGAGGTTCAAGACCTTCTCGAGTCGTGTAGTCGTTATCTCGAGAAGGTCCGCAGGAGAGTGGAAAGGCAAGACAATTTAGAATTGCTCCAGGCTTGTGATTTTGTGGAGCTGCATTTTATGGCTTTCTGAGCATATAGGACTAGATATATAGTTGATGAACAGGACACTTACTGATTTGTGTTAACATGAAATTAAATCCTCTGTTCAAATGAGGACTGTCACTCGTTGAAGGGCCAAAACAGTCAAACTAGATTGATCCGATCATGCATTGCCCTTCCCATAATTTACGGCCAAAACGTCGGCCGCCTTCCGGTGCACACATTAATGCCAGATGCAAGGAGAAGCGTGGAGAAAGTAACAGTTGATTGATCACAGCACGAGTCACTCACTATCCGGATGAATCTTATATTACTCTGTTCAAGCTTGTTCTTTCAGTGACATCTGGACCTTGGTAAGCAGCATTGCAATCCGTCACTCACAGCACAAGGAGATTAGTCTTCGAGGAGATGTCGCCACTTGTCGCAGTCACTTTGGACGGAGGTTTCACGATCAAAATGACGATATCGTGAATGAGTTCTTGCGATTCTCAAATCGTATCTCCAGTTAGTATGCGATCGTCGCAAGCTACCGTCCCCAGTCACGGTATAGGTCCCTTCCTGCATTCCAGTCTGCCCTTAAGCTTTTGGTCAAGTTTGGTGTCAACCACGTTCACTCTGAAAGTCGAGTTTGAAATGGAAGGAAGCTCAAAATGTTTGTTTTTGATGATACGGGCACCAATAGAAGGTCTGTGATCGATTTTTGAGCTAGTAATCATGACAACTGACAAGCCAGACATTCGAGAGAAAAGCGTCCACAGCATTTTAACAAACTGGGCCTTTGAATTAAGATGGTCTTCTAGAGATGAAGTTGAATTTCGTCTTGTGAGTTTGCTGGAGCACCTGTCGTCTTTAGCAGTGACAGGGCCAGCCAAACCCTCCCTGTCCAAGTGGAGTTTAGGCATCATGGATGGTGGCATTGGAGCTCTTGGACGGGCTCTCCAGCAACAGCCTTTCCCTGAACTGAGGCAACTGACAGTGTGCAATTGCCGACTGATCGGAGAGAAGGGCATGGCCGAGCTAGCTAGATCGATTGGGACGGGCAACTTGAATAATCTCGAGGTACTCAAATTTCAGAGCAATCACTTCATAGGAGACACGGGAGCCAAAGTTCTGGCTGACGCTCTGCAGTCTGGGAAGCTAGCCAGTCTCCGTAGGATCGATCTGCTGGACAATGGAATCGGTGACGAGGGACTGAGTGCCATTGCACTTGCTTTGGGCTCCGGTAACGTCCCGAAGCTCACCAGTCTACGAGTAGGAAGTGAAGCTGAGGCGTTCCACATGAAGGGAGGCCAAGCTCTTGCTAGAATGATACAATCGGAGAATCTGCCTTTCCTGGAGGATCTCAGATTTCGAGGATGCGTTGTCGAGGAAGGTGTGATCGCAGTGATTAAAGCGCTGGAGACAAGAACCGTCGGAGCGTTGAAGAAGTTAGACTTGAGATACTGTGGTATAGGTTTGGAAGGAGCAATTTTGTTGGCGAGGGCGCTCAGTTTGCCTTGTTTCTCTTCCTTGCGTTTGTTAGATCTTGGCGACAGTGTACTATGATAAATATGTTCCGAAATGTTCAGAAAAAGCTTTTCGATCAGTTGGATGATTTCTTCGTTGGGCCAATTTCGTGAGAGGCGTTAACATATCGAAGAACTTTTTCCAGGAATTTTACTTTTAATCCAGACTACCACTCTGGCATCGCAATCGGGTGATGCCCGTTCCGTTATTTCGATGTTAAGCAGATTATCAACTATTCTTACAAACTGTACGAGAAGCTTGGTTCTCCAGGCCTCGACGCCTCTTGGTCCGAACCTCTGACTGAGGTCGGGAGGAGGAAAACAGATGAATCTATCGAGCCACCATTCAATGTCGAAAACCCGTTCATTACAATTCTTCTCCTTCTAATCTGACGTTCACTTAAACTCGGAACTGCAAGTGAAGAGAATGTCCTCTTCTATCAAATACGAGTAAGATGAGCTCATTATATTACAACAAACTGTCTGATTTAATACCAGTCTTTACTGAAGGCGGCCATGGGACAGTCTCTGTCTTAACACAGGGCCAGAGCAGGGCCGAGAGACACATTGGGACAATTTCAGCGCACGAGCAAAATGGCGAGCCATTTCCGCCTACACTCTGTTCCGGGATTCTTTTCTCTGGCCGGTGCGTAAGTATCCAGAAGTTGAACGCACAGTTCTTGAGAGAATGTCACGGTTTGAGGTTGTGGGGCAACCGATTGTACAGAAATGTTCTCGGTTAAATTCCAGGCTACCAGGCACAAAACTTAACCTTGTTAGAAGAACTGTCCCTCGCGTCTACTGAGGTCGTATGCTCAATGTTTCAAGCCTGCCTCGCTGTGCAAGAGGTGAAAGCAGTTCTCCAGGGCGTCATTGATTTCCAACACGTCGTCATCTACTTGAGTGTAACTTGAGATTGACAAAAGCTTCGATAGCAGGGAACGATGACGTGTATCAGCCTTTCTTGCTGCATTTTGCTCGGCTCTCAAGCTTTCATGGAATCAATTCACAGGTTGTCCCTTTTGGCATTCGCTTTTCGTACGTTGGTCCTGAATTTTCTCTCATTCATTTTTCCTCCTCGTCTCTCCACGAAAAGCGATTTTGCCGCCGAGGTATCCGCAGAGAGCAGAGGAGATCCCGAGAAGTCTGTCCCATGTTTGTACTCCGTGGCTGCACTCTACAAATGGTGATATTCGAAAACTCACCAGGTTAGGGATGCTGTGTTCCGATGCCACACTTCGATATGGGCCAGCAGGGATGAGTTGATCGTGTTCAGTCTATCCATTGCAGATCTATTGTCGATGATCTTATCAATCAACTTCCGACCGATGAACCAGGCTCGTGAGGATATATATTCCCCCATGGGCGTACTTTCTCAAACCGTATGAATAACCAGTATGAAAGAAAGGACAGGCACCAGGAGCTTCTGCAATTCAAGCGCAAGGCGGAAAATCCAGGACCATGTCCCGCGTGTCCGTGCAATTATGAAGTGAAAACCTGCAGCGAGCACTCTCGTGAACTGAAATTTACTCTTTATTCATATGTACTGTTTCCGGTTTCAAACAGACGGTGAGAAACTTGTCTCCTCCATCTGCAATCGGGTACTCGATGTTTCTCCATCGAGTTCCCCGATCCACAATCACAAAAAGAGCTATGCGATCTCCCGATGTGGCTCCCGTGATATCACCACCCTTCTGTCCGCTCGTAATCAATCGAGTCTCGCAACTAAAGTGAATAAAAAACATATGAGCTTTCCCGAACTGCCTACAGGAACGCCTGGTCGATCAGGAATGGGTCGGTGGTTGTAGCCTCAGTGAGAAACCTTCCTGGTCATCTTAATGTGAGATCGAGCGGACTCGACCTGATCGGGAATGTCGGCAACGCAGTCGTCTCTGTTAGCGGTGAGGGAGTAGGGGTAGACGTCTGTGGCCAGCCATTGATCGACGTTGAAGTAGTGGTTGGAGCACTCCTGGCCGTACCTGGCGGCGGAGATCTGAACCGAGTCGCTGAACCAGCCGTGATGCGCACCGCTGCCATCGGAGGTCAAGTTCATGCCACAGATGGGAGCGTCCAAGCATTCTCCTGGCCCGCTGAAAACATCGACCTTGTTCCTCTCAAAATAATCGTTGTTGCTGCTCAGAGAGTGTCCCCAATCGGTGAAGTTGGAGATGGTCATGGAATTGCCAGAAGCGTCGTAGAATGCCGCACCGATGTTGGCGTCTGTGCCTGCCTTGGGCAACCACCCGGTTTTCACAAAAACCGTGTACACGCAATAGTCCTGAACCAGGAAAAGCAAGTCACAATCAGAGAGCCGAAGAACGAGGAACATCGGAGACCTGCATCTCCCTGCCATCTCGATTTTCCTTCATGCTAGATCATACCAAACGCAAATCGAAAGAAGAGACAGAAATCTCATGACTACATTTCTTCAACAAACTCCATAACCCTGGAAAACTGCCTCAATTCGAATCAGGAAGAAGTCAACGAGTTGAATGAGACGGCGTTTGATGGCCTGATTTGGACGTCTCAGAGACAGCGAAATTTCGACATTATGAAGACGAGAGCTGGAGAATCTCAAACAGACAGGCAGCAGTTGAAGGCACTGAAGGTTTGCATTACCTCTGCAAGGACACTGGTGGCAGATAGAAACACGAGAGCCAGGAGAAGAGTCCCCATCGACATAGCCATAGTTTCTTTTTTTGTGGATTGTCTGTCTGTTAAGACTTCAGATATGTAAAAAAACTTATTGTGCTTCGCTTCTCGTTCCGAGTTGCTCTGCTTTGCTTTGCTCTCCCATCGCTTTGTGTTCGCTTATAAAGCAGTTGGATCGCTCGCCTATCGATCTCCAGCAGTGGAGCTGAACGTGTAGCTTATGAATCTTTTGGGGCACTGTTGTGATCGGGTGTTCCAGTGCCTTTCACGAAGATGAATCACCGATGCCATTAAAAGGTGACACGTCCGTGAATAGTTCACTGAAGCGGGTGCGTTTCGGGAGATTGTGAGCTGCTCCTTCCTTTTCGGACAATAGGACAAGGCCTGTCATACGCCTCTTAGCTGCATCTGAGAAATTACAGGTCGCGGAGGAGATCTCATGATCACTCCACGAGGCCAATGGGCGAATGGAATGTTCGTAGTGTCAACTTGTGGCCTTTTCACATGACGACCTTAGTACTTTGCGGATCGGTAATTGATCATGTTAGTATGCGAAACAACTTTACGAATCCTTTGGGAGATGCCAAGTGTGGAAGGGTTTCACGAACACTTGAATTTCTTGAAATCTGTAAAATTGCGAGGAGTATTTGCGATTTTCCTCTAAAATTATGCTACCTTTCCAAAAAAGTACGACCTGGAGTCGAGACTGGAGAGCAAATTATGGCAAATTATGCGCTCGAGAATGAGGGTCGCTTCAGTGTTTGATGTAGGTGTTCTGCCAAGTTCGCTTTTGCCAAAAGTTATTAAACGGTGCATACGCATACAGTGAGCACTATGTTGATATACATGCCATCTAGTGTTGACTACACCTCCACCCAGTCAAAGGCTAGCTCGAACACATAAAAGCAATACTATCAGGAAGCAAGAATGGCTTACCTCTGCTGTATCAAGTACTATGCTAACCTCCAGAGCCAGTCGTAGCGCATTTCGTTTTGCCCATATGTAGGCAATATAATTATGCAACAGGACTGTACGATAGGTCTTCAACAGAGCGATTGAATTCGTTAACAGGGGCATACACTCTTACCTCGCCATGTTTCTTAAATGCGTCGGTTTGTTAGATGTCCTTCCAGGCGAGTCCTCTCAGTAGTATTCAGTATGCATGCATCTGAGTTGTTCCATCTGCACGATCTTCTCGGCATTTTGGATACTGTATAGATACGGTTTGCTTCAGTTTGTCTTGGGTGGCCCTGGACTTTTAAATTAACTGGAGCTTCCGAAGGTAAACCGAACCAGCGATTTACGTGCTACGTACCAATTCAGTGCTCGTTCTATTGACCTTATGCTGCTTTGAGCGGTCTCAGAGTCGGTTCCTCTGAGCTCCGGTCAATTAGAGAGGATCAAGTCGCGTTACGGGTGTAGACGGAGTCGATCGGAGCAAGTTTCTTCTTTATCGCTGGAGATTGATGTGATCTCCGAAAGATGACTGCTCTGGGAATATCTCTTTGCTGCAGTCAAACGTTCGTGGATCGGGCATTGGAGTCTTCCCGGAATTTTGAGTACAAAGCAACTACTTCCAAGACAACGTTTCGCAAGGAGTTTTCTCCGGTTCCATGATTGGTTTTGTAGCTCACTTGAGTTCAATGACTCGCCACTGGTGAGAAAAAAGTTCACTATTGTTACCACATAGAATAGCATGATGACCAGAGTCTCAGTGCGAGAGAATTGAGCCCAGCTTTATATGCAATTAGTACATGAAACCAAAACCTGCAGTGGAGCCCATCACAAGCATATCCGCGTCCAGGTAGATGGATTATGCGTACGCAAGAAGTACGGGGAGAGAATCATACACAGCTAAATCGGGGCGACAGGCTGTTAATGGCCTCAAAACGAGGGTGTTTAATCCGAGCTGGATGTTTTTGAGAATCTGGGCCTACAACATCTCATTGTTGTTTCGAAGTTTATCCTCACTCGGCCGGTTTGACTTAATTGACATCCCAAACTAGATGTTCATAACTCCAGTCTGCACTTGACATTTCGAGTCGACCGACCTCTTCCCAGATCTACAAATTCGCACCTCGAACTCTATCGTATACATTGTTCCACCAGAATCATGATTCTCAGGGACCAGGCTGTCCTCAAGTGTTGACGCGGTTTTCCTCAAGTGTGACGAGTTACACTAACGGCAAAGAAAAGGATAGGGTTTCGGGACGACGCCAAAACCCCTGTACTTACACTGCAGTCACTGCCGTCTAGGGTACAAGAGCTACAAGGGTTAAATCCAAACCGAGGATTGTGGTAGTTCCATACACTGGACACACTACGGCTTAGTGTGTCCAGTGTATGGAACTAGCACAATCCTTGGTTTGATTGCATAACGTACGAAATTACGGGGCTTAGTTACAAAGCCCCGTAATTTCGTTCGTTATGCAAACAATTGTTCTCGTTGTTTGTCTCTGGCACGAAAACCTCCTAAGATGAGATTGCTGCACACTTGAAACTCTGTAACTGATACGTACGTACAGAAAGTAATCGACAGAAATAAGCAGATTATTTTAATCGTGCCGTTACAATCAACGGTGATGCATTAATTATCTCAGAAAAGCTCCGGGTGGCAATTTCCGCAATGTAATGTGACTGTTTTCCACCAATTTTCCAGCCAGGGCTCAATTAGGTGACGCTCGTAACAAAGTGAGATCCGTTTCGGAACAGTTACCAACGTCGCCGTAAAGATACGCTTACCACTGTAAGATGAGGCAAGGAAAGACTGAAACAATTAGAAAGTCCTCTTGAGTTTCTCAATAATACATCGAGAAATGTTAATTAAGGGCATTTGCACATTTTGAAAGCATAAATAAGGAAGGATCATTGACTCCGTAATAGAGTGCGCCCACATGAACAAAACAAGTAAACTGCATACTGCACAAAGTCAATCGACCATGTGCATTCGCAACTCTGGTACTGAAGCACTTCGTTGAAGGTCTGACTGAAGAGGCGGTTGGGAGCGAGCAATGGTCTGTCCGATTTTTCACTCTTGACCACTCCATACTAAAACTAATAGCCTCGCAACTTCGTCAGCGTCTGTCTACGAGGGCACAAGAGTGTCGGCACTTCAGGTTGGAGAAAACTGACCCTGAGTTTCGCAGTAGAGAGCACGTGCAGATCAAGCACACCCGATTCTAGCCCAAGTGAAGGCTTACCTTCTCGACACTTTTCGCAGAAACAGAGAAGACGGGAATAACAAGGTCACAGCATCCGGAGGCCTCGAACAAATAAAGACGTTCTACAAAGCTGTGATGCCGCCAGTTGAATAAGATTACTTGCAAAATTCTGGTATGTACAAACTTATGAACAAGGAATACAACGCTCAAACAAGAGAGGCACTTTCTAGCAAGAACAAGCGATTCTTCCTCAGCCGTGTTGTGTTCGGACTTAAAATATTCATACAAGTTCGTCGAGCTCCTTATTGCTCATTCTTCGTCTCTCCAGTTCTTGATGCAGCTCTTCACTGGGCCATACATTGAAGTTCAATTTTGCTGCCAAGCAATTGTTTCTCTCGTAAGCCCGCACCAATGCCCGCCCGCTCATTAACGTGTTTTCGTGACAATCTGCAGAGAATTCCAAGAGGCTCGGCAAATGCCTGTTTTCCAACAGCGCTGCCAGCTTCACCAACTCCTCCTCTCCCAGACTAACTTTGCTCAGAGCGACTCTTTGCAAGGAGCACAGATTGCTCGACCTGAAAATTTCTAAAAGACTTGGCATCTCGTCCGCGCCAACTGAAAGGCCTAGGGATTGGAGAGAAGAAAACTGCGGCAGCTGAACGACTCTGGCAAGGACAATGATTCCGTCGATTCCTAGAGGACTATGCTGAAGATCAAGGCTTGTGAATGCACCGGTGGTGCGAGTTTCTAGAGCATCGAGTACAGAAACCACCCCTTCACAATCAACACACCCACTAAATTTCAAGTCCTCGATATGAGGCAGGTGCCCTGACGAGCTCAGCTCCCTGGCGAATTCCCTGGCTGCATCGAGGTGAAATTCCTCGTGAATTTTCTCATTTCTCTCGTCGATGTCATAACTACCAATGTGCAGTATCCTGAGGTTCGACAAATTCCCGGATCCAAAGGCTTCCCTGGCGAGTGCCTTCAATCCGTCGTCCTGCATCCCATTGTCGGTGAGTATCAGAGTGGTGAGTTTGGAGAAGTGTCCACCTGTCCGGAATGCTCTTGCCAGTTCGATGAATCCCCTGTTGTTTATATAATGATTACAGTGGAAATTGACCTCCTCCAAGTTGGGCAGGTTACTCCTGCTGAAAGCCCTAGCTAGCTTGGCGAACGGGCTCTCGAGAAGCAAGCGACAATGCGTGAAACTCAATCTCTGCAATTTAGGGTAGCCCCGCGACGCGATTGCAGTTCCGAGAGCTCTAATTCCCTCGTCCATGATCCCCAAACTCCACCTCGATCTCGTCTGCTGGTCTCCCGTCACCACCACCGAAGTTTCCAGCTCGAATAATCTCAGAAGACGAGCCTCGAATTTCCGCTTGTCCGACGACGAGGACTTGAGCACGGGCCAGTTTTTCAAGAGCAAGTCGAAAGTGTCCGGGTCGCTCTCGTTGAGCTTGGGGGCGGATTTGAGCTCTTGAGCCGCTTCATGAGACCTCAGCGACTGCCGCCCATCGAAGGGATCCTCCGCTTCAATCTCGCCCGTATTCCAACTCCCATGCGCGGGGCGCTTGTCGGACGAAATCGTGCCCGCCTCCGTGGAGCTCCACCTCCTCTGCATAGGGCGTCTCTCATACTCGCCCGACGACATTGGGCTCGGCGCAGAGACCTGCGCAGCCCAATCCGCCGAGGGAAGTTTGCCCAGAGGCGCCCTGTGCGTCTCGTGCTGCTCGTGCTGCTCCGCATGGAACCTGTTCTGCCTCAAGACATGGTCGCCCGAGCGCGGCCCGTGATGCAAATCCCGAGAGGGCTGGCTGCCGAATTCGTCGGACCTCGAAGTTTGGTAGCGCCAATCGCCGGGGTGCCGCCCATGCCCGGCCTCGTACTCGTACTCGCTGGATCGCGAGACCATCCTCCCCTTGTAAATACCTTCCGGCTCATTCGACCTCGAGCTCGAATCCGCGCGCGCAGCCCACTCGTCCGAGAGCTTCTCGTTCGATCTCCTCGACTGCGATGGTGAGCTCTTGCCCGCCGATTTCTCCTTGTCTGCCTTGCCTTTCTGCGACCGCGATCGAAGCCATTCCACGGCTTTGGACATGGCGTTGAAATTGAGTCCCCACTGAGCCGGCCTACTTACTATGCTGTTGACGAAAATTGATGATGCTCTTCAAAACCTCCCTCGCGAGCTCGGTGGAACAGAGCTGTACGATTTGGTACAATGCGGCGGCTTTGCACGAGGGAGCTTCTCGCTCGATCGAGGTTTCACGGAATAAGAATGGCCGTTCCAGTCTGAAGCATCAAAATTTGGAGCGGCGAAATCAACCCCTGACAAAACAAAACGCAAATCTCCCTTTCTCTGCGCCCGGAATGCTTTCAAGCTCCTCCGAGGACGCTTATTTTCTGCAAGAGCTCCACCTCCATGTCAGGGCTGGAAGGGCGGAGCCACACACGACGGTACACGGAGAACATGAAAATCAACACGGGAGCAAGAACCGAGACTGGGCTCGGAGCCTGCGCCAGTCCATTGCTCGTGTACCATGGCAATTCTCGCAGACTATTTGTTGCTCGAGCGAGCGAGCAAGCGCTCGATTGCTCCCTCGTCCCTCACAAGTACGTGCCTCCGATTGCGTATCGGTATAGCAGCGGCATCGAACCTGGAGAGCTTGTGGCCTTTTCGACCGAGCATTTCAGAAGGGAAACGATTCCCTGATTTGAGCTGTTTCGCAAAATGTCATGTCCCAGGCACTCGCCCGCTCGAAAGAGGCCATCATTCACAGCTGTTTAATGGTCCCGAACAAGGAAGGAATATGCGCCTCGAGGCATGTGCACGACTCAACTGACTGAATCAGCGCCCTGATGCGTTTAATCATTAAAAATACCTGCAGCGCATGTCATTGTGTACTCTGAGGCTCTGTCCTGCGACGAGGAGGCTCAAGGCCGTCTTTGAATTCTTCCTGCCACCAAACCGTGCACTGCTGCACATCAATCCCACTCTCCGGCGAATCGGGCCCCGCTGAGCAGGAGATGTTCTCAAGTTGCAGCTCGCGAGCGCCGGATTGCTGCCAAGGACGAGGAGCCGGACTCCGACAGAGCCAGAGCCAGAGCCCGAGACTTGGAGTCAAAGCCTCACCCGATCGTCTTACGGTGGAGAGGTCGCTCTCCATGGCGACCGCAGTTGACCTGCGCGTCTGGAGACAGCCCGGAAACACGACAAATGGTGGACCAGCGTGGTTCATCATTCTCGCCATCTTTTCGTCCGTGAGCCTGTTCCGGCACACGAGCATCCATCAGCACATTTCCCCGAGTTCGCGTTGCCGTTCATACATTTCGGATCATGTTCAACCTCGGCTTACGACCCAAGCTCATGAGGCTACCGATTGTCGCACATGCAGATCCAGAAAATGGAGCCCATGGAGCCGATCTCTCATGCTTGATGTCGACTTTGTCGACTGCGCTGCCTGAGCGATCGTGGCATGCGACATTAAACCTCGCCAGGTGGAGGTCCCTACGCCCTTACCTCTGGTCTAAAAGTGAAGTCTAAAAGCCGGATGTCACGACCTTTGAAATTATGCGGCAATCGTTCAAGTCCAGATGTCAGTCCTGCCTCAATCTTTTAATGCTGCTGCTGTTGTGGTAGACGATCTGTCAGTCACCACAATGTAGCTTTACACTTCTGTCTTCTTAGGTCTTGTTACAAAAGTTACATGTTCCTATTCAACTCCTTCTTCATTGAAGAATGAAGAAGGAGTTTCGTTTTTGTAAGGAAGGGAGCAAATTGATAACGAAGCTTTTTCTTTTCGACCGTCCAAATCTGCTCTCTCTGTTCTCGCTCGCCATCAAACTCCATTCTTCTTTATAGACAAGATAGGGAGCAGGTTGGAGGAAATTATTACTACCATCAAGGATGTGGTGATGAAGTCTTTGACGGATATTTCCCTCCATATTTCCACAGCGATCTGATATAATTTTACGGTCTGCCAAAGTTAAGAGTCTTTAGAAGAATTCCTTGCTGAAAGGAAAGAGAGCATTCAACATTCCAGCTTTTGCACTTTAATTTGAATTACCTAGAACAGCATGTACTTCGTCACCAGCGAGCAACCGTGAGAGATGATGTCGAAGAGACGTGTGAACGAACCTCGTCGGGCAGTACTTGAAGGTCGTTCCTACATCTTCTCACCGTAATACAATGTGGTATCTTGCTTGGGGAAGGAAGTGTTTGAGATCAAAAGAAAAGCCCTGCTTACGAATCCCTTGAGTTTCAGTAGCTCAGCCATTGGCCGTCATCGTTTCCCATGAGTAGTGGAGCCTTAGCATGAGAAGTGGGGAAACCCCGCGCTTATCTCGGCCACTCATCCCACGCCCTTTGCAAGCACTTACAGCTACTGTCTCTTCTTGTTATATGGTGAGTTTTTTGTCACATGGTGGGATGATGAATAGGGCCAAGTGAACAAAAAAAGGATGTGAAGAATTCTAACAACCCCAAGGAGGAACCAATAGGGTGGTTTCCAGTGGCTTGGCCATAATATAATATGTCACATAAGTCACATACATACAACCATAATATGTCACAAATGTCAAACAACGTCTACAATATGTAAACTGATAAGTTTAGAAACTGTGTACATTGAAGTGTATAAAAACGCAAGAAACGTTCCACACCCCCAGTAACATGCACAAGTAGCGGAAAGTTTAAAGTCAGCTGGGTGGAGGACAGTCACATGTTTAAGCCGATGGGTAGAGTAACAATTACAAAATCCATTATAAAGTCTCTCATGTATGAAAGGCCGCACCTGAGGCGTGTGAGAAATTTCCATCGGCTTGACAGAAAATATGTGCACCATATTGTGTGCTCATCGTTCTCACCTGTACGAACATCGACATGCGAAGTCAATGATGGCCACAGTTCTACTAACGAGCAGTCAACACTTTGGAAGGGGCCTGGCGTGTTGCACTTCACCACGTCTTGAAATATCCTAATCCTTTACACCCACACATTCTTTAGAATCTTGCCACAACACATGTAGGATGCATCCCTATTCGGATACGAACATGCGATTGGAGATCATGTAGCAGCCACAACAGCTGGTGAAATTAGCAGTGCTAATTGCTAATTTCTCCAAACAACCAAGATGAGTTTTGGATGATAAATCGCTTATATGATATATATATATAAATAGCTTTTTATACACGCAGCATTCACAATCAAGTATATGGGATGGTTGGGAAGACAAAACATGTAATTAGTGACAAAGTTCATAAAACGAAGGACTTCGTTACACCAAAGCAGGATTTGAAGAGAAAATAATATAATGCGGCGATCATTCATCAATCTAATGTCCTTCAGATTGAGCTGACATTCGTTTTGGTTGGCAGTGGGTCGTGGATCCTCTACTCCCGTTGTAGAAATGCATCCCACCAATGCATTTTCAAAGACGAGCCAAATATATTGTTTCGGGACAACCTTGAGCTGTACGATGTAATCAAGGTGACAATACACAATCTTAGTTCTCACATGGAGCATTTCATAAAGTTGTCGTATTTATGAGAAGGACGAGATAACACAAAGACCCCATAGTTTGTTTCGTTCCACACAATTGAGAAGAATCACCTTTTTGTTTCAACCAGAATGCTCTTTCGACAGCTCGATCTTGGTTTGAGAAGAGAGTTGCCACTTCTTATATTGAGTACATTTTTCGCTCGTTTGCTTGTTATCTAGGCATAAACCTTTAACAACAAATTCAATTTTCATGGAGACCTTGGTCTGTATCCCCCCATCTTTGGACTACTTCACTTATTACCTGCTTTGTGTTCGTTATGTCATCCAGCCAAATACCTCTACTACATAAATTATAAAACAGGAAAAATACTAAAAAAGTTGTTAAACATGCCCCTACATTACCCTTATCATCAATGAGGATGAGGATTGATTCCCAAGGGTTTGACTAATTTCTCTATCAATTCAACCTCAAGAAATAATCATGACTTGTGATATGAACATCCATATATATTTTGGCTAGTCAAAGGGGAAATGAGGGCAAAATTGCAAATCATTTGAAATGTCTCAGTTGGTCTTTGAACCTTACTTATTGTGTATAACATACAGATGAGAAGGATGCATTGAGTTTCAAAGCTGCAATCAGAACTGTCTCAAATAAGGAAAAGATGTCACTTCGTTTTACTAGACGGTTCTTAGGTCAACCCTTAAGCTTTCTAAGCACAAAAGAAAGAGTGGATTTTAAGGTCCAGTAGAAATGTACGAGTTCTCACCTTTGTCCAATAGTCACCAGAGGTGATAGAGAAGCATGAAGGAAAAATGATCATAAGGGAAAGAATTGTTTGAAGCTCATCTGATCCTTTTCTGATGCTGGTGGAATTTTTTTTTACCGTCCTTAGCTTGGATAGACGAGTGATTTCGAAGTTCCAAAGTTTGGGCTTCTTCGTTCTCTTTTGCATTAAGAGAAAATGAGATAGACTGTACTGTTCTTTTCAAGAAACCTCAATCAGAGTGTATAAAACCTTGTTAAATGGTTGTTCACGAATAGTTAAAGCCAAGCTGCTAATACCGTGTCATGACCACTAGCTTGCTCAATTTAACGATGATTGCCAACTCTTCATGCTCGTAGACCTTCTATTCCTCGGAATTCTGGCATCCTAGATATGTGCAGAAAAATTCCTAGAATGTTTTCTAGAATGTCGTCTTGAAGGGTGTGCAGCTCATATGTCTCTTGACATGATTTGGTTCTTCGCAGAGGTCTAAGCAATCAGCTTCGCCTGAAGTTTAAGAAACCGAAATAAATCGGCCCCTTACTCTCCAATTATGAAGAATTCTCGGCAAGATTGTGCTTGTTGAGTGCTTGAAACAAATTCGATATTTTTAGACATCGTGACGCCAGAGAATCATTCTACTTACGTCTAGGCAGTGACAAGAAATGATTGCTTCCTCAACAAGTGTACATAATTTTAACTACCTTATATTCTGACGTAAGCTCGGGTACGTACTAGAATTGAAGAGTATATAGCTTCGGTTTTAGCCCTGCTGCCATGATGGTCGACGACACAAATGCTTGCGGAGACTGTGACATCGGTTCTGTGCGTGATAGCAAGGTTTTAAACTCACGATCAAGTATGATACGTTCACGAGCATCGTCATAGTATTGACTCTAGTTTAGATATTTGCTTCATATTGACCTATAGTGTCTGGCTATAGTACTCTGCTATTTGTCTGTGTTCACTTGACCTCTCTTCCTCTCTTCTTATTCGTATGCAAAGTTTACAGATTTGGTGTTTTCAGGGCCCGGTTGACTAGATTTCACGAAAAAAGGCCAGCCAGTAGTTCATGTGCACTGAAGTCCTGTGAACAGTAGTCATTTGATTCGCAAAGTATCTCCTTTGATCTTTTCACTTACTCCAGACGGTGAGTGAGGTCCACTCGTGAAGCGTTGGAGCACCTTTCACAAGTATTGCTTCTGAGATCGGTCAATGTATAAAACGAGTCTCTATGGTCGGTTGGTCTTGAGTTTGACGATTGGTCTCAGAAGAGAATAAGCGACGCTGTTGAGGAAAACTGCCAACCCAGACTGTAGATTAAAACAACCCAAATTTCAAACATCGGTAGATCTGCTTCTGCTGAAACACGGGCAATTTAACATTCCTGTCAAAGGGTGAACATATGTATAATTCTAGAATTTTCGAAAGCAATGTATCTGCTGGCTTTGGTCTCATAATCTTCACGAACATATATGGCCCTCACCTTTAGATTCCGCCGGATATTACCCTCAATTCAACAATAAGAATAAAAACTTAAAAGCGGCTTAGCCTGAAAAGGTACATCAAACTGACTTTATATACTGTCAAAAGTTTCAGCTTTCAGCTCTCTCCATTTAATTGCGAATTTACACGGCGTTTCCTCCAGCTGTGGTTGTCCTGAGTAAGCTAAGTCAAGTGCACTGACATCGACCCAGAAACGGAGACAACTCTCAGCAATAACAAGCTGAAAATCTTTAAATTGACAGCGTTTACCATGCTCTCGAATGGACTGAGTACTGCATATACTGTCAATTGCTTCTGACAGCTTGACTACCACCGTAAACAAGACAAGTAGGAATGCACTCGTTTGAATGCGTCATCCTCATCGCTTGAATGGTATATCTGTTAGATCTACCCGCGTGGTGCGTGCAGCATTCTTTCGAGCGTGAATTCGCTAGCATGACTTAGATTCCAAGCTTTTTATTTCGTAGGTACAAGTTGCAGACTATGACAATGTTTTAATGCACCTTGAAGCACGAAGCCATTTGACGACCATGAGCGATGATTGATGACAAGAAATGCATCTATTAGTTGACATGGTGACAGCATTGAATCCCCACAATGGATATAGACATAGGCACTTGCCTTGCACAAAAGGAGAGATCTACAGCGATCTGAGAGTGATAAGAAACTTGCGGTAATCATCTAACTGCTTTCTAACTGATGTATGGATAATGGTCCAGCAAAGGATGCATTGCCGCACGTTCCTGCGATGCTTAATCTTTTAACACATGGTTTCTTACAACAGTTCTGCAGACTTAGAGACCGTTGTATATATGATAGTAGTTCTGAAGTTTTCATGTTTGAAGCGTCTCCAGAAGTATTCATGTGAGTAAACATCAATGAAATGACGAGTGTTCGGGCCAGTCAGTACATAAATTTTTGACTTTGGTTATTGCAATAAAATAAGCTGTGAGGGTTAATTTTTGTGTCTTTGATAAACCAGGAACATTTCATGATGTTAATGCTGAAATGCAAAACACTTGACAACATTCTGCATGAATCATTTAGTGAAAGGTCCAGCTAAGCGCATAGGAAGGGCCAAGTAACTTGATAGACTAACTTCCGAACCGAGGGCAGTAACACTTACCTTGACGGTGCTACAGATTTGCGACCTGATTCCATCTGTATTACATGAATAGCTGGTGACTGCAGTTTGAGCTCGACATCAATCTCTGCAAAAAACCTGAATTGAGCTTTTATATATAAACACATAAATAAAAGTATTTATTTATTGAATTGGAGAAACGTTTTTGTGTGTTGAAGTCATGGTCAAGTCTTTAAACAGTGGCTTCGTTCTCCCTTCTTCGTAACCTGCAAAAATTATGTTATCAAGTTGTGACTTCATCTTTCTGTTTCTGATAGATATCCAAAATGCGTTAAAAGTTTGCCATGGCGTGAGCTTGCTTCAGAACATATTATGGAAAGTCTCCGTGCTAGATGATAAGAGGTTCAACAGATTTCAGGAGGGACTAATATGTTTCGCAATAGAAAATTTCAGATTTTCATTGCAGGACTACCTGAATGTTGATCATGCAAGCGATTCATTTGAAACATGCTATCGGATAAGGTGTGCAGAATCTTAAACATCTCAGCTTCCGTGAAGGTTCTCTTTCTTCGGGCTTTCATAAACAGAATTACTGGCACACATTCACAATACGCTCTCACACGTCCCATTTGCTTCTCAAGTGATAATAATCTAAGATCCCAATCCAGATTTTCTTCTATGGTGTATCAATTTAGCAATTGCCAAAGTAAGTGCGAATTTATATTCCGTATGTCTTCTGCTATAATACAATTACAGCAGATTAGACAAATGACCTCATTCTCTCCAGGGAAAGTTCTGATCCCCTATGCTGTGACCTGTCATCATTCTACTCATACGATATGTAGGTCGCCTGTCAACTAACAACTACGGTCGCCGAAGGTCAACTAACACTTTGTTCCTACAGCTTAGATTCTATTAGAAAAACCTCAAAAACCTGTGAAAACTGTTTTGATTGAATTCCCTGGAGTCTAATTCCGAACATTGAGTGTTGGTAGGAGCGAAGTCTGAACAGATGTAAAATGATCTGGCTTGAAAGAAAACTTTCATCATAATATGATTAAAATCATCAGTTGTAATCACAGAGCCCATTCTCACATCGTCCATGGAGGTTGTGAGTCGAGATTCTCCTGGGGCACTTCAGTCCACACCTTCCACAGTTGTCTTCATCTTTCTGAAGATCCACACAGTCACCATCGCAACAGGTTTTCCCAAAGTGACAGTCATGGCCACATGACCCACAGTTGTTGAAATCAGTGCTTTTGTCAACACACACCTCATCGCAGCAGTCAGGACCAGCTGAGCCTGCCTGGCGGCAAATTGATTTGTTGTATTTGCAAGTGTTTCTTGCAGGAGTCACGTTCAAAAGGAACCTTCTTCTCGGACTCGCTGGGCTAGATACAGCATTTACATCTATATCTAAGTAGTCCTCTGCATTCACAGCAAGCACAAATATAAGAAGGGTTGCCGACGCCATGAAAACGATTGACATCACTTTGGTATCCATGGCTGCTGTGAATGTTGGAAGCCACCGAGCAGGATCAAAAGATGTGTTCTGCAGCTGAACTGATGGCAGAAGGCAGGGAGTAACGGCTGAGCTGCTTGGCTGCTCCACGGGCCGAAGGAGCTATCAATGGATGATTTGCGCATTTGGACTCAACTATTTATAAGTGACAAAGCAGTGCCCAGACTGTTATGAATTTTCGGCCTTAGTTACGCATGAGAGCAGTGAGCATAACGAGTACACGTTGGTGGACGGTTGGGCTCTGATGGTCCAAGTACATAACAGTTCTTGCAATTGACTTCCTTCCAAAGTCCACCTTTTCAACGTCAGTCATAACTGTCGAGAAATTGCGTCAAACAAAGCTCCAGCATGAATGCTTTCAACTTTGAAGTTTAGATGCAAACTCTGCAGGATGATGCATGAATTGGCCTCGGCTGGACTTCTGATTTATATACCTGTGATATATGTATAAAACCAAAGTATATGTTTACCCGTTTGCGTATAGGAAATATACATGTCTAATTTGAACAACTAAAGACAGGATTATATGGAAATCTATTGTTCTAGGATGGAGGCGGAGCTTCAGTTCCCTTCACGCTGCTGCCACCAACTGTCAAGCGGTTGGATCTCTTATGCTTCCCTTGGTTCTTCATAGTTTCTGAAAAAGTTCTTGTATAGAGAATTTTGCGTACATTAGTGTCTATTTCATTGAACTTATTAATCCTCAGGGAGATTCGGTGTGCCCTGATACAGTTTCTTATATGCTTAAGTATCTCGATGGAAGCATCGGCCTGAAAATCCTATTTGATAAAAACATGCTCGGTGTGCCCATGGGAAAAATCCTCAGGTGGTTTTCATCAATGCCAATTGTATGTGTCACGTCTGCATGGGGATTGCTATTTAATGCAAAAACACTTGCGGAAACTTTTGGACTTCTTGGTATTCACATTCTAATACTAGTCTTGTAGATCTGTAACCTTAGCTCAAAGATCTTCCTGGCCTGTCTTGGAACTCACTCGTACTGTACCAGTTCGAGCCAAGACAGAAGCCGCTCTTTGTAGTCAATCCACTACCTTGCTTAACACAAAGTCCCCTGATTTGCTGTAGACAATCCTGCGGGGATCCTGTTCTCTATTATTAAAAATGAGAATTATGACATTAAGAAAGGGATCATGAGCCACGTTCATGACCCGAGGGTAGGTGGTACTCAAACTTTTGAATGAGGTGGACATGATGGAACACTGGCATATATACTAGCATCGAAATGCATCATCCTCTTCCTTGGCAAAAATCAGGCATACAGTCGCCATGAAGATGTTTTTAGAAGGAGGGGACAAGAAGGTGGACATCACATTCATGTTCACAAATTGTCCATCTTTAATACCATCGACAAGTCCAGGTAAGAAAGTGCTGGAAGTTGTTCTTAGTGAACTGATGAGATGAGACATGCACTTAAGACGCATAGGAAACGTGTAGCTCATCAAGTCTGATGTATAGCTTAGAGGTGTACGAGACTATCGTTTAGAAGTTCATCTTTAATGCATCATTAGTCATAATCTTTGCTTTTTTGGCTTTGAGATGGGGGAAGCAATGCTGATTGTTTCAGTCCATGTTCAAAGAAAACGGACGCCTAAAGAGGTTTATTATTGATTATTATTTGGCGCCTAAAGAAATTCGTTTCACCAAGTAGAGCAGGGAAGAAGTTAACAATAACGACAGAAGTCGGGTCGTTGGAAGTAAAGGCACATCTTGCTCTCTTGTTCAGACAGAAGAGAAGACATAGGTCTGCTGACATGTATCGTGAAGACGTGCGTGTCTGCAATCTAAGCGACAACAAACCCTCGTTTTCAGCAAGACTACGTCATCTTTGACACTACTTCCAGTGTCGAAGTGTGTACTTTATTTCTTCGAAGGTCGAGGAGGCCGTTAACCGAGAAAACGTTGAAGGAACCTTGCAGAGTTTGAAAGAGTCTCTCGACAACATCAAGCGAAGAACGATTCAGTACGATTTTCCATTGGAAGTCCATGGCTCGTGTTGAGTATGTGTAAAGAGAATTGAGGCACCGTTGCCCCATAATGTTTCTGCGAAAATGCTATCTTGTCTCCAGCGTGAATTGGTTCAATGAGATACTGAATGTTTATCCTTATTGTAACGAGAATCGCATTCGACAGAACACATAACACATTCCCACTTTTAGTCTTACTTGCAAGTGAGCTCCAAAGGTAAAAACTGATGTAAAGAATCAACTAAGCGGTTGTGAATTCATCTCAAATAATACCATGTCATGAAATCAGTACAATATAATTGTGCATGACAGTGACTTATAGAAAAGTAATAGGAATAAACTTTAAGGTTTTACTTTGGTTTTGGTTTTGTAATTAATGAATCAAGGGTCACTATGGTTTCGGATATGTTTTCATCATCTCAAACCCAATGCAGATTCGTAGACATGTGAAGAAAATATTTTTTTTTCTAAGATAAGCAGAGTAAATCACTTGATGGTACCCGGGGAGACTCAAAACACTTGATGGAAACCAACAGGTTTCATTTTACCCTATGGCATTCCATCGACGGCTTGCAGCCACACCGTATGTGATGTTTCAGTACTAACTGGGTTATTTCAAATAATGGTAAATAGATCAAGCCAGTGGTACCCAAAGGGTCAAAAGGCTGAAAAACACAATACAAACAATCCAACTCCATCTTAGGAGAGAATCAAAAGAACCCACTAGCTAGTGCCAAGAGCATTCGAACGGTAACTAATAACATCCATAATGTAACAACCTAAAATATAAGGCTCAAGTTGAAGCAAAGAATAAAAATTCTCAACAATAACTTTATGAGCCACCCTGATCTCTATATATCTAGTACAAGTAACAAACACATAGTACAAGTAACAAACACATTTTCTTCCATCACATAGCCTACAAATACGTTCAATCCTATCAATGTTCAACCAACACCCTTCTTCAATCCCAAGACTATGAGATACTCTTCTATCCCTAGCAATAATATAATGTAAATATGTAGAGATCTCTGAAAATAAGTATACTTGCTCAAAAAAAGCAAGCATAAAATTCACATGAAGCTAATAAAACTCCATTTTAGTGCATTGTCTGCTTCAAATAATGCTGAGAAATTACTCCTTAATACACTCGCGAAGGGCCATAGGATGCAAATCCTAATCGAGTACTGTCACATTCCACCTCAAAGACCAAGTCACCACATCTGCAAACCATCCCTTGGGATATGTGGCATGCAAAACTTCAAAAGAAAGTCGAAAAGCATCAAGAGATCTCACTCTTGATGAAGTCTCACTCAGATTAGAAAGATGACGTCATGGTTCAAACTCGTGATGCCCGTCGTTTTCTTAGACATGGCTGCAAAGGAGTCGCCAAAATACTCTAGTCCAACTGTGGCGCACACTGCCCACTCTATAGAGCAAATCAGTAGGTTATAAGAACGCGGTTGAAGGTGGCCTTCGAATGGGGTCCCATTAGGTAAATTGAAACCTGTTTCGTCACTTCAAGAGGATTAAGTTTCCGAAGGGTCACATCATGTAATTTCCTCAAGATAAGTATGTATCACATGACATCCCATTATAGATATATCTTATACTCTTTCTACAAACTGAATCAATTGGGACTTCAATCTCAAAGTGATAATAACTTCCAAAAACTCAAATGGGAAGAATCAATGTATAAGGTTTTTGTTTACCTCGGTATTCTTCATCTTAGATATATAATTTTGTATAATAAGCGGTTTCACGAACAGCTTGATGAGCATAGTTGTGCTCTATGAACGAGATTCTCATTGTGTAGTGCGAATTACATTGACCCCACTTGCTTAAACATGGAACAACTTTTAAGAAACTCTGGAGATACAGAGGTGCCAAACAATTTTGATGCCATGCTTGGTCGTACATCTTGACCTTGCACAAGGTCCGACATCACATCGTTCTCTTTTTTCATGCAAAAAGTGGATATATTGAAGGGTTTTCTTATTCGTGGGTACAGCCACATAGATGCAACTTCTGCTTTGACACATATGACATTTGTAAACTGATCATGCCTTACGTGACACGTGGTAATCTTGACACATACACTTTCTTACGTAGACTACTTTGACTTTATGTTGACATATATAAGCAGGAAATTTTCAAGTTTTACTTTTACGCTGATAAGCAATAATGCTAAAAAAAAAGTATTGTACTTAGAAAGCACATGATGCTGAAAGTAGATTGGTACATCGGGTAACCTCTCTTCTGGAGAGAAACCCTAACGTTGAGGCAAAAATTCCCAGTCCCCTCTCTAATCTTGGCAGTTGTCTAGCCCGTTTCTGAGAACGGCTTGGGAAATTTGGTTCAGAGTTTAATCTCATATTCCCGCTACTTTGGCTCAAACTCTTTCCAAATTATACATCATTCGGCATAAGTTGGAAATATTGCAGATATAAATGTCTTCCCTACCAGGAACGAAAGCATGGCTAAAAAAACCAGAATTTAATTTTACCTCTTACTGATGGTATTAGCTCTGTACTTTCATTCAAAATCAGTCAGATTGTGTGTTGGACTTCAGAAGTACGAGTATTGAACTGTCTCTCCTAAAACCGATACAGTACCTGTCAGCACCTGAAAGAGAACAAAGAGGAATCGGATTGGTAGCCAACTTGCGGCACATGCATGGGCATGCCACTGGTGGGTTGTCAAGATCTTCTTTGAACATACTCGGAATTCCATACCAATCCATTCAGACTCACCGATGAGATACATCAATCCTGAAATTTCATTGAGTTTACTCGATACGGGAAATACAGGGCTCAGCCTTCAAAAGGCCTGAATCTAGCATACTATCTTCAATTGGTCCCTACTACATAGCTACTGATGTAATCTACCTGTTTATAATTCGGGCCGCATTCATATATAGCATAGAACTGTATAATCTAGATGTACGTAAATTGGACGGGTGGATCCAACTCGAAGACAACAAACTTCTCAGAAAATGGCGTAGACATCACATGTAGATATAAAACATACATATCAGCCCAACTTTGGCAACTCAAAGCTCAAAGTATGTTTCAGCTTTGGCAGGACCAGAGCTATGCAGAAAGATTAGATGTCAGATAGTTCATGATCGGTATCGTCAGTTGTAGTCACAGAGACCATTCTCACACTTTCCGTTGAGGTTGTTAATCGAGATAGTCTTGGGGCATTTCAGTCCACATCTTCCACAGTTGTCTTCATCTGTTTGTAGATCGATACAATCACCATCACAACAAGTTTTTCCGAAACTGCAATCCCTGCCACAAGAGCCGCAGTTATTCTCATCGCTGGACGTGTCGACGCAGACCTCATCACAACACTTCGGACCAGCAGAGTTTGGCTCACTGCATATTGTCGAGTTGAACTTGCAAGTGTTTTGTGCTGGCGTAGCATTCAGTAGATTCCTCCCCCTCAACCTGGCCGTGCTAGATACTTTGAGAGCAGGGGAATCCATGAGCTCTGCTTTCACGGTTAACACATACGTGAATAGGATTGCGTAAGCAATGAACGCTGTCATTTGTGTCATTGTCTGCTGCTCAATACTAGATTGAATCTTTCAGGTAAAGGAGAAGATTCTGCTGCTAAAGAGTTATACACAGTAAATGCGATCGATGGAGAAGAGCTACAGAAGAGAGATCATAAGCTCCAGGTCGATGGGCACTTTGATGCAGAATATCATTGTTGATTGAGAAGACAATGAACCCAGTATTTATAGGCAGTGAACGACAGCTATCTGCTGTGAGATTGCTTTTTAAGGGCTTGGGTGTTTGCAGAGTAAGTAATCAACAATTAGGAAACAGAGTGTTTCCTTTCACCAGGACCACTGCACGTAGAGAGGACGGTATATGTTTGACTCTTGCAGGAGATGATAGTACATGTTGAGCATCTAGATCGTTGCACTCATGGCCTGAAAGTCCATAGATTTTTCCAACGAACACTACCTTAACACAGGACAGCCATTCTACAAGATCATATAGCAGCCAACTTCAGGTTGATCTCTAAGACTTTCAAAATGGTCTTTCCCCGCAAATTTGGCAGCTGTTCTTTCTCTATTTTCCAATATTTACAAGCCACGTGTGTGGGCCATGATGTCAAGTCCACATTACCACATCGATTCTTCATCACTCGATTTGTCAATATTAGCAATTAAGCGAGGAAAGATCTAATGGAGGGAGACCTCAGCTCTAAGACTTCCGAAGAAAGGCATATTTTCATAATTCTATTGTGAGTTTTCCTCCGTACAAATATTGATTCTACAAGGCACCACAACACGCATCCCAATGCAAGCAAGCAGTTCAGTTCACATGGTTCGAGTTCCTAATATTGACCTAGGAAATGCATAGGAAAGAAAGTCAAATTCACAGTCAAATTCACCACTGTGCGTGGCTTCAGGGTGAAGTTTGGTTTTGTAATTCACGTCTGCATGGAGGGTGGATGTTGATAGAGTCTTTCAGAACACTCAATGAAATTTCTTCTTCTTGAAAACTGAAGTCTGACACAAGAATATCTTGCATAGCCTGCAGTCATAACATGTGAATGGTTTCCAAACACAAAAGAAACTATGTTATCACTTGATCAAAACGTTCAGAGGGGTGTGCAGTTTATCCTCTTGAATTTCGTGAAGGTACGAAAAATAGTTATAACCTCATGTGTGACCGAGGTAGGAGAAGGACCCCTTCGGTATCCTCATTTAGAGACAGTTGAATGCGGACTTGAACACGAGATCGTGCCGTAATATTATGATGGATTCTCTCATACTCTAGCTCTTCTTAGTATTAGCCAAACGAATGATTAAGAGTTGTCTCGTGCTCCAAGGGGAAATGTGGTCACCAGTGTTTATTTGAGTTCATTCTGTGTGATAAGTTGGACGTCTGATAAAAAGTCGCCATACATATGATACTACATATAAATGTATGCCTCATTTTACGTATGGATCGTACAAAGAAGTAAATCACGTTTTACAGTGAGTGGACAGATATATAGATCATGGTTATGACATATGATACGATTTTCACTGTCTTATTGGTTCCGACCTTGTGATCTGGAGCTTGAAGATCTGGCTTCAGTCTCTTGATATCGAAATGAAGAACCAATGAAAGATGTACATTAACATACGTAGTAGAATGCACTTTTGATGATTTCAAAGCAAAGGATAAATACAGATCAATATATGATCAGAAGTTTCCCGGGCAAGTTCTGTTACTGTATGAAGAAAAATGGTGGTATATCTCGTTTGTGACCGAAAGGAAATCTCAATAGATCATGGTAATGATACATGAATGAATTTGCATTGCTACTAAGTTCCACTCTTGAGAGCTTGAGCTTTAAGAGAAGCAAGTATGATGCCATTATCTTCTCATAAATGATACAGAGGTTAGTTTCAGACCTGCTGAGGGCTTTGAATATGCTTGATCACATTCCTTTACGCTGTAACCTTCTTGCTCGAATGAACGACAGAAGTGATATATGAGTTAGAGTCTCTCTGCTACATTATGTTTGCTGGCACATGAATGAACTTTTACCATTACAGTAACAGGTATCTACGAATTGAAGCGCCTCTCACTAGAAGTAAAATACTCGTGCATTCTCCAGAAAAGCCGAAGTGGACTTACCGGAGGAATCAGCAATCCGACTCAGTATGTTTCAACCACAAAGATTGGAAACAAGCAAATCAACTGAAAGATGGTCAATTTATCACATTGTTGAATGTATTTGGATATACACTCTCAGATTACATGTGACTTGAACTGAATTTATAATGTCAGTATCTCAACTGTCGCCATTTTTTCTTCTTTGTCTTGCACATGTCGCACAGCCATTGCATCTCACCCATTCATTGCAACAGATTCAGAACGTGGATAAATTGTACAATTTTTTGTATGGTAATTGACTTCAGAGTAGTACAAGTCGTTGACATCTAGTTACCTTGCTTGGTGCTACAATAGCTTCAGCCGTGGTATGTCTAGTATCAAGCGCTTACATGCACTTTATATTTTGAGAATTCTCTCTTTCTAATTGCATGACATGCAAAGTCTTCGTGCGTGCTTCACACTCCAGTGGTGAGCGGTCAGACTTTACATGGATATGAGTGAGATTTTCTTGCTAGAGCTCTCATTTCATAAGCCGTTTGTAGTATTGTACAAGCCACATCAAACATAATAACTTCAAGTCGTCTATCTATTATTTCTTAGTTCATCTATCCCCAGTCAACGTGCAGCAATATCCAAGAGAGTAAGAGCAGGTTTTGAATCTTGTATTCTTCCTTTCATCAATCAATTTTCAGGTTTAATACTTAATATAAAAGAAGAAGAAGTTTGATTCTTAGAATGATACAAAGATAAGAGATTAGACTCCTCAAAAATCTTGATTCCTTTCCCAATGTAAAAGAAATCATCCGCATAGAGAGAACTATGTAAATTCTTTCATCTCGATGTAGATATTCTAGGGTCGTTGTGTTCTTTTCAACTCCAGAAATTTCAAGTAAGCATCACGTTCATGGTACGAAGTCATCATGGCTTGCTTGAGCCCATTATAACATTCTTTCGCAGTCAAAATATTTCATTTGAGGTGGAGAAGATGTATGCTACAGTATGTACATATCTATCTCTATATTTCCATTATAGAGGTTTGTATTCACATCTATTTATATTAAATCACAAATCTTCTTACTCGATAGAGCTGGTCAGCTTCCACCTTTGTCAACCTATATACCCCGTTGTGGACCAACCAATATCTATTTGGAAATCATTGCGTGAGGTTCATCCACATGGCTCACAACTCAGCCACAACAGGTATTATGGACAATCTTGATTTTGCTGTAGGTTGTCCACATTAAATCCAAGCTTCATGTATTATTTGCTTTTGGGTTCGAGGTCTCAGTATAACAATCCAACCTTGACCCAAGATCCAACACGAAGTCAGGTAGATTCATGTCACCACTCTCACATCCCAAGTATCCAACATATCATGGGTGTGAATAGTACCTGATGGAATGGTCATTTGCAATATCCACTCTATCACTTGGTTGATATCCTAGCCAAAGGGCAATGTATAGGACTTTCGAGCTCAACTTTGAGATGTTATATACATCTCGAAACCCTCAACGACAGTGGCCGAGGGCCCAATACCCAAAAAGCCAACAGTAAATCGTAAACTCAATGTAACTTATAATTTTCTTAATATAAATGACTCTCATACACGTTTGCGTTTTATGAACCTACTTGTTAGGTTTAATTTGAGATCACTTCATTTCACCTCTGGGCTCGAAACGTCATAAGCAAACAAGTCTCAGATTGGGAATGTGCTATCTTCACTGTTAGAAGTGATTCTTTATTTAACAAAAATTTAAACTTGACATCTCAGTGATCCGTGAAGCAAAAAACAGGATGTTTGCAGAAAAGTAATTGGAGAATAGCTCCTCACGTCTCTCTACGCAGGCAGGCTAGACACCAGCCACGTACTCATCCGACAAGGCGTACTCGATTGTACTTCGCGTGATGTTGTCGTGAAACTTGTTCAAACTATGCGAGGATTCCTTCAAACCTTTCTCGGTAAATGGCCTCGTCGACATTCGTTGAGTGGAGTTTACACCTCGACAGTGGAAGTAGGTGTTAGGAGTGACATCATCTTGCTGAATTTGAGAGTTTGATGTCCCTTGGAGTGCAGACATGCACGTCTTCACGATACATGTCGGGCGACCGAGGTCTTCTCTTCTGTCTGAACAAGACAACAAGATTTGCGTTTACTTCCGACGACCCGACTTCTTCAGCTAGCGTGAAATTCTTTCTTGCTCTTCTTCGTGGAGTGGATTTGTCTAGGCGTCAATATACTGAAGAAAAGCTCGAAATGTACCTGAAGAAATACTGAGACAAACAGCATTTGTTTCCTCCATGTTAATGCAGGACAGACAACATGTGGCAGAACTTCTTAACAAGACTCTCACACTGCTCTAAAGAATGGATCATACATGACGAGCCAAGTGTTTCGAATGCTTGTGAAGTGCTCTTAGAAACCGTCTCTTATGATCAAGTCCCTATGAACATTTTTCATCACTTTCTCACCTCAACCGGATTTTCAGATGATTTTCAGATTGTATTCAAGGTGCAGAATGCGTGGAGAATTGACTGATGTCTACCTTGTTGTCCCTTTTGCTTGAAAACCATCTTCGAGGATCATGCATACCTGGTTATCCCCAAGGAAGGGGATAATTTATGGATCATGCTAGTAAATAAGCCATTTTTCCTTTCTGTCCGCCTCATCCGCAAGTTTGAAAGCCACCTACACGAGGGTCATGAAAGTGGCTATTGACCCTTTTTTACTAGCATAATTCTCAATTGCAGCAACAGAAAGCAGTATCCCTGGAAGATTGCCTACAGCAAATCAGGGGACGATTTTGTAAGCAATTTAATGTAATCACTACAGAGAGCGTCTTTGGTCTTGGATCCAACTGGTACAGTATGAGTGAGTTCCTTGACTCTTAGACAGTCCATGAAGAGCTTTGCGTTAAGCTTACAAACTCAGAGACTAGTGTTTAGATGTGCTTAACCAGAAGTCCAAAAGTTTCTTGAAATGCTGTTGCATTATATAGCAATCCCAATGCAAACGTGACATTAAAAAATTGAGATTGAGGGAGGAAAACCACCTCAATATCTTATCATGGGCTCTCTAAGCGATCAAAGTGTGCATGATTGCACCGGAAGGGATGTTGTGGGCTGATGCTTCGATCGATATACGTAAGCATATTGGAGAACTCTCCCTACTGTTTGATGGGATCACGTCTCGATTTCCCACTAAATCTCCTACACCTCAGCAGGCAAGAGAAAGCATCCGAAGTACTGCGTGCCACATGTAAAATTTATAGTTCACAAAGATGTTCTCTGTTCAATCTTTGATCTTGACTTTAACATACTGATATCACAAACATACAATTCATAGCATACCCAATCAAGTATACAGAAATAAGGTGAGCATACGAAATAAAATGGCTTGAAAGTAAGCGGCTGCAAAATGAAGATAACTGAATTCCGCCTCTATTTGACAACAAATATATATCAAGATTAATTCCCACACAATTACAATTTTGTGGGGTTCAGCGTCCGTATTAGAAAGGAATATTTCTTATGTACGAATGCACGACTTTTTTTTGGGTTTCATACGTTAATTTCGGATATATAAATATATTTCAGTAGTCCAGCCGAAATCAACACATGCGTCATCGTGGAGAGTGGCTTCTGCGCTTGAAGCTTGAAAGCATTCATGCTGGAGTTATGTAGTACGTAATTTCTCGACGATTATGATGGACGTTAAACAGTTGGAGTCGAGAAGCAAGTCAAATGTAAGACTTGTAATGTACTTGGGCCATCAAAACCCAACCGTCCACCAACTTGTAGTCGCCATGATCACTGTTTTCTTGCGTAAGCAAGGCCGATTTGGGCACTTCTTTGTATCTTATAAATAGGTGATTCAAAGAGCTCAAATCATCCATTGATAGCTCCTTCAGCCCCTACACCTCCCAAGCAGCTCAGCCGTATATCCTTCCTTCTGCCATCACTCTCAGCTGCAAACAGAGCTTTTGATCCTGCTCGGTTGCTTCCAAACATTCATAGCAGCCATGGATACCAAAGTGGAGAGGATGCTTTTCATGACGTCGGCATTCCTTCTCATATTAGTGCTTGCTGTGAATGCAGAGGACCACCTGGATGCAAATGCTGTATCTAGTCCAGCAAGTCTGAGAGGAAGGTTTCTCTTGAACGTATCTCCTGTAAAAAACACTTGCAAATACAACAAAGCAATTTGTAGCGAGCCAGGCTCAGCTGGTCCTGATTGCTGCGATGAGGTTTGTGTTGACAAGAGTATTGATAGCAACCACTGTGGGTCATGTAGCCATGACTGTGACTTTGGAGAAACCTGTTGCGATGGTGATTGTGTTGATCTTCAGAAAGATGAAGACAACTGTGGAAGGTGCGGACTGGCGTGCCCCAAGAGAATCTCGACTAACAACCTCCATGGACGATGTGAGAATGGGCTCTGTGATTACAACTGATGTTTTTTTAACAGATTTTGAAGAAATTCCTCTTTCAAGCTAGATTATGATGCATCTGCAGTCTGGAGGTGATTCAACGTAAAACATTTCAGAAGATTTTGAAACTTCCATATTCGGATTTACGCTGTAGCTAGGAAGTATTGTTTTTTCATTCAGTAAGTTTAAAATACGAGCCTAGATACATGCGATTCACCACTACAGTATAATTAGTAGCATGATGCCAGAGATTAAGAAATCCATGAGGTTGTCAAGCTTCTGGATTTGTAGTATGGTGATACTTTTATGTATGAGGAAATAAAGACAAGTTTCATCTTCAGATTTTAAACACTCAGAATCGCCCACTATCACACGAATATAGTACAACACTCGCTAGTAATCTAGCGAGTTAATGAGCATCAAAACTAATGTTTCAAAACTGTGCATGTTGACTCCCGTGTTCATTTACAGATCGATTAAAGTTCTTCTGGTCCCGGATTTAGTTTATGTTTTTTACCTGTCTATGTTTCTTTGATAGTTTCAAACTCTAAGACCCATACTTCGAACAGAACCAAAAAGTTACATTACTCTAAAAGAGAATAATGGAGGTAATTGTATAACTACGATTGAAGGCATGTGCGGATTAAGCAGTGGATCTTGTTCCCGCATTGGATGCATTGCCGCATTGTCCTGCGATGCTGTAAGTTTCATCACATCGTTTGTAAAACCTGTAGCGCAGGGTTAGAGATTGTCGCGGGGTCAGAATTTGCTGATAGAAATGAAAAACGCTGTGAGTTCTTAATTTTTATAGATGTCTTTTGTAAACAAAAACATTGGATAACACAGACGACATATTGCGTATTGTATTTCATAAAAGATCTGGTTGAACGCACAATGATTGCCAAATCCACGTTAAACTAAGGCCAGAACAAAGGGCAAAAACATTTCTTCAGAACTACGAAAGAACTGCGACCCGATCCATATTTACATGATTAGAGATTTACAGCAGTTTTAGTTTGACATCAATCTCTGGAGAGAGTAATTGTTACTCCCCTTATGTCCTATATATATAAAGAAGACAAATGTGTGTGTGTGTGTGTGTTGAATTCATGGTCCAGTCTTCAAACAGCGCCTTTGTTCTCCCGTTCTCCGCAGCCTACACAGATTCTGGAAACAAATTGTGATTTCATTATTGGGTTTCTGATATATAAATATTCATAATGCATATAATACGCCATGGCGTGAGCTTGCTTCAGCTAATGAAAGTTTATGTGCTAGATAGTAAGAGGTTGAAAAGATCTGTGCAGAATTTAAAGTGTTATTCTTTTTGCATTGCAGAACTACGAGAGTATTTCTCATATCAGCCATTTTCTTGGATTGGGTTATTGAATAATGAGGGCAGATCCTGAAGAACCTCAAATTCCGTTAAGTCTCTCTTTCTTGGGGCGACGTATAGATAATTGCTTTCACCCTAAACTTTCCGATATGCACATTCAATGATCACTTTATGGTGTAAAATAAGTTGTCCAATCTCATCATTCTAATGAGAATGTGCCCGATTGCACCATACATTTCATATTAAAGTGATGCTTCTCTGAGGGTCTCAGAGATTGTTTCATTCCAAGAGCAAGATGGACTGTAACCTTCAAAACTCGAGCATGACATCTCCTCCTCCTCTCCTTCTACAATAATATACAGCAGATAAAGGCAGATTATTCCAAGAAAGTAATTGAGTGGAAAACCTTCCAGACATTTGTCCTGGTATGGAAGAACACTATTTGACTGTTCTCAATGCTTCTAGCAGAATGCGGGATAAACTCTTCGTTCTGATTTAAGCGAAGACTTGATCTAGACTTGCAAATGGACTCACGCATTTCAGGGTCCTGAAAATTCTGATCAAGATATAAGCAAACGTGCATCCCCTGAACTTCATCGCATGTGCAAACCACTGAACTATGCTGAGCGTGCCTGAGTGTATATCGAAAAGAGTGCCGACTGTGGAAGCACTGTAGACTCACGCGACTGGGTAGTCTTCACGTGAAGAGGGTTCGATCGTAATTATTCATAGCTTTACAACATTCAACCCCTGACGAAAGTGAAGTGAAAAGATCAGAAGCTTCATCAGAAAGTTTCTAAGAAATTTCAGATTGAAACAGTGATTTTCCATGTCTAGAATATTGGGATGGAGATGAAAACTATGTTCAGCTGATAAAGCTCGCTTAAGGCTGGTATTTCATTGACTTGGATGTAGTTATTGTTTATCAATCTCAGCGAACAGCTTGAACCGAGAAATATTGTTCGTTTCACACCGATGATGGAGCCCATCTTCAGAGTCTTCATGTCTTCAAGACAGCATTAACAACTCAGCATATTAACATTCGACGACTTATAATTGCGCGATGCATTTTACATCTTTCATATCATGTAAATTGACGACTGTCATGGAAGATATGTGAAGTATTGTTAAAACTGCAAGTCAGTAAACAAATTATCTAATCCAGCGAGCAACCTGTATACTCCATAGGCACCACAGATCTCTGTTTTTCAGTAAAAAACATACGATATCTCAATATATCTCAATCTATCCACACGGGACCTATCTAGACAGACCGTTTGGAGAATATCGAAGACCGTTAGTGTAGATATAGGCCAAGTCTACAAAGTCTATTTTATTGGAATGTGCAGTATTACCCCTAACCGCGAACGAATGTGCAGTGGTCATAGTGAAAAGAAGACTGTGTTCCCTCCTTGCTGACCAAACTATACTGCTGTTGGAACCTCCAGCAATTCACTACAGTCTGGAAGCGCCTGGTGACTGATACGTATAAATTTTCGCAGCGTAAAATTCATTCAGCGATACAAAATCTGAGAAATTTTCTTCACAAGCTTCTCCGGCTTCTACTTCTCACTTGTGCAAAAACTTGAGCTGTTCAGTTCTGCACATTTGACGTGAATTATTCTCACGCGCCATGGAAGCAAGGAAAGTTCTCATGGCTTCTGCGATCCTTCTCATCTTCATGTTCATTTTGAAAGCAGCTGCAGAGGACTTATATAGTCACAAAGGTGTTTCTACTTCATCAAGTCTGGCGCGAATGTCTCTTTTGAACTTCACGCCTCCACATAAGACCTGCACATTCAACAAATCCATGTGCAGCTAACCAGGATCAGCGGGTCCGTACTGCTGCAATGGGCCTTGTGTCAACACAACACTGATATCAACCATTGTGGAGATTGTAACCATCGCTGAATACACGTCTTCACTATTCACAATTACTCTTTGACTGCTTTCACGGCTGTGCATGTACCATAAGAAGAGGAAGATAAAGCAACTACTGTTGCCGAATTTTGTTCTGTTGCTCTGTCCCTTCTCCACATCTCGATCACAATTGATGTCTGAAACCCACCCCATCACAATAAAATAATTCCTTGATCCTTATTGTCTTAATCTGGACAATCTGCAGAATAAAATGGACGCAGCTACATCAAAAAACAAGATAACCTGATGACATTCTATGGCTTTTCTATTAGTTTATGGTTTTTGTGAGCTGATGATGAAGTTTCCTACTGTTCTTCTTGTTCCTCCATTGGGTATGTGAGATAGTTATTCTGAATTCTCGAAATAACAATCAGACATGTCGAGAGACTTTGTCGTCGTCTAGCATAGACAGCAGCACTATGAGGGGAGAGCTTATAGAATAATCAATTCTACAGGACCTTTCTATCTTGCCCACGTAGAAGGCCCTACAGTGCATAACAGATTTGAAAGGGGACGTGCTAGAATAATCCTCTGCTGTGAATTGTGGGGTCATGATCTCCTCATATGGTGGTCCAAGAATGCCTTGCCTCCAGCATATTTGGGGCTTGTCTCGAGGGTTGACCTGCTCACAAGCTATAAGATACAAAACAGTCCACACAATATCTTACGTTTGCCTTCACAAGAATAGTACAGGGAGAGGAAGATGAATAAATCCGAATTCCACTTACAGATTCGAGTTCTCCTTTTGTTTTTCAAAAGTCGCCAAAGTTGCAACAACTCCAGCATTCGTTTCGTGTCTATTTTGTACATATATATGTTTCTATTTCAACATATATATGTAACATAGAGAATGATAACTTAGCTTTGCTAAAAAGCCATTTGCAAATAGAGGACATTTAAATACCACTTAAATAACACAAAAATAACATTCTACCCATTGAGTTTAAGAAGTTGGTGGATCCTCTGCGCAAACACTTTCCCTTGATATATTTTTCATGCCTCATTCTGGTGCCAAAGTTTGGAATCATTATCTAAACTCCTTTTACTGAACCTTTTTACACAAACTTGCGTCCTATAGCACATGCTCCTGTGTGTGTGGAGGAAAGCTTAGGAAACTATGTGGATTGCATTATATTCTAATCAGCCGTGAATAGATCATTCCTTGAAACGAGCGCTAAATATGCCTGGAGGCAATACATGCATGGACCTCCATCTGATGAGATCGTGACCCTACAATTCACAGGAGATGATTGTTTTCCTTGGTCGCCTATTTCCATTATGCACCGTAAGCTCTTCCATGTGGGCAAGATGCTTACTGCAGACTTACTAAAATCTGGCAAATGCCAGGTTTGCCAGAATTATCATAGTTCTGGCATATTTCTCTCCTTAATTCTGGTAATTGTGGCACTACCACTAAGTTCACTACTTTTCTTCCTTTGGCACTAACACTAACTTCACTACTCTTCCTCCAAGCGGTTTGCTACAACAGTTTTCAGCTTTTCAAATTGCTTCGCATGCATAATGCCTGCCAAAGAAATACTTGTCAGCCTTGTGCCTGAGTCATCTTTCTCCCATTTGATAATGGAAAAATCGCTTTCAACAGAGAGAGTATTTGGGATTGCAGAAGCCAGATCACCGCACAATTGTCGCAAATGCAGGAAACGTACATTTAAACAATCCCATGCCTCATTGAAGAAAGTCTTCTCACTGTGATTGTCAATGATATCCTTCACATTCAGCTCACGCCAGTAAACAAGTAGCAAGTCACGGTGTTCACTCTCCGCCTTGTCGATCATGTCAGTGCTCCAATGCTTGCCCAGGTGTGTCCTGTATTGATCCACCACCTCGCTGATAAATAAAGCAGAACACATCTTGACTAAATCTGCTGGCATCACATGGGGTGCTTCCAATTTCCTAACATGATTGTTAGAACCACGTTCCGCCTTGATCTGCAAACCGTCTGCCACAATAGAGAGTGAAAAAATACCTATCTCCTCCAATGTCTACTGCTGTTCAAATGCTGAAAGCTCATAATACACATCTCTTGCCCACGAACCTTGATCTAATATATGGATGACAATAAAAATTTTGGTTATAAACAAAACATCTTGCTGAACGATTGTGATAGAATCAATTTCGTTCAACGCTGCATCTGTAGTAGAACGAATATCCAAACTATCTGCAATGTATGTCATCAGCTTCGCTAACTCTTAGCGTTGCTGAGAAATGATCAGCTTTGGAGATTGGATTGAGGAGATAGTGGCGGCAATCTGCTCAAACAATGGCGATAGAGCTCCTACAATGATCCATCATTGCATGGACGGGGCTTGAATAAATCGTCTGTTCTCCACGTGAATCATCAACCGACGACGATGTTCTAAAAGCCAACAGAGAATACTGTCAAACGCAACACATCGTGTTGTGTCCTTTGGGCATTTGGAACCCATTTCATTGATGAGATTTTTTTGAGCTCGAAGATGCACAGAAAACACATGGGCAACTTTCTAAAACATCTCGTTCAACACACCATGCATGGCATTTTTCACCACAATATCAAACTAATGAGCAATTCACCAAATACGAAGCATAGGATTTGAACATTCCTTCTCAAGCAATGTGACAACTCCAACATGCCTACCTATTATTGTGTTTTCTCCAGCTGAAGTGATTGAAATGATCTTGTCGCGCCAAGATGGACAGACGCTTTCAAGCATAGTCTTGATGAGCTTGACATAGTTTTGAGTAGTATGGCGTTCAAAGAATGGAACCAGCACAAGGTGGAAGTTGTACAACACGCCTTTCACTCACACACGAATCCACTGGTCAAGGACAAGAACTCTCAAATGTGTGCTTGCATCAGTCGCTAGAGAAAACGCCCAAATGTTTGGATCCATGAGTATATCGAAGATGATCTGCAGGGTGACGGCAAGGAGCACACGCACAAACTGACTCACCATATGATCGTTGAGGCCGTTGAGATTTGGATTCTTGGTCGCTATATGATGCTGTTCAGGATATTTAGGTAGACGCCTTGGCCGTCTACCTAAATGACAGTCCAATAGAAACGTGTTGCATGGCAAGGTTGAACCGCAAAGAGTTTTTGATTGTAACCAAATATGATCCGTCTGGCTGCAGTTTGAATAACTTCAAGGCGTTGGCCTTGGTGATTGGTTGGAACGCATCGTCTTCTTCCGGATGAAAAAACAAATCTTCCACCACAACATCAACTATTGGAGATTGAGAAATTAAAAACTGAAGAGTGTCCTTGTCGATGTCTAAGTAAAGGTGTATGCCTGATATATCTCTTGTCTTGAAGAAACTAAGCTTTTCTTGATACAAAAGCATTTGATAACTAGTACAATCCTCAGGATGCTGAGACTCCAAGTGATTTTTGTAAGCTTCAAGACAAAACGAAAACTGGAACAGTTGTGTGTTCTTGGTTTGTTGTCGCTTCACACCTGCACCATCCCGTTTTTCAAGACCAATATGGACGCAAAATAAACATTGCATTGTTGTGATGGTGCCCTATACAGATCGTTGTACCGGTTGCAAACCAAACTCGATGCCATGTTTGACCTGAAACGGAGTTTTTGACTCATGATGGATTGCAAAAGCTTCGCTGTGACTTCGGTGCTTGCGTTCAAGACAAGAAAACATCGGGAATGCATTCCTAACCTAACATACTCCTTCCCGCTATCCACTCCCCGCCTCCCTTTGAATGCTTGCGAGATTCTCTACATTCTGCACGACTGCACCTTCTGTGTTATCCTTGTATTTTTTGTCAAAAATTTATAGAGGTGTCGACTAAGTGGGCTTGATTAATTCTGGCATATTGGCCACATTAATTTTGGCAAATCTTGCGTCTAAACGCCAGATTTAGGAACCCTGGCTTACTGTCTAGTTGATTGTTTTGTAAGGTTTCCTCTCATAGTCCTTGAGTCCATGCTAGACAACAACACAGTTTCTTCACATGATTGTTACTTTGGGTTCGAAATTAAGAATTTTCACCAGCAGCTCACAAAGATCTTCAACTTATAGATAAGTCAAATTGTGTCATCGGGTAGTCTTGTTTCCGAAGTGGTTCGAAGATTTAATTCTGCAGATGGTCCAGATGAAGACAATGAGGATCAAGTCATTGCATTTTTGTGACTCGGTGGGTATCAGGAATCACTTGTGATCGAGATGTGGATCAGGGCCAGAGGTCCCGATCTAAGTCCGACTACATTTTTGGGTACATCTTGCTCTTCTGATCAGACATGTACAGTGGTGAGCACGGTTTGAGACTAAGGATGAACAGTGAGGACGTGCATGTATAAGTCTCTCTTAAATGCCAACAACAAACGTGGACTAAAATCTCTTAGTGTCGTGGAGGATCTTTAATATGATACGATTAGTAATTATAACACTTATGGAGCTAGTACTTGCTACTGGCATGCAGGATTATCGTTAGATATGCAAATGGGGAGCCCTCAGGTTGAAATACAAATTAAAAGCCTTCGTCGATGTCTGTGAACAAATTTTCTGCGAAAAAAACATCATGAAAGTATAACCAATAGTTATAAACTAATAAAAACTATATTGGCCTTCGATAATTGGGGTGCAGTCTATGCTTAAGTAGAGATCTTAGTGTTGTGGCTCCAATCATTCCTAAAGGCTAGGGTTTAATGAAGTTCTAATCAAAGTTTGTTTTTACAGCAACTGATGACGAAGATGGATACAGAATCTCTGCTACATAAAACATAATATTATCACATGTCTGATATGCTGTAAACTATATCAATTTAGAGGGACAAAAATTAACACAAATATTCTACTATTACTTCCGGTATCAAGAGATTTGCGCACATCGAGACCTTAAAGTCAATCAAACTTATGCATGAAACTAATGATGTTAAAACAAGCACCATACAAATGCTACACCAACACAGTGATGAGATTACAACTTGTCACCATGATGTGTTTACTTCACGGAAGAAGGAAGAATGAAGACCCTGTTTAAAGACTGGGTCTTCATTCTGTGTGTGAACAACACACACACAAACACTTACATTGTCAAAGACATGTACGTACATATATAGGTAGAAAGAATTACGAGCTCAATTCAGTTCTTCTGCACATATTGTTGTCGAGCAATTACTATACATCCTGTTAATACAGATGTTGCACTTCCACAATTCTGTAGCACCGTGAAGGTTATAATTTTAGCCCTCGGTTCTGATTTAGCTTCTAATGGTACCACGCCCTTGCGGTCTGCCATATCTCTTGTTAAATAACTCATGCTCAAAGTCATTTTGCTAACGAACTTATTTTCCTTACAACGCACATGAGGTTATACCATCACAGCCAATTCCACTACTGTAACCACATTCCGAACTTTGCATACTTAAGTTCTGCTTGGCCCGTTCTCACCTTACGAGCCAAACAAACTTTCAGCGATCTTTGAAAAAAGATTGATGTCAACTTGCACAGTTCTAATCCATACGTTAAGTTGCTCATCCTAGATTGAAAGAGAATTCTAGAATGCATTCGTGTGATGGTGAGCCATCCTGAGAGTTGGAAAAATGAGTATTAAGTTTGACTTAGATCCTCGTACATATAAGTCTCGTGATGGTACAGAACCAGAAGTCTAAAAACCTTTTGGAGTTCGTAGTCTCTGGCATCATGCTTCTGATTTTACTGACAAGCTTGTAATGGTGATTCCCATGCATTCAGACTCATACTTTCAACTTACTGAAGGAAGAACTAATACTTCCTGACGACAGCGCAGCTTCGAGAAGACGAGATATACATATATATTCAAAAAAGTCTGAAATCGTTGTGATATAATAACCTCGAGTATCATTACGAACGTTGAGTGAACGTAACAAGAATACATTTTCTTTGCTTGCTTTCAGCTAGGGCCGAAGTCTGAACAGATACAAAATCATCTGGCTTGAAACAAAAATTTCATCATAATGTGAGAAACAAATAATCAGTTGTAATCACAGAGCCCATTCTCACATCGTCCATGGAGGTTGTGAGTCGAGATTCTCCTGGGGCACTTCAGTCCGCACCTTCCACAGTTGTCTTCATCTTTCTGAAGATCCACACAGTCACCATCGCAACAGGTTTTCCCAAAGTGACAGTCATGGCCACATGACCCACAGTTGTTGAAGTCAGTGCTTTTGTCAACACACACCTCATCGCAGCAGTCAGGACCAGCTGAGCCTGCCTGGCGGCAAATTGATTTGTTGTATTTGCAAGTGTTTCTCGCAGGAGTCACGTTCAAAAGAAACCTTCCTCTCGGACTCGCTCGGCTAGATACAGCATTTGCATATGTATCCAAGTGGTCCTCTGCATTCACAGCAAGCACTAATATGAGAAGGGTTGCCGACACCATGAAAAGGATCGTCTGCACTTTGGTATCCATGGCTGCTGTGAATGTTCGAAGCCACAGATCAGGATCAAAAGATGTGTTCTGCAGCTGAAACTGAAGGCTGAAGGCAGGGAGTAGCGGCTGAGCTGCTCAGGAGGGCCGAAGGAGCTATGAGTGGATGATTTGTGCATTTTGAATCGCCTTTTTATATGTGAAATAGCAGTGCCCAGACTGTTATGAACTTTCGGCCTTGCTTACGCAAAGAATAGTGATCATGGCGACTACAAGTTAGTGGACAGTTGGGTATTGATGGTCCAAGTACATTACAGTTCTTGCACTTGACTTCCTTCTCGACTCCAACTCTTTACAGTCCATTAAAATCCCCGAGAAATGACGTACAACTTAGCTCCGGCATGAATGCTTTCAATTCTCAAGCTTAGAAGCCACTGTGCACGATGACGCAAGTGTTGCCTTCGGCCAGACTATTGAATATACATCTGAATCGTGTAATTCGAAATTAAATTAACATCGTGCATTCATCAAATTGAAATTTACCTGTCTAATACGGACGGTTGACTCAAAGAATTGTATGGGAACAATCGTGAAATATATCTGTTGTCAGATGCAGGCAGAGCTTCAGAACTGTTCACTTTGCCACAAGCTACTGTCAAGCAATTGGAACTCGTATGTCCCCTAATATCCTTTTAACTGATTAGAAACTGCTGAAGAGTTGATCTGTCCGAGCAGTCGGTCTGTTAAAAATTGATCAAATGTGGACAAGTTCCATGATCAAAGCCTGAACGAAGAAAATCTGAAGTTATAATTTTACTTATGAAAGCGAAAAATGATGCCCATGGTCACATCTTCAATTAGTTATCTTCAAGTTCAACATTTATTTCACTTCTGAATTTGGATTTGCTATTAATGCATAAGCATTTGAAGAGCTTTCTGGATTTCTTCTTATGTACATCCTATCTCAAGTCTTATAAAACTGTGAGCTTGACGCAAAGTCCTTACTGGACTGTCGAAGAGTCATGGAACTCACTCACACTGTACCCTTTCACTCTTGCTGTACCAGTTCTCGACAATATGACTTGATTCTTGGAAGCGATTACTTTACCTGTACATGATGTGTTTGACGCGCATGGCATCTGAATGGATGTGGAATATGCGGTTTGATCGTGGAACTTGTCCACATTCTGTTTGCATCAACCCCATATGCGTTTCGTTTTTTCAAGACATGTTCTCATATAGCTAAAACCTGTTCTATTTATATTAAGCAAAGAGATATCGATGATTCGAAGATGAATGTCATGCTAAAGTGGAGGAAATGCTATTCCACGATTTGGATGAATCAACCAAGTTCATGATTTGGATGAATCTGGTTCACAATCTGCCCACTGAATAAGCCTTTTTCAGTGTGTTTAAGTTCAAGCCCAGCTCGTATACTTGCTAGCTGGTGTCAGCTAGGTCTACTGACGGTTCATGATTCTCTTGGCTAGTTTCAGGACCTTGAGACTTTCAATAAACTGGAATCTTGTGTCTTTGAGAACAAAAGTTAGGAAGCAGAGAGGGATATGGAGAATAAACCTTGAGTATCACCTATGCGATAGGTGACACTCGATACACACTGAGACAGGTCGTTCTTCTCCTTGAATTGTAAACATAGACAGTAGAAGCATCACCATCGAGGAGATTTGATGACGTCCCCGGGCCAAGAGAGTAAGCACAGTTTCATGGATTGATGTACGCATGAAATGATCGTCAGGTGATGATTTAAAAACTCATATTATAGTTCACGTCTGCATGGTCGCTTGTTGAGCTTTACACCTGAAATTCAAGAACCGGTTAACGACCGTAACATTAATCTTGTTAACAGAGGTCTAGGATAAGTTAATGGGATACTCTTGGTTTCACACGTTACCGTGCATCGACTTGATCCAAGACTAACTCAACTCAGTCAAGTCAACTCGTTCACTCTGCTCAACGGACCAAGTCTCCTGCTCTCACTTCCCTCGTCATGATCATAAATGTTGACCTACTTCCGCCATTGTGGTCCCTCGTTGGCAGCAAGGAGTCAAGGACACGTCTGAGGCCGTTGGTTCATTGGGGAATTTGAAAAAGTGCTGCGAGCCGTAGTTTAGAGCGATAACTCGCAGACAATCCGAACTCTGTAAACTTTCTTATCTTATGTCGACTGTTTCGAAGGTGAAATTTTAATGTACAAGGGATTTCAAAGATTCTTGTTGTAAGAATTGAAACCCCAAAGAAACTCGTTGTGAGCTGGCTGTGAACTGTGTTTCCTGTTTGTAATTTCTCCTGAGTCTCTGGCCAGAAGTATTGTTCGTCGAATGGCCAGTAATGAGTTTCGAGGCTTGTTGTCCTAGCACAGACTGATGCCACCATTTGTTACTGTTTCGGCAGTAAAGGTGCAATGCATGTATTTTGTCCTATACAACAGGGAAGGTCTCAAGCTTCGAGGCACACCTTGCTCCATATCGATTCATTCTATCACATTCTCACCAAAAAATCTGATAGAAGATTTGTAGATTATGTCCACGTTCTGAATCTGTTATAAAATATTCTCTATCACATGGGGTGAGCTGTAGCAGCTGAACTACGTACGCGTGACAAAGAGGCAAAACTATAAACAACAGACGTTCTGATATTATACATTCAGTTGAATTCACATGTAATCAGAGACAGTAAAGTCACATACTGTCATCTTAACGAAATGGTTATCTGATCATATTTAGCTTGATTCGAATGTTTTCAACCTATGTGGCTGAATCGAAATGCTTTTTCCTATGGAAAATGAACAGTAATTCACCTCCAATAACAGACGCTTCAATTTGGAAATACCTGTTACTGCAATGGGATCAGACTGTACCAGATACATACTGCACTACGGCGACGACTTCTCATAAGTCGCTTCTCTCCTGCAAGAAGGTTACAGTCTCAAGGAGTATGATTTTCTCGATTTGCAAGCATGCAAGCCCTCTGCAGCTCGGCGAAGTAACCTCTCGATCACTTATGAATAGATAATGGCGTCTTAGTAGGAACGCGGATCTACCTTTCTCAGACTGAAATCAATACTTGCTCTGGAAACTAATGGTTACATGCTGATTCTTATACATCCTCTAGTTTGAATACAACTATGTGGATACAGCTGCGCATGTTCGTGTATGTCTTTCTTTGGTTCTTCTGGGTCTTAAAATAAGTGCAGCTAGATTTTCAAGCCATTGGTCACAGGTCGGAACCCTCAACACGTGTCATAACCATGTGTTATTGATATTTCCTCTTCTATGCTGCAGTCAAGTGATGTCGGTTCTGTCTCGTGAACTGTGTATAATCGAATCCAACATCTGATCTCCATCTATCAAAGGTGATCAAGTCCGCTGTGTTTACTTCTGAACTGGTAGCTCTTCAGATGTCAATTGAATGCAAACTTGGGATGATGATGAAGCTGTGCAATCCATGTTTGAATGCTTAACTTCGAATTAAACCTTGATCTTAGATAGTTTGTTTAAATTTGGCTTCAAATTGACGAAACATTTTATTTATTATTACTTTCTTGGAACTGAAAACTGGAATGTGCCAAAAATGTTACAAATAAAATAGTGAAAGTCCATGATTTGATGTTTCAAAGGTAATAAGGAAAAGAATGTTTGCAGTTATATATGCGATCAGGCAGTGTCAGTATCTGCAATTTTCAATTCATTTTACAATATTTTATATTTGGTATGCATGAATATAGAGGTCAAATTTTAATCTTGTTAATGCTAGAATTGCAAAGTTTTATGGTGCTTGCGTTTTTTGAGATTATGGACATATAAACATTTATAGATAATATGAAAGAATTATTGAATATAGCAATTCGGAAAATTTTGGAATTAATCCATTTCCACGTAAAATCTCGTTCCATTATGCTATTAAAGTATTCAGAGATCAAGGAATTAAGGATTGTGTGTTTTCCAACACACAATCTGACTGAAATTCAATGAAAGTTCAAAGCCAACTCTAAAGAGAAAGTTAGAACTTCTGACTGAAAGCTAATATAAATGCAATTCCCGAGATCAACTTGTGTCCACATCAGTCATTACATGCTTTAGTTCCGGGAGGGGAAGCAGTGAAATGGTTTAATCTGTTAGGTTTCAAACTTAAACGAAGATTGTAAGTTTGAAATAGTTTGTGCCAAAGTCGTGGAAATATGAACTCAATCGTCTGAATTATCTGACGCATTTAAGTGACTCGTGCTTACGTGCATGGCCATGCCACTAGTGGTGTCGTCAAGATCTTCTATGAATATACATGGAACTTTTTGGTTTTGTTCAATTGTGTTCCATAAGGAAAATACACGTCTCCGCCGAAAGAAGCCATAACAGTGCAATCATCTAAAATTGGTCCCTACTTCTATTACTAGATTGCTACTAATGCTATCTAGCCATTATGGTTTGGACCTCATCGATATGTATCTTAGAATTGTTCGGTGTAGATGTACGTAAATTGGACTAGAGAAAACCAACGTGAAGACCGAAGGCTTCTCAACGACCTAGATATAAAACATAGAAAAATCTCGTACATATCAGGCCGATTTTGACAACTCAAAGCTCGTCGTAAGTTTCAGGGCAGTCTGGCCGAAGATAAAACTTTTTGAATTAATATTTGGCTATTTGGATATATTTTGAACCTAATTTGGAACCAGAGCTATTCAGAAAGACTTCACAGCGGGAGCTATCAGATACTTCATGATCCTTATCATCAGTTGTAGTCGCAGAGACCATTCTCGCATTTTCCGTTGAGGTTGTTAATCGAGATCGTCTTGGGGCATTTCAGTCCACATCTTCCACAGTTGTCTTCATCTTTTTGCAGATCGACACAATCACCATCACAACATGTTTTTCCGAAACTGCAGTCCCGGCCGCAAGAGCCGCAGTTATTCTCATCGCTGGACGTGTCGACGCAGACCTCGTCACAACACTTAGAACCAGCAGAGTTTGGCTCGCTGCATATTGTCGAGTTGAACTTGCAAGTGTTTTGTGCTGGCGTAACATTCAATAGATTCCTCCCCCTCAATACTTTGAGAGCAGGGGATACAATGAGCTCTGCTTTCACGGTTAACAAATACGTTAATAGAATTGCGTAAGCAATGAACGCTGTCATTTGTGTCATTGTCTGCTGCTCAATACTAGATTGAATCTTTCAGATAAAGGAGAAGATTCTGCTGCAGAAAAAAATATAAGTGCGACTGATAGAGAAGAGCTACAGAAGAGAGATCATAAGCTCCAGGTCGATGCGCACTCTGAAGTAGGCTGTCATTCACTGAATTTGACCACAATGAGCCCACTATTTATAAGAAAATAAGGAAAGATATCGGCTGCCATATTTCTTGTGAAGTGCTGGGCTGCTTGCAAAGTACGTTTTGAGCAATAGCTAAACACAGTGTATTCTTTTCACCAGGACCACTGCACGTAGATAGCAGGGTACAATTTTTTTTCTGGCAGGATATGATAGTACCTGTTGACCTTCTAGATCTTCGCACTCATCGCCTAAAAGGCCATAGGTCTCTCCAACGAACACAACCTTCACGCAGGAAAGTCATTCTATAAGATCATATAACCATGAACTCGGATTAATTGCTCGGAACTCAGTTAGTCGTCACTCGGATAGTCAATAGAAGCAAAATTGGGAGGAAGGACCTAACCTCTACTACAACCGTGCAGAAAGCGTTTTTCTATTAGTCCATTACAGTATTGGGCTCCTTGTAAACATGGCTTCTACAGTGCATCCCCATGCAAGCTTGCAGCACAGTTCAGTTGGTTTGAGTCCTCATGTGCTGAGTTTCACATGAAATTTCGTTCATATTTTACGTCTATATGCAGGTGGATATCTTCTATTTGAAGCAAATGTCAATCGAACGTGCTTCTTCTTGTAAACAGAAGTCTGACTGAAGAACTTCTAGCATAGCATGGAGTCATACTGTTTGATTCTTTCGTCAACCAAATAAAGTATGTAGTCAAACAAAGTATGTCGTCAGAGGTTTGTGCCGTTTTGTCTGTAACGTGAAGTTTAGAATAACGGTTGCCACCTCACGTATGCCCGAAGTACATGAAGGGCGCGTTTGGGCTCCCATGTCGAGAGTTATGAAATACGGATACTGGAACACGAAATCGTACTGTAATATTAGAGGGATTCTGTCCTTTGTAGACGACAACCTGCTATATTCCAGCTCTTCTTAGTAGAAGCTTAGCTGAGAATCAGCCAAGCGAAACTGCTTCTCATATAATTAATCACTGTTCTGATCCACTACTCTTGTGTATAAATCTCAAACTCCCCATTTCACGTACCTTTGAGAAACTATGTTCCATCTGATAAAATTCATCTTGATATGTGTAAAGATGGTTTGTCAAAAGCAGTTAATGAAACACTGCAAGTTTTACTTATCTTTTCAGTTTCTTATGTGTAATCTGTAGAATGCTTCATGACGTGAAAAATGCACTCGTTATGTGGAATTTACATAGTTCAGGTCCTCTGAGCGAGAAGTTCACATGATTGAGGTCAGCCTCATTGACAGGCAACAGTTTGGGATCCTTATTCAGTATTTTTTATTCAATCTGAGTAGAAACCGTTGTGTCTGATAGGTGACGCTTCTGTGTGTGAAGGAAAACATAACGAGACGATGTGGACTGAATTCTATTCTTATCGCTTGTGAACAGGTCCCCTTTAAAACGAGCGCTAAATATGCCTGAAGGCAAGACATGCATGGACCACAATCTGAGGAGATCTTGACCCCACAATTCACAGGAGTATACTATATTACTCGGTCGCCTGTTTCTGTCATGCACTGTAGCCTCTTCTACGTGGGCAACATGCGTACTGTCGAGTTAATTATTTAACAGGACTTCCCCTCATGGTGGTTCTGTCCATCGTAGACGATGACACAGTTTCTTGACATTTCTGATTGTTGTTTCGATATTTGGAACGAACCATTACACTTGTCAAATGGAGGAACAAGAGGAACAGTTAGAATCGTTTCCAGAGGTCACAAAATCTTAAACTAATAAATAAGCCATGAAATGTCATCGGGTAATCTTGAACTTGAAGTGGCTGCGTCTATGCAGTCATGCAGACAATCGAGGTTAAGATAATTAAAGTATCAATTGTGATCGAGATGTGTAGCAGGACAGAGTATCAGAACTAAGTCCGACCTCACTTCTTGGTACATCTTGCGCTTTTGATCAGACATGTACAGTGGTCAAAGCCGTTTAAGACTAAGTATGAATAGTTACAACGTGCACGTGTAAATCTATATATAATGCCAAAAAGGACGTGGTAAAATTTCTTAGGATCGTAGAGGATGTCTGGTACGTTGAAGGCTGTTTATTTCTTCGACGTATGAAACTAGTTGTAGGAAACCTAGGGGATCGGACTTATATGTATTGTAGAATAAGGGAGCCCTAAGCTTGACATAAAAAGGCTCATAGCCTTTGTGGGTAAATAAAAATTTCTGCAAAATAATTAATATTATCCATTCAAGTATAACCTTCGATTGTGAATATATTCGACTCAGTTTACATTGGCGCAGCCTATGCTTAAATTAAGATAGGCATTAAGATGAATATCTGAATAAATTTATCTTTTACTACTTCTACATTATTGGTCTGCAGCATAAAGAGAACCTAGATGATGCAACACAAACATTGAACGTTTCATTTACTGATCTGATGGGTTCTATGTAAAGCAGTACATAGTAACAATGAAAACACGTTAGAACGCAGCCTACAGAAAAACACAGTTTCTCACTGCCTTTACGCAATAAAAAATGAAAATAAATATCAAAAAAGCCCTAAAAAGTTGTCTGTCAGAAGTGGGATTTGAACCCACGCCTCTCACGAGACCCGAACTTGAGTCGGGCGCCTTAGACCACTCGGCCATCCTGACACGGGATAAGGGTGTTGACAGTGGGATTCGAACCCACGCCCTTTCGGACCAGAACCTTAATCTGGCGCCTTAGACCAACTCGGCCATATCAACTGGATGTGAGTGGTAATTTGCTGAAACTTCCTCTTTGTACTATCAGACCGAGGTTGGACTATCAGAGGAGGTAAGAAGCATGACGTCACTACCCAAAGGGGAAAACATCGTATAAAAGTAGATCAAATTCAATGTCAAGGAAATATAGAGATAAAAGAGCAAAGATTATGCACACAAAGTTAACCTCTTTTCATTTCAGAATCATGGAGCTTTAGATCTGGATCTCAAATGTCTACAGACTTTATCATAGCCCCGTATCTGAGCCTGTGTTTGCCTTCGACGTATTTTCGAACATAGAACTTAACTGTTCGGAATATAAAAAGACGGTATCAAATGTTGTAGAAGCACGTATCGGAGCACTTCACGAATCCATTGCAACTGAAGAATAAGAAATTTTGGAAAATCATGCCCAATGTATCCAGATCACCTTCCCTACATTGCCATAACATAGAATTGGCTGCTCAGCCCCATTTATGCAGGTAAAGTGTTCGTATTGAACCTCCAGATCTAGCGCATGCAACTACCACTTTATGTACTAAGATTAAAATGAGGTCAATAACAGTTCCCACATTTACCTTTCAGATTCTCTGTCTGATATAAACGAAGATTTCAGTTATCTAAAATGGTGTAGAAATGATCAGTTCATAATGCACGCAATTTACTTCTAATTACCGTGTCTAGAGTCCTGAGTAGATCAAGAGTTAAAACTTATCCATGATATTAGTGATATTAGAACAAGATTTATGCAAATGCTACATAATAAGATATTTCAGATATACATACAGGTAGGTTTAGAGATAATGTGGAATCAAAATTTCATGAACAGATCTAGTAAAACAATTTCAGTATATCTCACATCAAAATTAGTCAACTAACAGGACAGGAGCTAAAATGGTAGATTACCCTCTCCAGCTTTCAACTTTGGTACTTAATGCTTCTGAAAATTCGGAAGCAAACTAAAGGTTTGGTGATACTGCAACACAAAACACGGAGATCTGAGAATGTTTGCAGTATAGAATTTTATGAGATGCTTGTGCCTAGTGAAGCTCAGACCTGAACATACTTTATCACGAATTTGCTCATGAACTTTGACCCTTCGAATTGAACCATCATCTGATGCTCTAGATTCTGAATATTCTAGTACTTTGCTAGAAACAATGCCTTGTCTCGTTAAGGGTGTTTTGCAGAATCAGAGATTTTGGCCTGAAAGAATGAGGACATGCGGCTGATCGAGATCAGCAGTTGTAGTTACACAATCCATTCTCTGAGAGTGCAGGTTTTTCGTGGTAGCGTTAAGTTCAAAAGAGACCTTCACGCCAGACTTGCTGAAGTATATTCACCCTTGTGACGATGGAAGATCTCTGCAGCTGTTTCCGAAACAAATTTCGAGATTAGAAGGACCTCAGAAGCCATAATTGCCTGCCCTCTTTGCTATCTTGGTATCTGTGATGCGTGTGAAGCATTCAGGTCAATCATGCAAATTTGAACAGCTGCACTGATTTCACAGCTGAGAAGAAGAAGGCTGAGCACCTTGTGGATAACTTCTCAAGGTTACACTCGCCGATTGATCCATACTCCGCGAGTCCAGTATTTACATACAGCATCTCAAATACTCGGCACTGCCAGACTGTAATGAGTTGCTCGCTGAATAAATAAACTGGTGCCCAAGGGAAAATGTTCATGGGTCCATGATGTTTTCTCAGATTGATAAGAAAATATCAACATCGATATTGATAAAATTCCAGCCAGACCAGTGCGAGAAGATTCAACTGTGATTTTCACCTCATCCTTAATATTCAAGACATGAATATTTACGATCTCAATCGTGAAGTCCAGAAATATAGAGCCACATGGAGATTGTAGTTTCTCGCATCACTGGTCCTGACTAAGCTGTAGTGGTGGGTCGCGTGTATCTAAGCTCATAGTTTAAACTTATTGAACGTATGTTTTGGAATATCTACTAATTCCTAACTACAGCGTAGATTCGAGAAGAGGATATGTCTTCTAAAAAAACTCTGAAATTGTTTTCATTGAATCACGTCTCATTACGAACGTTAAGTGTACGTAACAAGAATACATTTTTTTTGCTTGCTTTCAGCTAGGACCGAAGTCTGAACAGATACAAAATCATTGGGCTTGAAACAAAACTTTCATCCTAGTATGATGAACACTAGGATGACTCGTGCACTGATCAGTTGTAATCACAGAGCCCATTCTCACATCGTCCATGGAGGTTGTGAGTCGAGATTCTCCTGGGGCACACCAGTCCGCACCTTCCACAGTTGTCCTCATCTTTCTGAAGATCCACACAGTCACCATCGCAACAGGTTTTCCCAAAGTGACAGTCATGGCCACATGACCCACAGTTGTTGAAATCAGTGCTTTTGTCAACACACACCTCATCGCAGCAGTCAGGACCAGCTGAGCCTGTCTGGCGGCAAATTGATTTGTTGTATTTGCAAGTGTTTGTTCGAGGAGTCACGTTCAAAAGGAACCTTCCTCTCGGACTCGCTGGCCTAGATACAGCATTTGCATATGTATCCAAATGGTCCGCGGCATTCACAGCAAGCACTAATATGAGAAGGGTTGCCAACGCCATCAAAAGCATCGTCTGCACTTTGGTGTCCATGGCTGCTGTGAATGTTGGAAGCAACAGAACAGGATAAAAAGATGTGTTCTGAAGCTGAAACTGATGGCCGAAGGCAGAGAGTAGCGGCTGAGCTGCTCGGCTGCTGCACGGCCGATGGAGCTATGAGTGGATGATTTGTGCATTTTTATTTGCCTTTTTATACGTGAAATAGCACTGCCCAGACTGTTATGAACTTTCGGCCTTCCTTACGCAAAAGATTAGCGATCATGGTGACTCCACGTTAGTGGACAGTTGGGTATTGATGGTCCAAGTACATTACAGTTGTTACATTTGACTTCGTTCTCGACTCCGACTGTTTCCAGTCCATTATAATCGCCGAGAAATTACTTACAACTTAACTCCGGCATGAATGCTTTAAATTTTCAAGCTTAGAAGCCATTCTGCACGATGACGCATGTGTTGCCCCCGGCCAGAATATTGAATATATATCTGAATCGTGAAATTCGAAAGTAATTAAGCATGGACGATGTGAGAATGGGCGCGTTCATCGATAAGAAGTTTACCTCTCTAAGACGGACGCTTGACTCAAAGAATTGTATGGGAACAATCGTGAAATATATCTGTTGTCAGATGCAGGCAGAGCTTCAGAACTCAGAACTCTGCCACAAGGTACTGTCGAGGGATTGGAACTCGTATGTCCCCTCATTTCCTTTGAACTGATTAGAAACTGCTGAAGAGTTGATCTGTCTGAGCAGTCGGTCTGTTCAATTCATGATCAAAGCCTGGACGGAGTTATAATTATCTGAAGTTATAATTCAACTCATGAAAGCGAAATGATGCCCATGGTCACATCTTCAGGTGGTTATCTTCAAGTTCAACGTTTATTTCACTTCTCAATATGCATCTCCTATTAATGCATAAGCATTTGAAGAGCTTTCTGGACTTCTTGTTCCGTACATCCTATCTCAATTCTTCTAAATATGCGAGCTTCACGCAAAGTTCTTACTGGACTGTCGAAGAGTCATGGAACTCACTCACACTGTACCCTTTCACTCTTGCTGTACCAGTTCTCGACAATAAGACTTGATTCTGGGAAGCGATCACTTTTCCTGTACATGATGTGTTTGACGCGCATGGCATCTGAATGGATGTGGAATCTGCGGTTTGATCGTGGAACTTCTCTACATTCTGTTTGCATCAACCGCATATGCGTTTCGTTTTTTCAAGACAAGTTCTCATATAGGTGAAACCTGTTCTATTTATATTAAGCAAAGAGATATCGATGATTCGAAGATGAATGTTACGCTGAAGTGAAGGAAATGCTATTTCACGATTTGGATGAATCAACCAAGTTCATGATTTGGATGAATCTGGTTCACAATCTGCCCACTGAATAAGCCTTTTTCAGTGTGTTTAAGTTCAAGCCCAGCTCGTCCATTTGCTAGCTGGTGTCAGCTAGGTCTACTGACGGTTCATGACTCTCTTGGCTACTTTCAGGACCTTGAGACTTTCAATAAATTGGTCTCTTGTGTCTTTGAGAACAAAAATCAGGAAGCAGAGAGGGACATGGAGAATAAACCTTGAGTGTCACCTATGCGATAGGTGACACTCGATACACACTGAGAGAGGTCGTTTTTCTCCTTGAATTGGAAACATAGACAGTAGAAGCGTCACCATCGAGGAGATTTGATGACGTCACCGGGCCGTACACAATTCATGTCCCTCATCTGCATGCACAGTTTCATGGATTGATGTGCGCATGAAATGATCGTCAGGTGATGATTTAAAACTCATATTATATCTCACGTCTGCATGGTCGCTTGTTGAGCTTTACACCTAAAATTCAGAAGAACGGGTTAACGACCGTGATGTTAATCTTGTTAACGGAGGTCTAGGCGAAGTTAATGGTATACTCCTGGTTTCACAAGTACAACCGGAGTATTACGATACCATTAGTAATTATAACACTTATGGAGCTAGTTCTTGCAATAGACATGCAAGATTATCCTTAGATATGCAAATGGGGAGCACTCAGGTTGAAAGACAAATCAAAGCCCTTATCGATGAACAAATTCTCTGCGAAAATACAGCATGAAAGTATGACTCATAAAACTTTATTGGCCTCCGATCATGGGAGTGCAGTCTGTGCTTAAGTAGAGATCTTAGTGCTGTGGCTTCAATCAGACCTAAAGGCTAGGTTTTAATGAAGTTATAATCAAACATATATCTAACAGTAACTAATGACGAAGATGGATACAGAAAAATACTTGTGTCCCAAGTTCTATCATCTATTTTTATTCATATTCTAATGTGTACCACTAGTTAGTTTGTTTTGGCATAAGTAAGACTTCTGCGATAATATTCTAACAACAAAACTAGAAGAAGTGATATCTCTCTCAAGTATAATTTACATTTTTATTCATTTTATTAGTAAGAAGACAAAGTGCATGTTAAGAATGACTGTAGGATGAAATTTTGGCTGAAATCATAGTACCCACATAAATGTTTTCAGAATCTCTGCTACATAAAATATTATATTTGCACTTATCTCATATGCTGTAGACTATATCAATTTAGAGGGACAAAAAATAACACAAATATAATACTATTCCTTCCGGTATCAAGAGATGTGCGCACATCAAGACTTTAAATTACTCAAACTTGTAACTTGACACAAGTGATGTTAAAACAAGCACCATAGAAATGCTACTCCAACACAATGATGAGATTACAACTTGTCACCATGATGTGTTTACTCTACGGAAGAAGGGAGAACGAAGGCCCTGTTCAAAGACTTGCCAATGAGTTCAACACACACACATACACTCACATTGTCAAAGACATGTACGTACATATCCAGGTAGAAAGAATTACTAGCTCAATTCCGTTGTTCTGCACATGTTTTTGTTGACCAAAAACTGCCATTACAATACATCCTGTTAATACAGATGTAGCACTTTGGCAATTCTCTACCACCGTGAAAATAACTATTTTAGCCCTCGGTTCTGATTTAGCTTCTAATGGTATCACGCCCTTATTTAGCGGTCTGCCATATCTCTTGTTAAATAACTCATGCACAACGTCATCTTGCTAATGAACTCATCTTCCTTACAAAAGACAGAAGGCTACACCCTCACGCTGTGAGGCTCACAGCGTGTTCCAATACTCTAACCCCATTCCGAACTTTTCATACTTATGTACTGATTGGTCCGTTCTCGCCTTACGAACCAAACAAACTTTCAACGATCTTTGAAAAAAGATAGATGTCAACTTGGACAGTTCTGATCCATATGTTAAGATGCTTATCCTAGATTGAAAGACAGATTTTACAAAGCATTCGTGTGATGGTGAGCGATTCTGAGGGTTGGAAAATGAGTCTTAAGTGTGACTTAGATCCTCGTACATATAAGTCTCGTGATGGTACAGAACCAGAAGTCTAGAAAAAATTATGGAGTTCGTACTCTCTGGCATCATGCTTCTGATTTTACTGAGAAGCTTGTAGTATTCGGTCCCATGCATTCAGACTTATACTTTCAACCAACTAAAGGAAGACCCAATACTTCCTGACTACAGCGCAGCATCGAGAAGAGAATATATATACATATATAATCAAAAAACTCTGAAACTTTTGTGATTCAATCTCATCGAGTCTGATTCCGAAAGATGAGTGTTCGTAACAAGGATTCAATTTCTTCGCTTGCTTTCAGCTAGGACCGAAGTCTGAACAGATACAAAATCATTGGGCTTGAAACAAAACTTTCATCCTAGTATGATGAACACTAGGATGACTCGTGCACTGATCAGTTGTAATCACAGAGCCCATTCTCACATCGTGCATGGCGGTTGTGAGTCGAGATTCTCCTGGGGCACACCAGTCCGCACCTTCCACAGTTGTCCTCATCTTTCTGAAGATCCACACAGTCACCATCGCAACAGGTTTTCCCAAAGTGACAGTCATGGCCACATGACCCACAGTTGTTGAAATCAGTGCTTTTGTCAACACACACCTCATCGCAGCAGTCAGGACCAGCTGAGCCTGCCTGACGGCAAATTGATTTGTTGTATTTGCAAGTGTTTCTTGCAGGAGTCACGTTCAAAAGAAACCTTCTTCTCGGACTCGCTGGGCTAGATACAGCATTTGCATATGTATCCAAATGGTCCGTGGCATTCACAGCAAGCACTAATATGAGAAGGGTTGCCAACGCCATCAAAAGCATCGTCTGCACTTTGGTGTCCATGGCTGCTGTGAATGTGAGAAGCCACAGAACAGGATCAAAAGATGTGTTCTGCAGCTGAAACTGATGGCAGAAGGCAGGGAGTAGCGGCTGAGCTGCACGGCTGCACGGCCGATGGAGCTATGAGTGGATGATTTGTGCATTTTGATTTGCCTTTTTATACGTGAAATAGCACTGCCCAGACTGTTCTGAACTTTCGGCCTTCCTTACGCAAAAGATTAGCGATCATGGGACTCCACGTTAGTGGACAGTTGGGTATTGATGGTCCAAGTACATTACAGTTGTTACATTTCACTTCGTTCTCGACTCCGACTGTTTACAGTCAACTCTAATCGCCGAGAAATTACTTACAACATAGCTCCGGCATGAATGCTTTAAATTTTCAAGCTTAGAAGCCATTCTGCACGATGACGCATGCGTTGCCTCGCGCCAGAATATTGAATGTATATCTGAATCGTGAAATTCGAAAGTAATTAAGCATGGACGATGTGAGAATGGGCGCGTTCATCGATAAGAAGTTTACCTTTCTAAGACGGACGCTTGACTCAAAGAATTGTATGGGAACAATCGTGAAATATATCTGTTGTCAGATGCAGGCAGAGCTTCAGAACTCAGAACTCTGCCACAAGGTACTGTCGAGGGATTGGAACTCGTATGTCCCCTCATTTCCTTTAAACTGATTAGAAACTGCTGAAGAGTTGATCTGTCTGAGCAGTCGGTCTGTTCAATTCATGATCAAAGCCTGGACGGAGTTATAATTATCTGATGTTATAATTCAACTCATGAAAGCGAAATGATGCCCATGGTCACATCTTCAGGTGGTTATCTTCAAGTTCAACATTTATTTCACTACTCAATTTGTATTTCCCATTAATGCATAAGCATTTGAAGAGCTTTCTGGTTCAGTACATCCTATCTCAATTCTTCTAAATCTGCGAGCTTCACGCAAAGTTCTCACTGGACTTTCGAAGAGTCGTGGAACTCACTCACACTGTACCCGTTCACTCTTGCTGTACCAGTTCTCGACAATAAGACTTGATTCTGGGAAGCGATCACTTTTCCTGTAGATGATGTGTTTGACGCGCATGGCATCTGAATGGATGTGGAATCTGCGGTTTGATGTGGAAATTGTCCACATTCTGTTTGCATCAACCCCATATGCGTTTCGTTGTTTCAAGACAAGTTCTCATATAGCTGAAACCTGTTCTATTTATATTAAGCAAAGAGATATCGATGATTCGAAGATGAATGTTACGCTAAAGTGGAGGAAATGCTACTCCACGATTTGGATGAATCAACCAAGTTCATGATTTGGATGAATCTGGTTCAAATCTGCCCACTGAATAAGCCTAGTTCAGTTTGTTTAAATTTAAGCCCAGCTCGTCCATTTGCTAGCTGGTGTCAGCTAGGTCTACTTACGGTTCATGATTCTCTTGGCTAGTTTCAGGACCTTGAGACTTTCAATAAACTGGTCTCTTGTGTCTTTGAGAACAAAAATTAGGAAGCAGAGAGGGACATGGAGAATAAACCTTGAGTGTCACCTATGCGATAGGTGACACTGAGACAGGTCGTTCTTCTCCTTGAATTGGAAACATAGACAGTAGAAGCATCACCATCGAGGAGATTTGATGACGTCCCCGTGCCGTACACAACTTATGTCCCTCATCAGCATGCAAGAAATTAGGCACAGTTTCATGGATAGATGTGCGCATCAAATGATGGTAAGTTGATGATTTTAAAACTCATATTATATCTCACGTCCGCATGGTCGCTTGTTGAGCTTTACACCTGAAATTCAAGAACCGGTTAACGACCGTACTATTAATCTTGTTAACGGAAGTCTAGGAGAAGTTAATGGTATACTCCTGGTTTCACAAGTACAACCGGATTAAAACGATACCTTTAGTAATTATAACACATATGGAGCATGTTCTTGCGATAGGCATGCAAGATTATCCTTAGATATTCAAATGGGGAGACCTCAGGTTGAAAGACAAATTAAAGCCCTTGTCGATGAACAAATTCTCTGCGAAAATACAGCACGAAAGTATGCCAATAGTTATAAACTCATAAAACTGTATTGGCCTCGATCTTTGGGTTGCAGTCTATGCTTAAGTAGATATCTTAGTGTTGTGGCTTCAATCCTACCTAAAGGCTAGGTTTTAATGAAGTTATAATCAAACATATATCTAACAGTAACTAATGACGAAGATGGATACAGAAAAATACTTGTGTCCCAAGTTCTATCATCTATTTTTTATTTCTAATGTGTACCACTAGTTACTTTGTTTTGGCATAAGACTTCTGCGAATATATTCTTACAACAAAACTAGAAAAAAGTGATATCTCTCTCAAGTATTATTAACATTTTGATTCATTCTATTAGTAAGAACACAAACTACATGTTAAGATTGACTGTAGGATGAAATTTTGGCTTAAATCATAGTTCCCACATATATGTTTTCAGAATCTCTGCTACATAAAATATTATATTTGCACTTATCTGATATGCTCTAAACTATATCAATTTAGAGGGACAAAAAATAACACAAATATAATACTATTCCTTCCGGTATCAAGAGATGTGCGCACATCAAGACTTTAAATTACTCAAACTTATAACTTGACACGCGTGATGTTAAAACAAGCACCATACAAGTGCTACTCCAACACAATGATGAGATTACAACTTGTCACCATGATGTGTTTACTTTACGGAAGAAGGGAGAACGAAGGCCCTGTTCAAAGACTTGCCCATGAGTTCAACACACACACATACACTCACATTGGCAAAGACATGTACGTACATATACAGGTAGAAAGAATTACTAGCTCAATTCAGTTGTTCTGCACATATTGTTGTTGACCCAAAAACTGCAATTACAATACATCCTGTTAATACAGATGTAGCACTTCCGCAATTCTGTAGCACCGTGAAGGTAACTATTTTAGCCCTCGGTTCTGAGTTAGATTCTAATGGTATCACGCCCTTCTTTTGCGGTCTGCCATATCTCTTGTCAAATAACTCATGCACAACGTCATTTTGCTAATGAACTTATCTTCCTTGCAACAGACAAAACGTTTTACCCTCACAGCGTATTCCAATACTATAACCACATTCCGAACTTTTCATACTTATGTACTGATTAGCCCGTTCTCGCCTTACGAACCAAACAAACTTTCAACGATCTTTGAAAGATTGATGTCAGCTTGGACAGTTCTGATCCATATGTTAAGATTCTCATCATAGATTGAAAGAGAAATTCTAAAAGGCATTCGTGTGATGGTGAGCGATTCTGAGGGTTGGAAAAATGAGTCTTAAGTGCGACTAAGATCCTCGTACATATAAGTCTCGTGATGGTAAAGAAACAGAAGTCTCGAAAACCTTATGGAGTTCGTACTCTCTGGCATCATGCTTCTGATTTTACTGAGAAGCTTGTAGTATTCGGTCCCATGCATTCAGACTTATACTTTCAACCAACTAAAGGAAGACCCAATACTTCCTGACTACAGCGCAGCATCGAGAAGAGAATATAAATACATATATAATCAAAAAACTCTGAAATTATTGTGATTCAATCACATCAAGTCTGATTCCGAAAGATGAGTGTTCGTAACAAGGATTCAATTTCTTCGCTTGCTTTCAGCTAGGACCGAAGTCTGAACAGATACAAAATCATCGGGCTTGAAACAAAACTTTCATCCTAGTATGATGAACACTAGGATGCCTCGTGCAATGATCAGTTGTAATCACAGAGCCCATTCTCACATCGTCCATGGCGGTTGTGAGTCGAGATTCTCCTGGGGCACACCAGTCCGCACCTTCCACAGTTGTCTTCATCTTTCTGAAGATCCACACAGTCACCATCGCAACAGGTTTTCCCAAAGTGACAGTCACGGCCACATGACCCACAGTTGTTGAAATCAGTGCTTTTGTCAACACACACCTCATCGCAGCAGTCAGGACCAGCTGAGCCTGCCTGGCGGCAAATTGATTTGTTGTATTTGCAAGTATTTCTTCGAGGAGTCACGTTCAAAAGAAACCTTCCTCTCGGACTCGCTGGGCTAGACACAGCATTTGAATATGTATCCAAGTGGTCCTCTGCATTCACAGCAAGCACTAATATGAGAAGGGTTGCCGACGCCATGAAAAGGATCGTCTGCACTTTGGTGTCCATGGCTGCTGTGAACGTTGGAAGCTACAGAGTAGGATCAAAAGATGTGTACTGCAGCTGAAACTGATGGCAGAAGGCAGGGAGTAGCGGCTGAGCTGCTCGGCTGCTGCACGGGCCGAAGGAGCTATGAGTGGATGATTTGCGCATTTTGACTCAACTATTTATACGTGAAATAGCAGTGCCCAGACTGTTATGAACTTTCGGCCTTCCTTACGCAAAACAATAGTGATCATGGCGACTACAAGTTCGTGGACAGTTGGGTATTGATGGTCCAAGTACATTACAGTTGTTGCACTTGACTTCCTTCTCGACTCCATCTGTTTACAGTCCATTATAATCGCCGAGAAGTTACGAACAACATTGCTCCGGCAGGAATGCCTTCAACTTTGAAGCTTAGAAGCGAACTCTGCACGATGAATCATGTGTTGCCTTCGGCTAGACCACTGATTTATGTACATGTATTACATATACGAAACCAAAGTATATATGTAGCAGGTTTGTATGTAAGAAATTTACTTTTCTAATATGGACGCTTAAGTTATTTCTATGGAAATCAATCGTGAAATATATTTATATTATTGTCAAATATAGGCGGAGCTTAACTTCTCCTAACTCTGCAGCCACGTATACCCCTATTCCTACAATTCATCCTCGTATATTTCCCTTATTTCTTCATACTTATCTCGAGATTGCTACAGGTTTATTGTCAGGTCTGAGATATGGATCTGTTCAAAGCCCTGATCAAAGATAGAACAGAGAACATCTCTTTGAGGTAAGATTTGTATGTATGTTACGAAATTAATGAGTTTTTTTTACTTGCCTGCTGAGGGGTATGAAATAACCACGCTCTAAGGAGGGGTTGTTCCAAATTTCCTCATTACGATAAACGGTGGTTTTAGGATTTTCCAGAAAAAAATTGTTCGGAGGGCCTCAGGTTAGATCAACACGTTAGCAGACTAAATAATTCAATAAACATGACCGAAACCCAGTAAACCCGCTTTGTCAGTAACTTGTGTAGACACACATCTGATCGCAGCATCTACGACCAGCTGAGCCTGGCTCGCTGCATACTGCTTTGTTGAATCTGGACGTGTTTCGTAAAAATAGGATGTCAGGAATAGAGAGAAACACCAGTATTTGGAGTCTATTCACCATGATCAGTGTACGAAGGTCTCGACAGTTTTTTCACAGAGACTATATTTTTGGAAGAAAGCACACTACGTGTACATGATATGGTTGACCCTCATGGCATAGATAGATTTGATATCTGTCGTTTGATCATGGATTTTTGACAGAGTCTGCTAGCCTGAAGCCATATGTTTTGCACTTCGTCAAGACCAGTACTCAGAAACCTGCAACCTGTTCTACCAATTTTATGTGGAAAAAATTAAATTTGAGGAAGGTCGATGTTACAATGAAGCGGGAAGAAACGATGTTCCATGATTTGGATGATTCGGATTTAAATTCTGCCCACAGAATAGGCCCAGTTCGTCCATTTCCGAGATAGTATGAGCTATGTCGATAGACGGTGCATGGTTAGGTTCGGAAACCTTTCAATTCCAATAATCCCGTCTCATGTGTCTTTGAGAATAATAATTTGAATTGGAGCATCCTCGAGTATCACCTATACACTAACTTCCTTCTGAGGAAATTTGTTCTTCCACATATTAATCAATTGGAAATGACTGTCTACAAGCCTCAACTGATATATGCAGTACCACTCTCTACTCATACCACTGCGTACTGTCACAAGAGGAGATCATCAAAAATGTATATATATATATATATATATATTGTCTTTAAGCAGCACAAAAACCAAGGTTTCCAACATCAGTACCTAATGCTAATGCATACTGAGATTCTAACTTTGGAGTCAGTGAATTCTAAGTAGCTCAGACTAAATACTGGCAAGAGATCTTAGCCCGCCTCAAATCCACTCAGAGATGTCCTCGTATAGCTCGAAACTGTCATCTTCCAAGACTATAGAATAGACCTCAAGCATCCATATCGATTGGAGATCTGTCTCTTCACAGATGTATCACGTTTTCGAGGATAGACGATGTCGTTATATCCATGTTTAGCCTGAACGCCCTTTATGATGTTCAATTCATTACGTTTAGTTTGGTCTCATCACTCAATTTGCCTTCGTGCCCTCTGTGGATTTCAAATTCTTTGGTTAATGTCTTCATTCAGTGTATGATTTGCAAATGTTTTCAGCTGGTTACTTGTTAGTGCATAAAAGATTCGTATCGTGATTTGATTGAAGGTATATTTCAGTGAGACTTTTTTTTACTGCTCCTTGTGATGGAAAGATAGAGAGTCGAAGCATCTTCATCGTGGAATTTTGATGAAGTCCCCAGGCCTTGTCCACCCAAGTAATATACTCTCATCTGATAAGAGAGAGTACTCTAATATACTCTCATCTGAAAGATAGAGAGTCGAAGCAACTTCATCGTGGAGTTTTGATGAAGTCCCCAGGCCTTACAGAATTTTTCTTGTCCACCCAAGTAATATACTCTCATCTGTATTAAAGTGAGTGGGCATAGGCTCATGGATTGATGTGCGCATGGAATGATCGTCATGTGATACTTTCAAAACTCATATACGATTTCAGGTCTGCATGGAAACTGAACTGTCAACAACTTGTTAACAACCGTAGAAATAATCTTGTTTACGGAGGTCTAGGAGGTGTTAGTGGTCTACTCTTGATATTCACAAGTGACTCTACTTCGACTTGATCCAAGACTAGATCAACTCAGTCAAGTCAACTCTTTCATTATGTTTAGGGATAAGGACCAAGTCTCCTGCGCTCTTCACCCTTGTCATGAACATAAGTGTTGACCTACTTCCGGCATTGTGGTCACTCATTGGCAGCATAGAGTTAAGGACACGTCTAAGGCCATTAATTGTTCGGGAACTATAGAAAAGGTATTGCGAGCCGGATTATGAACTTTTATTCTTTCGAGCCATATATTCTCAAGAACTTTACTTAGTAGGTTGAGAGTGATATATCGTAGACACTCCCGTACAGTGATGATTCTCTATTGCTGTCTCAAATGTGAAATTTTGATCTCCAAGGATCTCATAAATGGTTCTTGTGAGCATTGAAATCCCCAACAAAGAAATTTGTGTGAGCTGGGTAATGAAACTGTTTTTCCTGTGTAATTTTATCCCGATTTGTGTGGTAAGAGGTAGTATTAGTCATAAGGCCAGTAGTAAGGCTCCAGGCTTTTTGTCCCTAGCATAAACTGATGCCAATATCTGTACGTGTAAAGTCAAAAAAATGTGTCTTGCACTTATTTTATAATATACCAATGAGAACATCTCAAGCTTCGAAGCACACATCACTCCCCATTCATTCATTCTAGCACATCCTAACCCCATATCTGAGATAGAATTTCGACTTTGCCCATATTCTGATTTTGTTACAATGTATGCTCGATCACATGGGCGAGATGTAGCAGCTGAGCTACAAACACAAGAAAAAGAAGCAAAAAAATTGAGGCAAACGTTTTGCTTGACCAAACATGGTTCTGAATTTATAAAATCAGTTGACGCCACATGTATATGTGAGAGTGTTATGGTGTTATTTATGTGCTTTCTTCTAGTCTATGTGGCTGAAACACAGAGAATCGGAATGCTTATTCTTCCAGCAATAATAGTACAGATTTTTTGCCGAATTGAATAGTAATTCACCTACAATAACAGGCTCTTTAACTTGAACACACCTGTTACTGTATTCGTAAAAGGCTATCTATGTACCAGCATACATTCTGTTGTACCGGATCGCGCACTCATTTATCACTTTTCTTCTATTGTCAGAAAAAACATACTCCTTAAGACATTTACCTTTTTGCATGTACGAACGACAGAAGTGAGTCATGGTCAATACTTGATCATGATCTTTAACGACCGATATCTCAAACATGAGATTTATAGCACTCTCAAATCATGTATGAAGAATTAAGGGAAAGATACAAGATCCTATAGCTTGACAGTACGTGGCTGCAAAGTTAAGAGAATTGACTCTCCGGCTGCATTTGACAACGAATTTATTTCACGATTGATTTTCATACAATTCGGTTTTTGAGTTAACCGTCCATATTAGAAAGGAAAGTTTCTTATACACGAACGCACGGATTACATATTTTGGTTTCATACACTTATTTCGGGTGCATGAATGTATTTCACGAGTTGAGCCAAAGGCAACACATGCGTCATCGTGCAGAGTTCGCTTCTAAGCTTCAAAGTTGAAAGCATTCATGCCGGATCTATGTTGTAAGTAATTTCTTGGCGATTGTAATGGACTGTAAACAGTCGGAGTCGAGAAGGAAGTCAAATGCAACAACTGTAATGTACTTGGACCATCAATACCCAACTGTCCACTAACGTGGAGTCGCCATGATCACTATTGTTTTGCGTAAGGAAGGCCAAAAGTTCATATCAGTCTGGGCACTGCTATTTCACGTATAAAAAGGCAATTCAAAATGCACAAATCATCCACTCATAGCCCGTGCAGCAGCCAAGCAGCTCAGCCGCTACTCCCTGCCTTCTGCCATCAGTTTCAGCTGCAAAACACATCTTTTGATCCTGCTCTGTTGCTTCCAACATTCACAGCAGCCATGGATACCAAAGTGCAGACGATCCTTTTCATGGCGTCGGCAACCCTTCTCATATTAGTGCTTGCTGTGAATGCAGAGGACCACTTGGATACATATGCAAATGCTGTATCTAGCCCAGCGAGTCCGAGAGGAAGGTTCCTTTTGAACGTGACTCCTCGAAGAAATACTTGCAAATACAACAAATCAATTTGCCGCCAGGCAGGCTCAGCTGGTCCTGACTGCTGCGATGAGGTGTGTGTTGACAAAAGCACCGATTTCAACAACTGTGGGTCATGTGGCCATGACTGTCACTTTGGGAAAACCTGTTGCGATGGTGACTGTGTGGATCTTCAGAAAGATGAAGACAACTGTGGAAGGTGCGGACTGGTGTGCCCCAGGAGAATCTCGACTCACAACCGCCATGGACGATGTGAGAATGGGCTCTGTGATTACAACTGATCATTGCACGAGTCATCCTAGTGTTCATTATACTAGGATGAAAGTTTTGTTTCAAGCCCGATGAGTTTTTATCTGTTCAGACTTCGGTCCTAGCTGAAAGCAAGCGAAGAAAATGAATCCTTGTTACGAACACTCATCTTTCGGAATCAGACTCGAGGTGATTCAATCAAAACAATTTCAGAGTTGTTTTAGAATACATATCCTCTTATCGAAGCTACGCTGTAGGTAGGTAATATTAGTTATTCCTTCAGTACGTTTAAATTATGAGTCTAAATACATGCGACCCACCACCACAGCTTAGTCAGTATAATCAGTAGCATGTTGCCAGAAACTACAAACTCCAGGAGGTTCTAAAACTTCTGAAACTGTAGTATCGTCATACTTATACGTACGAGGAAATAAAGAAAACCTTAATCCGCCAGCACTCAGAATCGCTCACCTAAGCTACTCGAATGTCCCTTGCAATCTATAATATGTTGTTATGTTTGCTTCTAACTGTAAGATTCATGCTTGGCAGCAAAGCACAATATTACAGGAACATAAGAGGAAACTTTGCGGTCATTGTATAAGTACTTTCAATTGATGTGTGGATATAATAATCTATCATATTCCCAGATTGGATGCATTGCCGCATATTCGTGCTGTACTTCACATTTCATCACATGGTTTCAAAGCAATGTACAACAGGACTAAGCCTGTTGTACATTTTGTGCTAGTTTTGAAGCTCAATCGCTTTAAGTATTTCCAGATTTGTCAACAAGAGTAAAGAACAATAAACTAAAGCATGATCAAACCAATTTGTTCAAGTATGGACAGTTCAGAGTCTGGTGAGGTCTAAATTAAACTCAATTAATTTTTTTGAGTAGACTAAATTAAGCATACTTAGGACGAGTTTCTATTATAACCATGACTGGACTGGACCATGTGTAATGGATACTTTTATATTTGATGGTTACAATCAAGCATGTCAAGAAAATGAGTCGTGGTCTAGTATGTACAGAAGCACTACGAGGGGAAAGGTTGTTAATTATCCAAATTGTCAGGACCCATCTTTCCCACGTAGAAGAGCCTACACTGCATAACAGATTTTGATGGCGACTTGGGAAAGTAATGAAATTTGGGGTCATGATCTCCCGAGATGGTGGTCTAAGCATTTCTTCCCACATGTATAATTAGCCCTTGTTTCGAGGGTTGACCTGTTCATGAGCCAAAAGAACAGAAAACATCTTCTCGTATGATTTCCTTCACACACACGAGCATCTGCTGTAGGGCACACGGTATATGCTCAAATTGAATTACAAGGAATCTGAATAAAGATCCCAATTTGTTGCACAAACAAAATGAGGCATTACAACCGTGCCGATATCATGTGAAAGTTTTGACTCAAATGATACACTGCGTTATGTGAATGTCACTGAACTAGCGCCTTTTTGAACTCATCAAGCATTAGGCAGATTGGAAATAAGAATTTGAAAGCTCAGTAGTACTGGGAGTGTTACATGAGATGCTGCTCAGATAAGAACATTATACTTCCTAAGGTAAACCTTGTCAGATGAAACAGAGTTCCTTAATGGCACGTGAAGGGAAAATCAAGATCTATAGAGAAGAGCAGCGGATCAGCGACTTTGCTTGTGGTGGCTTATTCCATACGAGACAGTTTCGGTTGGCTAATTCTCAGCCTAGCTACTATCAGAAAGAACTGGAGTACAAGAGGTTTTTGTCTCCAAAGAACGGCATTCATCAAATAGTACAGTAAGATCTCATTTCGAAGTCCACTTATTTCATCAATCTCTAAATGAGAAGCCCAAATGCGCCCTTCTCCTAATTCGGATATACGTGAGGCGAAAACAGGCTTCTTAGCTTCAAGTTGTTCAACACAAAAAATGTCACACACCTGAGACCATTCATACAGTATGACTGCAGGCTATGCAAGAAAATCTTGTGTCAAACTTCAGTTAACAAGAATAAGCAAATTTTGTTGAAAGTTTTGAAAGCCTCTAAGAATCACCCTCCCTGAAGACGTATAACCAAATTTCACTCAAAGCTCCGTACAGGAGCAATCAAACCAACTCAACTGTGCTGCTCGCTTGCAGTGGAATGCATGTTGTGGTGCCCTGTACAAGCGGAGAGAGTCCTGTTAAAAAATTATGAAAATATTACTCCTGCACCGAAGCTTAGGTCTTAGAACTTAGGTCCTTCCTCCTTGAATTGTTTCTATTAAGTAACCGAGTGATGAAGAATCGATATGGTAACAAGTACTGTACATCACATTTCTTTTCATATCGACACGCGTGGCTTGTTCATTGCTGTCAAATGGAGAAAGACTAGCAATCAATTTTGTGGCGAAGGAACAATGGAAAAAGCAGAGAATTGACCTGCAGTCGGCTGTTATAGGATCTCATAGAATTGCTTTTCCTGTGTGAAGGTTGTGTTCGTTGTAAAACCTATGGACTTTCAGGCCATGAGTGAGAGATCCAGAAGGTCGACAGGTACTATCATCTCCGGCAGGAGTCAAGCAAATGTACCCTGCTATCTGCGTGCAGTGGAAGCAATCTGGCAGCACATAGCTGACCTTCTCTCCTTCTAAACACTGGCTCATAGTTAACATAATTAGTCATTGAAAATACACATCGAAGTACGCATCGACCTGGAGCTTATGATCTCTCTTCTGTAGCTCCTCTCTATCAGTCGCATTTTATATATCTCTTCAGCAGCAGAATCTTTTGCTTTATCAGAAAGATTCAATCGAGTCTGAAGCAGCAGACAAGGACAGAAATGACAGCGCTCATGGCTCCCGCAGTCCTATTCATGTAATTGTTTACTGCGAAAGCAGAGCTTATGGACTCTCCTGCTCTTGCGGTACAAAGTTCCGCCAGGTTGAGGAGGAGGAATATTCCGAATGCTACTCCAGCACGAAAATCTTGCAATTACAACTCGACAATATGCAGCGAGCGAAAATGGTCGGAAGTGTTGTGACGAGGTATGTGTCGACACGTCCAGCGATGACAATAACTGCGGCTCGTGTGGCCGGGACTGCAGTTTGCGGAAAAACTTGTTGCCATGTTGTTGTGTCGATCTGCACAAATGGAGACAACTGTTGAAGATGTGGACTGAAATGTCCCAGGACGATCTCGACAAGGTATGTGAGAATGGGCTCTATGACTACAACTAACAATGCCGATCATGAAGTATCTGACAGCTCCTGATTTTAAGTCTTTTTGCATAGCTCTGGTCTTGCCAAATGTTGGTCTAAGGAGACTCTCCCTTCTTTCCAGACTGCCCTGAAACTTACCACAAGCTTTGAGTTCTCAAATTCGACGTATATGTGTTATATCTGTACTATGTACACTTTGTATCCAATGGTGAGTTTAGGACGAGAAGGGAGTGACCTCGGCAAATCAATGTGTTATTCATGTAAGGAAATAAATTTGATCAGTATTTAATCTAAAATAGACATGTGCGGATCTATTTACAGTAATGATTCAGTGTAAAAAACATTATGCACTAATTATTTTCATCAATGTAAAAGATGAAGGGTGAAAATGTATTAATCAAATTCAATAATAAATATATGGGAAAATCATAAATTATTTTCTTTTAATATAAAGTGAGAAGGTGAATACGCCATTTTCTGGGATGCATACTCGGATTGGATCCACAGTCCAATTTACGTACTACTATACCTACAATTCTACGCTAAATACCAACGAGGTCCAATCTATTAACTCATTTTAGACTGCATGCGAGATTACAGCTACTTTAGGCTGAGACCTGAAATTTCCCTCTGGAGTAAAGTTAAACAAGCTTTTAGCATGGTTGGATCTAAACAAAGAGTCTCTATGATCGCCATGGTTGGATGTGAAATTTCGAGAAGATCTTCACAACACCGCCAGTGGCATGTCCGTTCATGAAAGCATCAAATTGGAGACCGGACTGAATTCACTTTTCTCTAGGTCAGGTGCTGATCGGTAATGTGCGGGTATTTCGGAGAAATGGAATGCATTTCTCGGAATTTCCGAAGTCTGACCTACAATCTGACTGAATTTCAGTGAAATTACAAAGCTAACACTGAAAGTAATTCTACAGATTCAGCGCTAAGAGTTAAAATCAAATTCTGTTTATTTTTCAAGTGTGAGGTGGGGAAGCCAGTTATACCTGATATATCCAACCTCTACAGAATCATGTGTAAGTTGGTAATACTTTGTGCCAAAGTGGCGGGGATACAAACTCAAACTCGTACAAGTGTTGGTCTGATTCCAAACTTGTAAACGGCCTAGTCAATTGCCAACCTTGGATTGTGGACCAAGAATTATGCCTCAAAGCATATTCGCCTCCTGGGTAGAAATCCACTCGGAATTGCAAACACTTCTGTGCTTTCAGTATCATGTTTATTAAATTTAAACTAATTGTTGCAGTTTTTCGCCATGTCACAATCTGATTATATTACGAAAATATTTGAAGCAGTCATTGTTTGAAAAACGATTGGACTAAAAATATATTAAATATCCTGTATAATATAATATTTTTCTAGAAAAAACGTTAGAAAACTTAAAATGCAAATTTTATTTTCTTATAAATAAACTTCATGATTACTATTAAATTTCCAAAATAATTATTCAATATTTTTGTCGTTTTTTTCTTTTATAGGTTCCAATAAATATTTTCATTCAATACATTACTTTTATTGTGATATGAATATATAAAATTTGACCTCAAAGTATATAGTTATTTTAAACTATTTTTTATATAAAAAATTAGATATTATTTTGATTTTCATTTTGAAAAGACTTACTTATTGGTAGATAAAATGTTCAATTTATTCTCCCATTAATTATATTTATTTAATTTAAGTAAATTGATGAAATATAATTTTAAAATTTTCAACATATATTCATCATACTATTGCTGATTATCAATAAAAATATTATCATAGTACCATATGATTACATTATAATGCTATATTATTTAAAGATTCACATAAATCAGAATTAAATACTATGTTTTATGAATTCAGGATACATTAAATTTTTATCAGAATACAGATGTGTATATTGATACGACTTATTTGAACACTTTTCAGTTTTTGTTGCAATTTCAAATTGAAATATGATAAAAATGGACAATTAATTGTTTTGAACAATGATAGCATAATTGAATGCTCTCTCATCAATTGAAACTACTTCTTTGAAAATCTGAAATTTTATTGCCATAAATGATTTTTCTATTAATATATTTGGTAGAATCATTAATATCAAATTTTTACTCAAGATCAAATAAGATATGGAAATAAGATGTTTTAATTACAGACATTATTATTGACATTATAATTGACTGACAGTCTCATGAGTTTATTTTTGCTATGTATATATTTATCACTGTTAATATTACTTGCTTCAAAGAAATTTCTAAGAGATGTTGCATTATTTACATAATCAACAATCACCCATATTCGCAATTATTATGCAGATAAATTGATAAGAATCACTTAATTCAGAGGTGTATCCATCATATTTACATGATAGTAAAGCATGTGAGTTCTAAAACAATCGAAAGTTCATCCAATACAATATTGTTTGACCAAATCTAGAGGATATAAATTAATCAACTAATTGTTTAAATAACATCAAGGATTTCAATACTTGGGAGTTGGTCTACGTGAGATTGCATAAAAGCTATTGCTGTAAAAAAGTCAATGTGAGACTGCCTAAAAGCTATTACTGTCAAAAAGTCAATGTCAATATCTTTAAATCGTACTTACCGTCACCATCACTAGTCTATACTTGGGTCCTTCAAACATGGCGTTACCCACAGAGCGTCCCACATTATTGATTTTATGACAGTAGGGTATGCGATAGGCGCCAATAAGATGCCAACTTAGTAAGCAAAGACGATGGTATACAAAATACATGTGAATATTTTATGATTAGCTAAGGTTGGTCTTTGGAAAGGGTTCGATGTTTTCCTTGAGTTACAAGTTCACGCAATGCTGAAAAAATACCGCTATGTTTAATAATGGAACGGGACTGCGTCCAAGTTCTATCGCGCATATTTTACCCCTTATTGAAAAAAAATGCTTTTTGGTCCATATGCTGATTCACCCGTGCAAATAAAAGGAGCAAAGATCTTATGTCTACATGTCCTGGTTTTCTTCCTGAATTATCTTATATCATTGCGACAAGTGCTTTCTCAATTTAAAATATCGGGGTCAAAATCCGACAGCAGGGCAGACAAAAAAAATTCCAAAGACGTCGAGTAGGGGCAGTTCTTAAAAAGCAAGACAACACGGAATACGTGCAACTAATCCGACGTGGCCAGCATATACTCGACCAATACCACGCGTCACTGCAATGGTTTGGAGAGTGAAGTGGAGACAACAAGTGACTTCATCTCGAACAACAAATGATGTGAATTTAGGTGTCATTTCATGCGTGTTTTTAATCATTTTCAAATATCACCCAATATAATCTCCACATTGTCTTTGGACAAACTTTAATATAAGTTATCCCATTTTGGAATTTTTAGCGAAGGACCATGCTATCTTCAATTCATGTCTTTACGATGAGAGTATAGTATTAGCATTCGCACTTTGCCTAGATGAAACTATGAAATCATTGTGTTGAAACTATTCAAGTTTCAACACAATGATTGCTAGCATCCAGCGTCCAGTTTTTTTGTACAGTCATGCCTAATATCGAAAAAGATGAAATAGGTCAAATGAAATACAAAATGGATGTGACACCCATCATGTGGTATAGGGAAGAAAAAAAAATAGAAAACCAATGTCTAGACCTGCTAAATATGCCGCGCAACACCTACTCCTGATCTTGATTTCTAACTAAACTCAGAAAAACATTTTCACTCGATTCAAGCTGCTTCTATCCGCCAATTGAAAGGCGTTGAATGAAAAGCGAATTACGCATTGACCTGACTTGAGAAGAAATGTGCTACAGAGTACATGGAACGGGGGAATAAGTGGTTGGAACGGGGAGATGGCGCCACGTGATCTGGGAGACGAGGTTCTTTGTCGGGTTGGGTAGTCATTGCAGGCTTTGCTACGGTGCATGCTACCAGGTGGACATGTGTTCCACTTGTAAATCAGTCCTTTGAGGAGCTCGCATAGTTCCCACTCAAACAGAAAGCCGGAAAGCAGAAGGAAAACTTTGCGGAGCCAGCTGTCGGGCACAGCATCGACATGGATGATTCGGCGACCCATGCATAAGCACCACGAGAACCTGCAACACTGGTGCATGTAATCCGGGGCTTCAACTGGGTAGGAAACTCCTGTTGCTAACTGTCGACTCTCTCATGATTTGGAGTATTGTCCAGAGATGCGAACTCGTAACTTCCATATCGTAACAACTCATCTCGCTCCTGGGTTCTCCACAATCCTTGGCAAGGACGTGATGGGGATTCTTTCCTGGAGAGAATTTCGAGCCATGATGGATACTTGGCTGAAGATCAAGGGTTCTCAATTCAGCTGCCATCGGCGTTCATTGAGATTCATTCATCTATTTTTGTTCTGTACATGTTACGGTACCTGGATCTTCCGCTGCATCTTTGCACTTCCACTTGTCACGATTCATATGTCCAGCTTGATAGCAAACCATTTCCTCGGATCTAAACAGGCCAACACATCCTTGACTGGAAAGATCAATTGCGCACGGTGATTGTTTTTTTAAGAGCCACGTTCACTCATGAATGATTTTATGTGTGTTTTTCCTCTCTCCTTTTGTTTGTAATCTCGATTAATTGACACATTCTTCCCGGTATGAAGACATCCGCACTGCAATAAATCTGGAAGTTTTGGGTCCATTATAGAGACTGGAAATGAAGACGAACGTAGCACTGCCAGCCAAAAGGTGATTTCTTTGAGCCAAAACTGGATACGACAGTAAAATAGTTGTTCTTTAGGAAGTGAAGAGAAGAATGTTATCATAGTAAGATGCTACAGATGTCAATGGCAGAAATGTAGGCATGATTGAATTTGGAGTGAAGTTAAAGACATCATATTGATTATTAAAGGAAAAAAAATTAAAGATCAAGAAATGAGAATCGAAGTACCAACGTGATATTTAGTCCATGAAGCCTTTTAGCCAAAGAAACAATTCCTTTTAATATGAGTTTAAGTGTGTCCACGGAAGTAACAATACCAAATCTGCTAAAAGCGGAGGCCTCGTGCTCCTAGAGATCACTCATCCATCCATTATCCTATAGTATCAGGTAAACAGATGAGAACCAGCAGATCTCACCTGCAAAGCTTGCAAACCGACCCTACTTAGAATCGGGTATGGCCAGTAAATTGCCACCCTAAATCACAGTGTGTTCTCTTCCATGTTGGAAAAGGTTAAATTCAGGTTTGTCTCTTTGGTCGATATTGTCCGACTGCTGGGCATCACCTCGAAAGCATTCCCAACAATTATTCTTTGAAAGGACTGCCGTCTACTCGATCCAAAGTCGAGGTCGTGTAAAGCCTACGTTTTTCAATCAAACCAAAATGGAGTGTTCAAGTTTTGACATGTGTTTTTATTCCTTCTTTTGTACCAGACTGCTGATGGTTTTACGTTGTGATACCATCGACCCCACTGAAGTGTTGCTCCTCGAATAGAAATCTCTAGTATATTTACTGACAGCCTCGAAAATATTAGAGAAAATATTATTGTCACTGTTCGGCTACCAAGGGAGGTAGGAACGTCTGTGACGGGGATAATTGTGGTCAAGGGCTGCGTATACTGTACTCGCCTTTAAATGGCGAAAGCTCCTACTTCCGAAGGGCAAAGCTTTGTCCATGAAGGAAGTTCACATTCGATCTCATATTCGACTTTCGACATTGTTTATATGTATTATCGGACGCAGTCAGTAGCGGAGAATGATAATGAGGTTGCAGAGAAAAAATCGTTTCTTCCAGCACAGATTTCTGTATTCCCCTAAATTGCATTATGTGCATATTTTTTTGGGCTCCTTCGTGCGCGATGTATTTCTGTAGACCTTTCTTATCTTCACCAAGACATGAGTTTGTTTTATCATAATAATCCTGCAAACTCTCCTTCGGCTTATCTGACCTTGCCTTCACTCAGACGACAAACACATTTTAGTATGTGCTGTGAAACATCGAGCGCAGTCGGAAAGTTTGTGTGTATCGTATTATCTTCGCCACAAGGAAAAGAGAATGTCTAAGCAGTACTTATTCTTGATATTATATGGTTTGTAACCTACAAAGATCTTTTGTAACAATAATGGCTAAAAAATCGATTTAATCTACATACGTAGATATGCAATCAATAAGAAAAGTGAATAGATCAGCATTCATTCAACAAATCAGATCAATTTTTTCATCTTGGAAGATATTTAGGCAAAAGATACCTCATAGCCAGTTGTCATGTGGGTTTCCATGTCAAGAAGAAGAAGAAAAAAAAAAAGTCGAAAAAATAACGTTTGCAGCAAAAGGCCAACAGAGGCTTTTGGCTTTCGAAGGAGGAAGTTGTGTGAGCAAAGAGGATGGAGAAGAATCAAAATGTTGGTGGGAAAGCGGGATTGCAATGAGAGGGGGCGAGCAAGACCCCACACGATGGCCCCCAACGGGCAACAAATCATGGCCAAGCAACGACGCGCAAACGAAAGGGAGGAAAAAGAAGGCCCGCGATCCGGAAAAGCTGAGGCGAGCTCGAAGGCGAACACGGAGAGAAGCGAATGTCGATTCCGGTGGCGCCGGCGGTCGCAGAGGGCACCAGCGGAGCGGAGCGCTCGAAAGCAACAAACAAACACGCCGGGGACGGCCATCGAGGCGCTGCGCTGCTACGTGGCCGGAGCAGATCTGGTCCAAGGCCCGAGCCAAGTGTTGGAGTTGTGTTGCAGCTCGGCCCGCTGCCCCCCGCCTGGCACGGACCGCCTGCCCGCCCAGCCACGCAAGCAGCCGAGCAGCCAGCCGAGCAGCCAGCCAGGCGCGCAAGAAACGGAGGTCGAGGACGAAGACGAAGACGGAGACGCGGCTGGACCCCACCACGACGGCCGCACTGACCGCTGCCCGCAGCGCCCTCGACGCCCTCGACGCCAACGCACGCACGCAGGCACGCACGCGCACACACAGAGGCTCTCGCCCGTCTCTCCGTCCGGGAGGACGGACAGCCTGCGCCGGACTTCGTTGTCGTCGTCGTTGCATCGGGGAGGGGCTAGCGGGTCGTCCGCCATCGAGAGAGATTCCATGGCCGAAGGACGAAGGGCAGCCTGCCATGCACGAGCTTTGGCTTGTCTGCGATGGTGCGGATTCTGATGCGCGCCTCGTGGCCCGAGGAGTGCTATAAAGCTGCGCGCTTGTGCAGTCAATATTCTTTCTGGACGTCTGGGACTTACTTTCTTTCGGTGCGACGGGCGGGGCGGGGCGGGGCGGGGCGGGGAGGGCAGGTCAGGGCAGCGCAGGGCCGACACTCACTGGTTCCGGATCGGTTCGTTTATCTATCTTGCCTGCCTTCGATTTGATTAGCTCAGCTCTGCTGCGTCCGGATTCTTTCACTGTCGGGGAGCGTGGGGTGTTGGCGTCGTGGTGGAGGACAGGGGGCGCAGCCGAGCAGGCAGGCCTCGGATCCTGGGTACCTCGCCCTCTCGCGGATTTCGTTTCGGGTTCTTCTTGCCGCCGCTGAGATTTGTGTGTGAGATCCGCCGACTCACGTTCGTTCTCTCCGTTCCGAGGCCCGGGCGAGTCGTCTCGTCGCGACTGGATCTTGTTTCTTTAACTCGGGCTCCGCGGTCTGCCCCGGGCGGGGGATGCCCCAGGCCTGGACGAATTTGGTGATCTCGGGGAGTTTATTGCCGCCGCCCAGTCGCTCTTTCATGCTGCTGGTTAGCTTTCTCTCTGTCACGCATCGGCGCTTTGTTTTTGGACGAGGCCCCGAGCGCTTCCTCTCTGCGGGCGGGCAATCGAATCTTGGTCCAGTCCTCGCTCGGTAGCGAGTTTGTACAAAGGATCAGCGCTGGCGGGGGTTCTTCCTGCGCCGCAACGGCCTCCAGGGTCGATGCACTCCTCGCAAGCGCCGGCGGCCGAGAACTGGGAGCCCAAGCATGAACAGGGTGCTCACTTTCCGGACGATCGGCAGCAGGAGTACTTCCCCTCGAATGGCACGCGCGGTCTGAATGGGTCGGAGTCGCAATCCCAGATGGAGAACATTCCGCTGGAGAAGACGCCGTCCATGATGAAGTCCCAGGAGAAGGTGCTGCTCCATGGATCGCTGGACGTGTACATATATCAGGCCAAATCGCTGCCCAACATGGACATGTTTTCCGAGAAGCTGCGCCAGGTTTTCTCAGTGTTCAACGTGTGCAAGGCCCCGTTCCAGAAATCCGCGGCCAAGGGGGAGGGGAAGGCGCATCGCAGTCATGTGATCACCAGTGATCCCTATGTGTCAGTCGTTCTAGCTGGTGCCAGATTGGCTAGAACGAGGGTCATAGCTAACAACCAGGATCCTGTATGGAATGAGCACTTTCTGATTCCCGTGGCGCACAGCGTGTCCGAGATTGTATTCAGCATCAAGGACAATGATCTTCTTGGAGCCCAGCTGATTGGTAACGTGGAAGTACCTGTGAGTGCCGTGGTTGAAGCTGGGGAAGCAGGAATTGAGGGCTGGTTTGATGTTATGGGCTCTGCAGGAAAGGTTGTTCGTGAAAATGCTCAGTTAAGACTGAAGATTGCGTATCTTCCGGTGCATAAAAACCGACTTTACCAAAGTGTGGTCGAAGCTGGGCCAGATTATTTTGGAGTACCCAACACATATTTCCCTCTGAGGAAAGGTGGAAATGTTGTGTTGTATCACGATGCTCATGTCGAGGAACACACCCTTCCCGACTTTAAGCTTGACAACGGACTCTTGTTTCAACACCGAAGATGCTGGGAGGACATCTGTACCGCCATTCTGGAAGCACATCACCTGGTGTACATTGCGGGTTGGTCTATTTACGACAAAATCAAGCTGATGAGAGACATAAATAGGCCTATTCCTGATGGTGGGAATTTGACCTTGGGCGAACTTTTGAAGAGGAAGTCGAAGGAGGGAGTTCGGGTTCTTCTATTGGTGTGGGATGACAAAACATCTCACAACAAACCTCTTATCAAAACTGTGCGTTTCGAATTGCCTCGTTTGGTTTTTTTCATTAGGTCTGAATTTGCTTGAATTTAAACCCTTAACGTCCTTGGAATCGAAGTTCTGTTGTATTTACTGTCTTGTACTCGATGAAGCATTCGTTTTACAACCTTTAGCAAGCCCGCTCTTGCCAGAGAATAATTGGCTGCATGCCTTTGGTGCCGCAACCAATTTGGACATTCTGCCCAATAGCAATTTTTGGGATTTTCGCCTCTTGCGCACTAACATGTAGACGTTGTCAGAGTACCAATAGAATGCACCAATAATGAAATAAATCATAGTAAACAAAAAAACTTCAAAAGAAGAACGTCTTCACATCTGATCATTTCTGGTTAAAGAATATTATATTTTAAACTCTGGAGAGCTCTAGGTTCCAGGACTCAGGAACTGTGTGACTTGCGTGCAGTCGCTTGCCCGCAACTGGTAGATTGTCGATAGTCAGGCTGAGTCGACAGCAATAGAAGTCCACTAACAAGTTTATTATTTTTGGAATACAGGAAGGTGTCATGGGTACTCACGATGAAGATACCAAGAAATTTTTCAGGCATTCAGCTGTGAGGTGTATTTTGGCTCCTCGATATGGTGACAACAAGCTCAGCTGGTTTCGTCAGCAGGTTCATCTTACTTCCTGACGCTAAGTTTTTGTGGGTTTTTCCGAATGACATCAGTGTCTTTCACAGGATCTTTGCGTAGATGTGCATATTTTCGTTGTCCGGAATTGAGTAGTAAGCTTTCTGATCCTTTCGTCTTCGATTGGGCTGGCTTTAAAAGTGGGAGATGTTGCAGTTGATCTTATTTTAGTGAGTCAAATTTTAAAGCCACTAGCCTTGAGCTTCATATGCACATGCGTTCAGCTGCCCATGTCTGATAATCTCATGTGGAGTATATTTTCTATATTAGAGTTGCGTGTGTTGTTTCTGGCTGCCATAGTTGACGCCCGGTTTTTCTGATACTTTCGCTGTAGGTTGTTGGAACGCTCTACACACATCATCAAAAAATTGTTATTTGTGATGCTCAAGGACCCGGTAACACGAGGAAAGTGTCCGCTTTTTTGGGCGGGTTAGATCTTTGTGATGGACGCTATGATACTCCAGGACATCCCTTATTCAGACATATGGATACCGTATACAAGGAAGATTACCATCAGCCTACATTCAACGTATTATTCCACTTCAATCAAAGTTTTCAGCTTTAATTTTCTGACTGTTGTTGTCAACGGGGAGTATAATGATGACAGCAGAAATTGATATCGCCACCACACGTCAAATAAGCTGCTTTCTGTAGCATCTTCACTCCCATTGATTATTGACAAGTTGTGTATTGTGTTACAGACCACACAAGATAGTGGAGGACCAAGGCAGCCTTGGCATGATCTTCACTGTAGGATTGATGGTCCGGCTGCGTATGATGTCCTCACCAATTTCGAACAGCGCTGGAAGAAAGCCACGAGATGGCATGATGACGAGCTGATTGAAATTGGGCGTATTTCTTGGATACTTGGTCCAACGAAGGAAACTAGACCTCAGGGCGATCCACATCTCATGGTTTCAGAAGATGAAGACCCAGAGACTTGGCATGTTCAGGTTCGCATACTTTCCCAAAAACAAGAAATGTCGTTTTGTAGTCTTAATCCCGTTCGATCCTCTCATGAGGAGGTCAAGAACCGACTCTGAGTTCTCATGGAAGCTTTTGATGTGACCTAACAGATTTTCCGGTCGATCGATTCTGGATCTGCAAAAGGCTTCCCCAAAAATGTTCAAGAAGCAGAGAGACAGGTACACTTTCGAATGGCATAGTTAGGCAATACCAACAAGAAGAATGCTTTGGGTGCCAAGCCGGCCATTTCTGAAATTCTGTACACCCTCTACGTTTGATTTGCAGAATCTTGTGTGGAGGAAAAACATAGCCGTGGACGTGAGCATACAAACAGCGTACATTAAGGCCATCAGGGGAGCTCAGAAGTTCATATACATCGAAAATCAGTACTTTCTCGGATCATCATACGCCTGGCCTGATTATAAGACCGCAGGTACTTTTAAAATTTTCCCAGGCGACTTGCCGTTTAGCGAGCTAAATTTTATCGGTATTTGTTTCCTCCCGGGTATTTCAGTCTGCCTAGATACTGGAATCTAAAACCAAAAATACAATTTCAAATGGCCTACAGAGGCTGTCAAGCTTTTTGAAATATGCGAGGAAGTAGTGGGTGGGAGTTAACAGATGTGATTTGTAAGTTGAATATGGCGATACACCCGTTGTGGATTCCTTGGAGGCTGATGTGGCACATTTGTGGACAGGTGCTGATCAGATGATTCCTATGGAGTTAGCACTGAAGATTGCGTCGAAAATTAGGGCCAATGAGAGATTTGTAGCCTACATCGCCATTCCAATGTGGCCTGAAGGGGCTCCAGACAGTGCTGCCGTGCAGGAGATTCTTTACTTCCAGGTAAGTGTAAGTGCTGCCGTGATAAGTGTTTTGCATTACACTTATCACGACGTTGATTTACAAATAATTCGAGCAAATTCGGAGTCAGTCAGTTGAAACTTGGCTTTTAGTTTTTGCTCTCTGGGAACGGTATTACCATAGGTTTGTCTGAAGACCTTGTGGCTCCTTTTGTTTCAGAACTAAACGTGCGTTCATAGTTGTCATAGAATTGTTGCTTAGACGATGATAGAGTATTTTACAATGGGTGATATGTTGGATTTATTTTGTTCTTCTGTACATCAAGTGTTCTGACTATTTTAACGTCTGCTTTGCGAGCAGTCCCAAACTGTTCAGATGATGTATACGATCATCGCCGATGCTATTCGTGACCAAGGTCGATCAGACGATCCTAGAGACTACCTGAATTTCTACTGTCTGGCGAATCGAGAAACGAAATCTGATTCTGATCCATCTCCGTCGAAGCCGCCGGACCCCAACTCCAAGCAGGTTTACCATAATTCATCTACTACTTAGTGTATACCCGGACTTAAAAAAGGGCATTGAGTTGCTTCAAGTTGTAGGGCCTTTCGAGCGCAAAGCTATCTTTATGTTGTTGTAGTTTTCATGAATTCCATCTGATTGAGCTGGAAGATGAGGCTTTATGAATCACGTGCTTCATCCTGGAACCTTGGAAAAGATCTATGGCTCAAAGCAGGACTTTCAGTGCTGACTTGTGGTTGTCTCTGGAATTCAGGGGTTAGTGCACAGAACGAGGCGGATGATGATATATATTCACTCGAAGGGCATTATAGTCGATGACGAATATATCATTATTGGATCAGCAAATATCAATCAACGATCTATGGATGGATCTAGGGACACCGAAATTGCTATGGGAGCATATCAACCTCACCATACACATGCCCGTGCTTTGAAGCATCCTCATGGCCAGGTTAGCCTTTTTGTGGGATTCACGCTTCGTACCTACTTTGGTTTCAGTCTTCGTATTGTTTCTAGAGGTCTTTTTTAAGCGGACATTTGGACATAAGCACATTTGGAAGATAATTTTTGACGTTAAAGGCAGAAGGACAGTGTACGTCACCATCACCAGCGCCTTATGCAGACTTTCGTGTTTTGCAGATTTATGGCTACCGGTTGGGGTTATGGGCAGAGCACTTAGGATTCTTGGCACCGTGCTTCGACGATCCATCCAGTCTTGAATGTGTTCACATCATCAACGAGGCCGCAGAGAAAAACTGGGAGCAATATACAGCGGAAGAAGTGACAGACATGAAGGGTCACTTGATGCCATATCCTTACGACATCAGTATTGATGGTCAAGTGTCTCACAAAGCGAACTTTGAGACCTTCCCTGACGTTGGAGGGAAAATTATGGGTACCAATACTCAGCTACCTGATAATTTGACCACCTGATCATATTTTGATAATGGTAAGGACGGATTTCCACGTAAAAGCCACGGGGTTTGGGGGTTTATGCAGCAGGCCGCTTTGATTGTCCTCGTGCTTTTGGAACCTAAAGGCATTAGTGCAGGGTTTTTCAAGTGGTCCTCTCCACAAGTTTTCTGACCGAGTTGATTTCACTCCGATCAAACCACATATTGGAAGTTCTATGGAAATTCTAAGAATAGGGCTTAATTTGCCAGAAAGGATGTTAATATTTATGAATATTGACTTTTTCAGCCTCAGTCAGCCTTTTGGTGAACAAACGCAGGTGATTTCGAGTTGGAGCGGCTCTCCTCCATGAGCGTTTTCATAACACTGTTGCCCTAATTTTGACCACTGAAGTTTCGGGCTCACAATCCATTCTAAGTGATTGTGATTGTCTTGAGACTATACCTTGGTCAGCAGTCAAAAGAGTTTACAAGATCATAGAGAAAACAACCCACCACCCAAAGTTGGTTGAGGTGCGGACATTGTAGCTACAGTTCACCTGCATCCATGTTCCAAGTCGCCGTCCATTTTTTCCCTCGTGGCAGCCAGTATGGAATTAAGAACTGCAGAGTAGTCTGCACATCAGGTCTAGCCCTGAATATGAGTGTCATTGTAACTCCTTGGACATGTGTACAGGGTGGCACTCCTTGGGCGCGCACGATTATTCAACTTGCCTTGTATATAGAGGTTTGCGAATTGCTTCCTCTCTATTAACTGTGATTTATTCCTCCCAGTTGTCTGAACTTCTCTAGCAGCTTTCTGACGAGTTTGTAGGGTTGACATTATCAGGTAGGTGAAGCCCATCACAGCTCCTTTTTGTACAACAGTTTATGTAACTCTAGAACATCTTGACATGGTTTAACTATGAATAACGATTTTTCAGAATGCAGTGCCTGGACCTGTGGCAGTGGATCTTCACTAATATAATTGAAACTTGAAATCATGCTAGAGAGGTTTAACAAGGGTGTAGCGATGATTGGGCTCTTCTGTAATGCCTGGTGACCTCTAGCTTGTAGGAAAAAAAACAAATGTCTGAGAAAGCAGATTATTTTTTTAAAGAAAACAGTTGTGGGCAGAATTAAGAATAAATCGTCTGTGAATTTGAAGTTAGAAGAGTAGAAAATGAGTCGCATCAACAGATTTGCAGCTCTGTTTAAAATTAAAGCAAGGAATGTTGCCAAGGTATCTATCGTTGTTTCTTCTTTGCCTCGAGGCGATCTGTAGTTGCCCTTTCGACGCCTTGTCGTCAATTTTGTGGTTTCGTACACAGATATTACATTTGTCTAAGTTGTGGTTCCACGTATGGCGTGTACATGTTCAACATTTTGGACGATTCGGTGTATCTCACGATAATGTAGAGATATCTAAACCCGAAGTTTCTTGCTCTATATGTAACAAGCAAGCCCTTTCTACTTTCACTAGACGCCATTGGAGCCACAACACAATTAGGGACCTGACCCTTATCCACTGGTATATGCTGAGAACATTATAAAATCGTGAAAATTTAACCGAAAGAAGGAAAGACAGTCAAAATTTCAGGAAATGTGAAATAGACCGATAATAAAAAATATGCGTCAACACTGAAACATGAACGATTGAATTATGCTGAGCAAGTTCAACCCAGTTTCTGGTTCTTCACTGCGACTACATACTAAGACGTTGGTATTGACCAAATGCTAAATAAGGCAGCGTCGGAGAAGAAAACAATGAGAAGTCAAGACGAATGGAACAAAAAGCTGTTAAGCTATCATCCTGGGAAAAACATTGAAAAGTTCCACTCTAAAAATTCCACATTAGTACTGTAGAAGAAGATATGACGTTGACAAATTTTATATCAAATTTCTAGAAATTCTATTCTTACGAACAAGAAATATGTCACTTCGCAGTTTATGACTATACAATATAGCAACATGTTGGTATACAATGAGACAGTGAAAACTTGTTCGTGGTAAAGCATTTAAGAGTTTAAATTTATATTTGCAGTCTGAAGATTTCACTTCTTTTATCTCGAGTCTTTTGACGATCAAAACAATGATCAGTTAAACATTCTATGTTAAACATTATTGCATGTAACATACTTCACTCAAACCTTATATAAGACAACTTTGACACTGATTCCCAGCATGATTTAAATATTTAAATATCTCCATTTTCTTTTGTGACAAAACATTAATCATATATCAATCATTATACACATGAATGTTAACCAAAGTTATATTGGTGTGTCGACATACTCTTTGTCAGGGAAAGTTCTTGTGTACTTGTATTATTGCAAAGTGATGTTAAATCAAAAAAAAATTGACGCTTTTGAACAAATATTACGAACTTCCTATCTCGTTGAATGAATTCAGATCGTTGCACTACACCGAAAGATGAACATTGCAATGGCGTGACAAATGTAATAGTTGACAAATTCATTCTTCATGAATTTGTCAACTGGCTTTCCACTGGGTTCATTGATCTTGATAACGTGCAAAACCAGTGCAGCATACCTGGTCGCAAACGTTACATGACCAGTGAACAAGCGAAACGTATACAGCGAAAAATGGTGTCTCATTTGATGAAACGAAAATTACTTTCACTTTGGATTAATCACTAGCATTTATGTTACAAATTATAATTGGAATACTCCGGATGCTTGATTAATTCGTAGAACAGTCCCAGTTGTTGACGGGTATAACTCCCTTAAATATTGTACATTAACCCAGGCCTACTCCGACAGAGCGTGTCGTTTACAAAATCCTTCAATACGATCCCATGCTTCGCCAAGTTGAACCATTGACAACCCGAACACAATTCTAATCCAATTTGACCGTCCGAAAGCTGAACCTGCAGTAGTTCATCAAGTTTCAGGAAGATATCTCAATATTGCTGACATTGATTCAAAGTAACACGTGCATGTATAGAATCTATCGTCATTCAAATTTGATATAAATAAAAGACAAAGCAGCCATTTGTAAATTCATGATGTGTCCACTAGTAAACATAATACGAGTTGTTATATACCTGGGAGAACGAGTACGGACTCCTCTTTAAGAAGAGCCGCGGAAAAATCCACGTCGTTCCTCATCTCTAGAAAGGCAGCTGGGTCTATTCTCACCTGTTGATTCGAAGTTTCAGGCGGATAAGCGGAAGGATAAAGAGAGAACAATTGTTGGAGGACAATCCTACGCGTTCTAAAAAAAACATCTGCAAAATCCTCATGACCCAGTAGCAACATGCCCATTTGAGTTCTCTCGGTTGCAATCGTTACTGAGAGAGACTAAGTTGCGTTGCGTCTGCCATTTACCCTTCATCCATTTACGCCTAACTGCAATGCATCACTATCCAGAAAGCATTCGTTTGAGGACACTAGTATGATTATGATCAATTTGAAGACTTGAAAGAATGTATGGACCGAAAGTTGCAACTCAAATTTAGAACATATAGAACACGCAGAAGCCAACATATAGACCTTACCATCATGAACATGGAACCCTGCGGTCTCCAGGGGCAGTCCAGCCCAGCAATTTTCTCAACTCGTTTATAGCATAACTGCGCTCCTGATCGTAATGAGTCTAGGACGTTTTCAAAAAAAGTAGCTGGTGTGCTTCTCAGCAGAGCGGGTAGTGCAGCCTAGGCAATCATAAGAGAGCAGTAATCAAATGTCACATTAGCAGTTTACTCTCAATCTATCTTACTCGTCGTAACAAAAGATTCATCTACTACGGCATGAAATTGTAAGCCATTTGTATTTTAAATCTTACCTGCATCAAAGTACAAGCTCCAGGCGTAATCTGCGCAAGTTTGGTGAAGGCCTCCCGAACCTGCGAACGCAGATGTCAGGCAATATTGGTAAGGACTATGAGCTGAATTTCTAGCTGCAACGCATGTGATTTCGAAGCCATTCACCAAACGTTAATCAGATCTCGAATCCTATTCTATCAGATTTTCTTCACTCTCAAAAACAATGAGTCGGCACAGCTCACCCTTGCATGGACGAGTATACCGCGAGGATCCGACACAGCCAGCCATCCTAGTCTCCAACCTGGGGCTAGCCAGTTCTTGGAAACCCCACCGACCGTCAAGACGGGAGCTTTTGTTGAAAATCTGGCCATAGAAATGAATGGATTTTGACCAAAAACCAAACTCGAATACACCTCATCAGCGATTATGGGCACTCTCAGATTTTCTGCAGTCGCTGCTATCTGATAACAAAATAGACAAAATCGAGATCCGCACCACAATCAAAGATTATTTTAATCGTATGTAGCAATTTTCAATTAGCTCAATGTGAGTAGAATTAAGTACTATTGGTCTCGTATCACAGGCAATTCATATGTCTCTTGTACGTCACTTTGTTCTAAATTATAAAACAGGCGTATCCTGCATCCTTTTTAAGACGTTTTCTTCCACCTGCAGCGAAATTCTATGATTAACAGGGATGAAAAGAGGCAGAAAATATGGACACAAACAACTGCTGACTATTACACGCACCTGAGATAGGTGGTCATACTCGAACACCGTACCGCAAGGATTTCCTGGGTTGCAAATAATTATTGCTGCTGTATTGTTATCCGCCAGTTTAGAAACCTGTACAAGATCTACTTCCCAAGACCTATCCTGAAGCAGATCATAATGTCTGCATTCCACGCCGTAATACGAGCAAAGCGTTTCATACACCGGAAATCCTGGTCTAGGAATAAGAAAATTACATCCGTCGAACCGGAGGACATCGAGACAATGTTGGATTGCTTGCGAACACCCGGAGGTCATTATCACGTCGTCGACATCGAAACGATGATCTAAACCATCCGAGAGATATTCCGCGACAGCCCTGGAAGAGATCCCAAGCACAAACATCAGAACAAGTTGAAGATAGCAGTCTCTTTCATGAGCATAAGGAAAACAGGTGCTGCTCAATTGGCGGCAACTGGCACATTCCACGAGCATTTTCAAAAAGAGGCATCTCCAACAAAAGGCGGACGGAAACACCAACCGGCCACAAAGCTCTAAACTTTTTAGGCAATTATGAGACTTATTTTCAATTACCAGGCATTAGAAATTGATGCTCACAGAGAAACGAAAGAGGCAGCTTTTTAGAATTCTTGGATCCATAGGTTTCTATTATTGTACATCAGAAACTGAAACACAGAACATGCACACAGAATGGTCAATGGAGTCAAATAGATCCAAGAGCCAAGGAGGAATTGAGGTCTGATGGGCACAATATTCACACAATTACGACTAAAAAAGATCACAAGAAAAGGTGCCGCCACTTCAAACGTGCTAATAAACAAAACGTGTGCAAAATACTTCGACACTGCCCATTTATCACATGTCCTATTTGAAGCCGAAGCGTGTACACAAGCCAAAGGTTCACATCTTCACAATCAAAACAGCTCATGGGAGCAGCAGACAGTCTGGTAGATTGACCTTGTAAAATTTTCAAATGGTTTTCTAGACTAGACATTCCATGTGTTACATCAGTTAAGTCCATACAGCTCTCCGTATGTGAAAGTGGGCAAATATTATCACAGCAGACTCTCACACACACCAAGAAGGGAACTGCGGAAAGCCAGGCGCATAAATTCGACAAAGAATGAGAATGATGCGATGCATGACAGTCAATGTGAAAGACAATATGATGTTTAACTCCACATAGATGTACATGAAACTTCAGAGAATGAGGGAAAGGTACCTCCTGGCTTCGAGAAGACCACTCGAAAGTGTGTACCCATTGTATCGTCCGTCTCTAACCACGTCTATTACAGCAGAATTGGCAACATCAGGAACTTTCATGTGAGGTCCGAATAGAGCGGGATCACCGACGGCGAGCGAAATCAAATTCTTCCCGTTTTCTTTGTTCAAAACCAGAGTATCTGTAATTCTTCTAATCGGGTTAACGCTTCTCATGATCGCGGGATTTGCTCGCACGTTCCACCCCTTTACCCCATTTAATGAGACAGCCAAATGCTCCTCCTCGGACATACGTACGTCCGTAAGCTTCGATTCCAACTTTGCCACTGGCTCATCGAAAGTCGTCCCATTCCCAGAGACTTCATAGCCATCGTCTCCTTTCCCTGACGCCGTAGACTGAGAACTACTGAATGTGCCGTCGTTGAACGAGGGAACAAGTTGTTCACTGCTCTGATTTGTACCAATCGAAACTACTGCTGACCGGGCTTTTGCTCCAATACGGGCTCCAATGTGGTTAATACTGCTCCTAGTTGCTGGGTTACTTTTCTTGCCCTTGGACGCAGGTGCTGGAGGGGATCTCTCCAGCAGAGAGTTGGCACGAGCAAAACTACCGGCGCCCAGCACAGATAACGAGGACGAATCTGATGGATTCTGAGCCAAAGCTTCTGATTCGTTCAGTTGCGAGTCCACAACCTTTCGACGAGCCCCGATTCTGTCCTTCATGACAGCGAAAGTGGATGTGAAAAGTTCAAACATTCTTGAGGTCCCAGTGAGAACAGACCGCAAATCGCTTGATAAGGAATTACCAGTTCTCTCTACCGCACCGCCATTCCTCGCATCCAACGTCATGGGCAAGGCGCTCAAGCGTGCAGTCGCAACAAAAAGCCGCTGCCCTACAGCCAGGTAGCGAAAGATGCAGCAGAATTGTTCATCTAATAATGCAAACGCTTCCGGAATCTGACACTCAAAAATCACGCAGACGATGCACGCGCCAAGGAGGATAGGGCATGTCCGCGACTCATGAGCTCCTCGTCGCGTCTCACCCCGGAGTGAAGGGACACAATGCAGCAGTACACAGGGATGGCAAAATCCATAAAGAGGAAAATCAAATTTCCCTTCGAGAATCCTCTTCTAAAACCTCAAATCGGAACCTCTCCGCGCGCAGACGACCTTTCCACACAATTGCTCGCGACCTGCCCACTCAGACCCAGACCCAGGGCACGTGCGCTGCGCTTGGCAGAAGATAGAGCTCACTTACTACAACGACTCAGTAGTAAGTACGACGTTCCCACCACGAGGACACCACCCCGACATGGACCACACACATTCAATGAAGGCTTGCGAATCTCTCTGCTCTCGCAGACTTGCAGACTCGCAGATTTCAGTGCGACGCTGCCGAATGTCGCTGCGCAGGCCCACCAAACGCTCGCTCGATGCGCTGCGCTGCAGGACGAGGCGATGCGGATACGGGCGCGGGCGCGGGGCAGCGCGATTTCGGCAGCAGGGACGACGGCCGCTTTCCCGGAGACGGAGATTGAAGCTCTGTGGAACCGGAGCGCGTGTCGACGTGCCAGCATGGGAGCGCACACCACGTGGCCGCATTTGAGAAGGTGGGTGATTGGAGGCGCTGGCAATGCCAACTAGGCAGAGCGGCTCCGAGCAATTTCGTTAGGCTCCAGTCCTATCGCGAGCCGCTTGACTGTCTATGCAACGCCATGCACTTTCTCCCCTCCCGCTTCAAACTGCTTGTCGCCGGAACCTTATCGTCCGAATTTTTGACCGTGCACAACCCTCGAGGCTTGTGTGAGCACGGCTCTTTTTGGCGCCACGGAGAAACCACGTGCGCTTTTCCCGGCTTCGCCACCGGCTCAAGCAGTCATGTTCTGCAGTCGCTGCCTGGCTAGACTGTGCTAGGGTCTGGAACTACATCTCCATCCGGACTTCATCCAGCGTTTTCCCAGAATAGCCTGTCCACGCCGAGTCCCGTCGGATGCGTCGACGTACATTGCCGTGTAGACCACCTGAACTCAAGTCACGAGTTGTTGAGGTCGTCACGTCTGACTTGCTGGGCCTGATATCTTGGGAGTTGGTCCAGCGCTCGGACGGAATGATTTCCAACGTAAAGCCGTTAGTAGCCGGTTATGGAATCTGATCCAACGCATGAATCTTTTACCTTTAATCGATGTCAAGATTCTCTTACTTTGTGATTGTCTTTTAATCGTATGACTTGTGTCACGAGTATTGCGAATAGATGCGACCTCTGCTCGTGACAAGATTTAACACATCGCACAGTAATGTTCGTGCATTGGTTTTTTCAGAGAAAACAATATCTGCATAAAGTTCACCTCTAAATCGAAACTGGAGCCTCATTACCTGGAGTATACAGTACAAAATTCACAAAAAGTTAACATATAGAAAGCACAGCAGCCCACAATGCAATGTGATGGATGAAAATCCACATCACATTACGTTGCCGTGGTGATTGTAACGCGTTTGTTTCCACTGTAACTGTTGACAAGAGTACGTGTAGTGTCTGCGTGTACTTGTCAACTCTACGGTTTGCGTGAAAACAAAATTTCTCTATTTTTTTTTATAAGTGATCATGTGGTAGCAGATCTGCAATCTGCAGATAGTATGTGAGAATGAGTGTGGATCAATTCCAGTGATAGATAAATCCTCGATGTTGGAAATAGTGGTAATTAGAACTTCGAGCTTAAAGTGTCATAGGCATCGATCAATTTTAAGTCAATTTTTTGGATTATGACAATGGAATTGAGACTGAGGATTACCACTTCTCATACAACACCAAACATGAAGAATTTTTAGAATTTTTTTGATTATTTGATTTGGTTACGGTGACATGTATACAAACACTATAGAAAAATATTACTATATAGCAATTAAAAAAAAGTAAGTGATCATTTTTCAATTTGGACATAAAGATTGAAAATTTGTCTTATTAATTTCTTCCTTTTCCTACTTGGATTTTTGGGAATTTTTTAAAAATTCGATCATATCAAATTCTTTGATTATGATTACTTTTAAATTTTAAAGTTTGATTATTATTATTATTATTATTATATGAGAGGTAAATTAAATTAAGTTATGATATGCTTGGCTTTTTGAAAACATACTAGAAGTTACATGATAAATTTTCAATTACATCGCTTTTTTTTCTGTGAATCATTTACATCATGTCAAATTTATTAAATTAATGTAGCAAAAAATCACTACACAGTCATACTAAAAAATTTGGTATATGCGTGTAAAAGAACCACTGACATTTATCATGTGTATTGAACATCAAATTCTGGTTTCATATATATGATTAAGTAAATCTCTGAAAGTTGCAGGGTTATATGAATTAAATCAATCCGTGAAAGTTGCAAATGTTAAATTCATTCAAATTTTTATTATTAAATTTTATTGAAACCATTCTTACATTTACATGTTGATTTTAGGAACTCTTTTATAATCCAATGATGAAAGTATGTATTTTGTTGCCCAAAAAGGTAAATAAAAATTGACACAAACGGCAGAAATTTGGACTTACAGTGATCGATATCAAGTGTGTAGATGTACGCAGTTACATATGTGAAATTCAATATTTTATTTTATTTTTAAGTACAATCAAGAGTGACAGTTCATGCATGTGATGATATGCAAATTGTTTCTTTGAAGTCCATATTGCCAATCCAAAAACTTGTTGACAGTGTGACTAAAGTATCAAATTATTGGAATAACCAAAAATCAATAGTTCTACATATGGTGTTTAATCAAAAAAATTAGTTGGACAAAAAAAAGCAATCAAGATTATTTGATTGTTATTATTTTTTGTGTGTGAAAATGAATGTCTATAAGATTGATTATGCAAATAAATTCATGTAAAACCTTGCAATTTTAATAATTTAGATGCGACAAACCAATTCTTTATGTCAACGGTACACAATCGGTTCAAAACTAGGGCTCCAATCAGGTCGGGTTTGACCTCCAACCCTACCCGACAAATCGGGTCGGATTCGGATCGATTCGAGTGAAACCCAAATCGATCTCGTGGAGATCCATGATGGTGATGGGGATACATGATCGTGAGGGAAGGGCGAGTGAGAATCGGAAACTTGGAGCTGCGAGTATTTTTTTGACAAGGAGGCGATATGAGATATTTTTGAGAAGACAGTACAAGCAGAATAGCAAGCGCAGCGCGGCCCAGGTAGATGCAGAAGCGAGCGAGCAAGAGAGCGGGTGAATGCATCGCATCGAGTGAGGTGCGCATCAGGTGGGACGAGTACGTGTGCTAGACACGAAAGGAGTAGCAGAGTTTCGCAAGACAGAATGGAAGCAGATGCAGACACTGACGGACCAGCTGGGCTTGCAGTGGAGTTCTTATCGGTCGTTGCTTAACTCATGTGAGCATAATCACTTCAGATATCTCCAGTTGTTGTATCAGCAACTTTCGACGATTTACACAACCCTACACTTGAAAAATTTTTGCAAGTATGCTTTCAAGGTTTCGTCGCTTTAGTGAATCACACGATCTCATCCTTTAATCTCTATGCCTAATTTTTTTACAAGAAATTTTATCCTGGAAATCTCAACATTGTTTCGTTCCGAGGGTCCTGCCCGCCCAGCTTAATTTTTGGGTTTCGGGTCGAATACAGCCCTCTACTGGAAGTGGGAACCGAACCGAACTCGGATTTTGGGATTTTACCCGAACCTAATCGGAACCCTATTCGTAACAAGTCTTCATTTAATCTATGTTACAATAACTTCAATTAGTGAAACGGTTCATACACAATATGTTCAAATCTCCTAACAAGTCTTCATTCAATTTACGTTATAAAAACTTCAGTTAGTGAAGTGGTTCATACACAATCTATTCAAAACTCATAACAAATCTTCATTTAATTTACGTCATAAAAACTTCAGTAAGTGAAACGGTTCATACACGATCTTTTCAAAACTTCTAACAAGTTTTCTCTTAATTTACGTTATAATAAATTCAGTTAGTGAAACTGTTCATACACGATCTGTTCAAAACTCCTAACAAATTTTCACTTAATTTACATTATAATAATTTCAGTTAGTGAAGCGGTTCATACACGATGTGTTCAATATTTCTAACAAGTTTTCATTTACTTTACGTTATAATAAGTTCAGTTAGTGAAATTGCTCATACGATCATTATATAAAAGAACTCAAAAAAATTCTTAGAAAAAAATTTACAGATTTTTCAGTAGATTTTGAGTTGTTCCGTATACTGAATACATTGTGATGAATAGCATATGTCTAGTATCATTGTAACGATGGTGCGTGTGTGTTTTTAAATTAACTATGTGTGAGAATTTGATTCAACTTTCCTTGTGACTGTTGCTATCAAAGCTTAGCCCGTGTTTGAAAAATCAAATAAGTCACATATGAGGATCTATCCAACAAGCATACTAGAAATTGCACTTGTGCTACTAGAAATCTATGCTTGAATTCCTCATTAATTGCTATTGCAATTAAAGTTTTGAATTTTGTTGATCTATTTGGTTTAAATAATCTATTTTTTTAAAGGGAGCGGCTAGTTATACTCACTTAACCTTAATTATCATTCACCCTAGGCTAATCTTTCCATTTTGAGTTTTACTTCTTCCCCTTAATTCTGATCTGTCCTTGCATGGTATCGACCAATCAAAGATCTTTCTTTTGAGGGTGATGGATAATTAATGTTAAGTGAGGGATAACTAGCCCCTCCCTTATCACATCATTCATACATTTAACAATCGTAGTAAGAGATTTGAAAAGTACATATGAATATCTACCCAACGGCAAAAAAATTACACGAGTGCTAATAGACATCTATGTTTAAATCCGTTTCTTAATTGATGTTGCACCTGAAATAATCAATTTTGTCGATCTGTTGAGTTCAAAAAAACATAATTTTTAACTCACATTGATCATTCATTTGACAATCCTTGTATGGGATTTGGAAAGTTAAATAAATCACATTTGAGAATTTATCCAACGGCATAAAAAATTGTATTTGTGTTGCTAAAAATCTATATTATAATACGTTTTGTAATTACTGCTGCAATTGAAATAGTTGATTTTGTAAATCTTTTAAGTTCAAAAAAATCTACTTTTTAACTCACATCCATCAGTGATTTGACAATCATTGTCAGAGAATTACAAAAAATGCGTTGAAAATTTAATATCTCTTGAAAAAATGAGTACGTGAGCTTTGGATGTTGAGCTTTTAGTTTTAATGATTGTTTTGTTTATCTGCAAAAACTCATCTAAGTCTTGCCCAATAAAGCTAAAGAGTTTGATACTGAGATTGATGACTTGTTTGACAATTTCCTCTGAAGACAAAGATATGTCTTATGCCATTCATCAGCGAATATTGATGAAATTTGGATCCTAGATAATATTTATTTCATCACATTAATTATATTTGAGAAATATTATTACTATTTATCAAATATGTGCATTTGGTGGAATATATA